GCATCAGGCCCACTGCTGCATCTAGGTCTACATCGAGACAGGTCGCACTGGTGAAGCAGGAGACCATCAATTTTCTCTTTGATAGTCAGAATCTATCATTGAAGAAGTTCATGAAGTCGTTACTAGTGAGGTCCAAAGGGATACACGGCTCGACAGAGCTGTGACTCTCTGTCAGTCGGGCTACAGTGCTGAAGAGAAACCTGGAGTTGTTTTTATTTTTCTCTATTAATGATGAGTAATAAGATGCTCTTGCGTTACGGAGAGCCTTCTTATACGTTTTAAGGCTGTCTTGCCAAACTAGCCTAGATCCTTCTGATTTGGTGGAACGCCATAATCGTTCAAGCTTCCGCACAGTTTGCTTTAGGTTCCGTGTTTGAGGGTTATACCACGGAGCAGACTTCCTTCTTGTTGCTATTCTTTTTTCCAGAGGAGCAATAGCATCCAGCGCCACTCTCAAAGAGCCTGTAGCAGTATCGACAAAATTATCGATCTGGCACGGACTGAGGTTCTCACAGGAGTCTTCTTGTATCTTGAGGCAGGGCACTGAATTTAGAGCAGAAGGAATGGCTTCTTTAAATAAGGCTACAGCGGTATCCGATAAGCGTCGACTGTAGAAACCTTTGGTAGGAGGAGGTGGTTCTGATAGTAGAAATTCAAAGGTTATCAGACAATGGTCCGACAGGAGAGGGTTCTGTGGAAAAATTGTTAAATGTTCAATCCCAATCCCATACACAAGAACCAAGTCGAGAGTGTGGTTAAAACAGTGAGTTGGTTTATTTACACACTGACAGAAACCAATTGAATCTAACAATGAAAGAAATGCAGTACTAAGGCTGTCGTTGTCGACATCCACATGAATGTTAAAGTCACCCACAATAATTACCTTGTCCGTTTTAAGGACCAAACTCGTTAAGAACTGTGAAAATTCAGAAAGAAATTCTGAATAAGGACCTGGGGCCCTGTACATTATTACAAAGAGAACCGGCTGGATTATTTTCCAGGTTGGTTGCGAAAGACTGAAAACCAGGCTTTCAAATGAGTTATAATCCACCTTAGGTTTAAAGTTTATTAAAAGGCAGGAGTCATAAATAGCTGCCACTCCCCCCCCTCGGCCTGTGCCTCGGGGAATATGAGTATTAACATGACTCGGAGGAGTCGCTTCATTTAAACAGAAATATTCCCCATTCAACAACCACGTTTCAGTAAGACAAAATACATCAACATGGTGATCTGATATTAGTTCATTTACCAAAACAGCTTTAGATGACAGAGATCTGATATTCAAAACACCCCCTTTAATTCTCCTATTTTGTTGCACTATTGCATTATTAGTTTTAACTTTAATTAAGTTATTTACTACAACTCCTCGGTTGTTTACCTTTAACTTAGATAAGTGTGTCCGTGGGGCAGACAAGGTCTCTATAGGGTTCATTATGCTGAGTGACTGCTCAGATTGAAGCGCAGAGAAGTGTGTAAGACTGCGACTCTGCTCCCTGGTCTGAACTCTGGGTCAGACCAGGGAGCAGAGTCGCAGTCTTACACATTCTTCTGCGCTTTCAATCTGAGCAGTCACTCAGCATAAGGGAAGATGGAGTGTGAGTTTGGGTGGAGAATCGGAGCAGCGGGGGCAGTATTGCACTCACTTTACCGCACCGTTGTGACGAAAAGAGAGCTGAGTCAGAAGGCAAAGCTCTCGATCTACCGGTCAATCTTCGTTCCCTACCCTCACCTATGGTCATGAAGGATGGGTCATGACCGAAAGAACTAGGTCACGGGTACAAGCGGCCGAAATGGGTTTCCTCAGGAGAGTGGCTGGCGTCTCCCTTAGGGATAGGGTGAGAAGCTCAGCCATTCGTGAGGAGCTCGGTCAGTCAGAGCTGGTACATGTGGCCTGGGAAAGGGAAGTTTGGGGTCCCCTGCTGGAGCCGTTGCCCCCGCGACCCGACCCCGGATAAGCGGCTGAAAATGGGTGGATGGATGGATGGATGGATGGATGGATGGATGGATGGTTCCCCCACGTTTCCATTGGAAAACATGAGGGAAAAAACATTTTGCATTTTTCAGTAACAAAATCAATTTCTTTCTTTTTGGACCTTTTCATCAAATGTCACTGAAATCTCTTAACTATTTAACTACTTTGATATTTAAGGACTAGCTTCAAACACAACAACCGGACCATGACCTATTTTGAGACTTTTAAGGAGACCTTCGTGATTATCACAAACTATGACGTTATTGATGAGGAGGATGAGTATGTGTTTATTACTCAAATGTACAGAATGTTTTTTAATCAAACGTTGGGCAGTGGACGGAGCAACAGAGAGGAAACATGTGGCTCGCAGTACAAAACGTCTCCGGACAAAATGCAGTCAAAGAAAGCACATTTATGAAATTAAATTGATAAAAGCACAGGGAGATACCATGCAAAATGTGTGAGAATCTCAGTTTCAGGTGCAAGCCGTACCTGTGTCTTGCTCAAATTGGACCTGCCGTTTTGTGTGATTGACAGAAACAAAGAGTGACTCACACTCCCCTTCATTATGCTTGTTGGCTCTGTGAGCTCAAGTGGTGTGTGTGTGTGTGTGTGCGTGTGCGTGTGTGCGTGTGCGTGCGCGTGCGTGTGTGTGTTAAGAGACAGAGAGACAGGAGATGGAGAGAGGCGGCAGAGACAGGGAGAAAGATATCAGCCAACTTCCTCGAAAACACATTGTATGAAAGAAAATCAGTGACTTCTTATTCTTCTCCAGACTGCAGCTGAGCATGTTTGGTTTGATAAGACGAACCACCAGGAGAAGATTAAGCCCAATACCAGTATTTCTTTCTTTGCCCTTGAGGGTTTTGACCCTCAATGTTTATCCTTAACGCCTTGTTCACACCGAGCAGAAAAGTCACATTTGATGGCTATATTAACACTGTAGCTGCATCATCAGCACTCACAGTAACAGTAACATGGATGCTGCAAAGTGCATGAGAGCAGTGAACCTTGATTGCCAACACGGTCTCTCTTATAACTGTCCTTTAAATCTATTTTGGGATTTAAAGGACATTGGGAATTGAATTGGGATCCGAGTTCCAGCTCGTCGTCAGTCTAATTATGTAGAAAAGCTGAATAAGAAATGGAGGAGTACACACATATACACCTTTCAGCATGGGAGAAGGGAGAGTGTTAAACCTATTATATGTTCTAACTATGTGAAGGGCTCAGTGAAGGTCCTCTGCATTTTCATCTCCCTCAGTTGTGTTTATCTCCATCAAAAAACCAACAACGCTGTCTGAGCTGACAGCTCTTCAACTCACTCATTGCGCCTCTGTTATTGTCATCGGGAAAATCATTTTGAAAGACGGTCAAATCTCGTGGCCTGCTCCTGGTAAACAAATGAATCACCTCAACCAAATGCTCAGTGTCTGTTTCAGCTAGAACGGAAAACGGGGTCTGTGTTCAGAAAGCAGAGGAAAGATGAAGCACTGGCTCGGTCTTCACAAGCAGCACGGGAAGCTTCTGACACGGCATATGGAGGCCTGTGACTGAGCAACATACCAGAAATGACATCTTCAGAGAAGAGCTGGCCAAGTAGGGGTCTAACAGAAGGTCTATTTGAATGTAGAACATAAAGTATACACCATTGTATAGCTTGGAAACAAGCATGTGACCTTTGTAGGGGCATTGACCACCAACGATTACTAAACAATGTGACCTCCTACATCTGTAAAAATCACCAACAGCCCTATAAACCCTATAAAACGTGCAAACACCAGGCTAAAAGCACATCTACGTGATTCATGATGCGTTTGCTGTGGTTTGTCTGAGAGGACTGATACCGAAATCACGATTGATCCAATCAACGATTCAGCGTCTCATTTTCATGGTTCGCTTCTTGCTTTGCAGAGTAAATGTACATTAGCACCACCATGTGCACGTGTTCTGGAGTGATTTGCATGTCATATTTACTAACTTGTTGGAATTGACATGCATGAGTGCAGATTGTGGACTTAAACGGTGTGAAGTATGCATATATTTGCTTGTGATGAGTACATAATAATCTGTTGGAAGTCAGTTCTGGCTCAGTTTGGTACCAACGTGCGCGGACACAACAGCCTGCAGACATCGTCTCACAGAGTGTTATGGTTTTATCTTATGTTTGTACTTTTGCATGACTTTTTAGAACCCAATTGTTTTGTTTACAAAAAGTTTCCTCTAATAAAAATCTGTTTCATCAGGGCCCTTAAAACGTTTTCAATATAACTTTCACCAAAACAACTTAAAACGGCGATGATGTTTCTATGGAACCCCAACTCCGCAACTAAAAACAATGTTGAAGGGATAAAAAGTTGTGATGAAACGGTGTGTACGGAGCCACTGACCATGTTTCCTGCTCTGGGCCTGTGCCTGTGGCGTGCGAGGAGCCCCCCCCAGTGGGGCTTCACTGCTCATCTCGTTCAGCTGAGCGCAGCTCGCAGACCACAGGAAGCAGCTGCACAGGCTCCACGCTCGGCTGCGTTGTGATGCACGTCTGCGTGCGTGTGTGCGGGTGTGTGTCTTTGACCACAGCTGCATGTCCATGCAGACAGTACATGCACATTACATGCACATGTAAGACCTGCAGACTTTTGCTTTTGATAACAGTGTTAGAATCCAACTGACGTCAGTTTCTAATTAGCATCAATATTTTCATCAATACTCAGGTTTCGGGTTTGTCCGTTTTTAATATTTTCACGCCTGCAAAGTATCAAGTAAGTATCCTGCGCATTTGAAACACTTCACACTGAAAGCCTACCGCATACATATCAGCCCGACCCCAAGTATGATGTACGTCATAAAAGAAATAGCAGTGAATAACACCGAGGTGCGACGGAAGGACCAGACTGTGAGTTTCACTACAGTAGAAGAGAAGGGGGAGGTTAGGGGGAGCGGGGGGGGAGAACGGGGCGGGGGCATGAAGTTGTACATTCCACAGTCATAAGGGGGGAGCATCTGGAAGTCTTTAAAGGAGAGGGGAGGGCAGAAGGAAGGAGAGGAGGACGCTGGATATTTAGGCCACATCCACAGTTTTCCAGCAGGGTTATTGTTTGTGTTCCTGTCTGAATGTGCTGATGCGAGCAGATGAAGTGAGATGACGTCTATTGGGGGGATTTCATAACTTTTTTGCTTTAAAAAAAAAAAGAAAGAAAATACAGTGGCGTGCGTGCAAGTGTGTCTTGGACAAAAGCAAAAGAAGAAGACGGCAGACAGACAGCAGACAGACAGGCAGACAGCAGACAGACAGACAGCAGACAGACAGCAGGGGAAGTCCGGCCAGAGAGCTCGGCCTCTTCCTGCCTCACTATCAGCTCAGGAAGTGGAGGGGAGGGCTGACAGAGAGGCACTTTTCCCCCGTTGCCTTTCCCTCACCCCGCCGTGCTCCGACCCAGCAGCAGGAAGAAGAAGGGGGGGGGGGGCAGAGGGCAGGCGGGGCCCTGGATGGAGCAGAGACACTGACACAGCACAGCCCAACAGCCCGTCTGTGGAAACACGATGGAAGCCGGCGTCGTTTGCAAGGCCACCAGGTGAGCGGGCGGGTGGGACGCGTCTGTGTCCGCTGCTCCGAGGGACAACGCGGCGGGGCGACGGTGCTCCCTGGAGGGGGGGGGGGGGGGGGAGTGAGGGGGGGGGGGCTCTTAGAACTGCCACGAAGGGGAGAGCGAGTCGGAAAGTTAGACAGCCAGCGCAGGAAAAACAGATGTGCCGCCTCGGCTGATACTTCAAGCCAAAGCACAGCGAGGGACGAGAAACCATTTTGTGTCCGACATTCGGACTCATTTCGTCCCCGTGGAATCAGACCACGTTAAAGGGCAGAGCGCACCATTACCACGCGTGTTCCGCTCATAACCCTACAGGCTGCAGTTTGGTAATAGTTGGTTTTCGGGTCCTTTCTGCTGATGCAACAGTGTGACTTTGTAACAGTTGGACAGACGCGTTGAGGCTGTTGCGTTCACCGTGTTGTCCCCTGGACAAGGTTACTACATTAGAACGATGACAGTTTCTAAATGTATTTTGTTCAATACACAAGTTTGCTTTGTGTCTGGTACTGTTTATGAGAGTGGGATTTGGGGTCGTGTTAGGTCAAAGGTCAGCGTGGATGATGTCATCAGATTGCTTACTTTAGAGTTGTTTAGTTCTCTAGTATAAAATGACTCCTGCGTTGAAAATGTTACTTAATTTATAGCAAAAGTATCAATAGCAAAATGTACTTAAAGTTTATAAAAATAAAAATTATGCAAAATAATTTCCTTTTCAATATTTGGATATGTATTTATTATCAATGGTATATAGTACATTTTTTTCACTATTTATTCTGGAAAAGGTAGAGTTAATATTCTGTTGGGCAGATCCATCGATAATGGTTGGATTTTGTTCTTGAAAGTAGCTAAAAGCTTAAATAAATGCAGTAATCTGTGAAATCTGCCCGGGTAGTTTGTAGTGAAACCCAAGTATAAATTAGCCTGGAATGGAAACTGCTATGAGGTCATTTACTTCTACTTGAGCAGACACTGCGCTTTATTATGACTCACACGGCCCTTCAGCCACAAACATTGTAGATACATTGGAAAATGTCCTGCTGCTTTCTGTTTGACTGATGTTACAGCCTGTTAGTAAAAATGTGTACGAAAATCTTGAACATAAAAATTCGCAGTGATACAGACTAAATAAATACGGACTGCAACTGATGACGTCACCCTGTTCAAAGTGAACGGGGACCTGCGCCCCGGAAACACACTTTGTGTCTAACCATGTAAAATAAACCTGTTATGATTGCACTTATAACGAGAAATCAATGTTAAATTGACGTTCACTCAAGGGGCGTGGTTAACCACCGCCAGTTCCTATGTATTGTTACGAATTTCTATGTCAAATATTTCGTATACATTTTTACGAACAGGTTTTGGAGATCAGGTCGGATGTTAACTTAACACCTGTGCCCAGCTGTTTCCACTTGTTCCAACTGTGGTACAGGACATTTTATAGAGTACGACAGGTCCTCAAGAAAGTAGGCAATGTGCCGCGTTTAGTGACACAACCTGCAATGATAGTGTCGTTTCCAAATCAACAATTGTAATTTACAGAAAGACAGGGTTTAAAATGATCTTTGCTACATATATATATATAGATAATTGACGTCAAGCATTTAGGCGTTAAACGCTTGTTCTGCTTTATGAATCCTTCAATGCAGCCTTACTAATGCACATTATGCTCACAGCAGACTCATTATGTGCTGCCCCACTGTTGGAGCTCGGCTGCATTTGTGTTCATTTGAGTCACCAACATTTCATTAGTTATGGCTGAAATAACCACTATTTCTACTCATGTTTACGAAGGCCCAGATATCCCAGGAAATTGTGTCTGGCTGCAAAATGTCGTCCAGAGGAACTCCAGCTCTCCCTGAGCTGAGCCGGTGTTCTGGATGATTCTGGATTGGTGCCGGGCTTGTTCACGTGCATTCATAGAAATAGTCCGGTCTCTGCGCGATGTGACGCGCTGCAGAGCCCCTGGCTGCCCACCGACAGCTGCAATATCTTTCCCTCCATTTCTGTTTTGTATTTGGTGTGAACACAGCATGAGGTCTTTACCAATGGGCCAATCGCTACAGACAAGGTCGGGACTTTGGGAACCAATGAGAGATGGAGCAACATGTCGGAATACCTCCTATATTTAAGGCTCATGCCTGCAGCATCTTTCTGTTTAGTGCCACAAACCCTTAAAGGAGATGGACGCCCCGTGGCCCTCGCAGCAACGGCCTCGGTTCTTCACAGGTTATGAAACACATCATGTTTCACACATCCGCATGCAGCACAGAGGGCGAGCTTCAACTTGTAGGCGTACTGGCCCCGAGTCAGCTGACTGGAGGCAAACTGAAGCTGAGATGAGATATGAACAAATCCGCCACGTGTTTTTCCTTCACTGACCATCGGCTCTTTCCCCTTTACAGCCACGCGAGCCCTGGGACAGGATCCCTTGACACGCCATCCACCCCCCCCACTGCCTCCGTCCTTCCGTCTCCTCCACCCTCCCTGCCCTCCTCCAATCCCCCGATCCGGCCATGTCGACCAAAACCACCCCCTCCCTTGGTGAAGTCCTCCCAGTCCCCCCTGTGTGCTCCTGCACCTGTGTCCACTCCGCCTCCCCTCCCTCCCCTTCCACCCTCCATCTCGAAGCCCCCGCCTCCTCTCTCTCCCACCCTGAAACCTTCCCCGCCGCTCTCCATTCCTCCCCCTACCCCTGTTTCCCACAACCCTCTCCCCTTGTCTCTTCCTCCCCCCCTGGCTCCTACTCCAGTGTCTCCTGCTCCCCTGACTCCTCTACAGCAAAGTGTCTCCTCCGATCTTACTCCCTCCTTAAGTCCACTTCCCACTGCTCTGTTGCCAGCGATCTCATGCCCCGCCCCCTCCTCCGCTTCTCTTCCTCCTCCTCCTCCTCCTCCCCCAAACTCGGTTATCCCACCATCACCTCCAGCTCCTCTATTAGTGAATCCCATAGATCGGCTGGTTGCGAGCGTTTCCGTATGGCAGCCAAAAGGACTCAGCCGGGACCAAGCGACGAGTGTATTGGAGAAAGAGATGGCTGGGGTGAGACACACACACACACACACACACATTGCTCAACTTTAGATTACTACACCCTTAATTTAGTATCATATGTTCTATGACAATCCACTGGATATGCTGTATTGATATAGTACCAGTCAAAGGAAAGGTATGGACACACTTTCTCGTTCAATTCATTCCAAAGGTGTGTCCGTACGTTTGACTGGCACATGTGACAGATGATGATGAAACATGGCGGAGAAATGAGGAGTAATGAATTCCCCCGAGCTGCGTATCTAGCACTTAAAACGCTGCTATAGTTTAGTTATTAACGTGTTGTAGTTCACTGTCTGTATACAAAAAAAACCAGGTTGTGGGTTTCAGTGTCATGTTGTCATGAAGTCATTAGTCACATGAAGTATTGAAAACCTCTCCAGGACTCGTTCTGTGAATCTACAGTCAGAGGTTATTTTCTTTCTTGGCAGGAAACACTGAACACCCATATTGTTGGAACGTTAATTCGTTGCTTTTGCTGTTGTCAGCTTGTGCTAAATAAAGATGTGGTACCATCTGAACGCCGCGTGTACCCTTGCGTTGTGTGTTTGTGTTCAGTGCCTCCATTCTGACCTGACAGTCATAAACACATGTCGTCGTTCACAGGCCTTCCTGCTCCTCGGAGCGGCGCTGTCAGTGCGCCTGCCTGATGAAGGGGGGGCGGCGCCCGTGCACCATCTGACGGTCAAGCAACACAAGACATGTACGCGTTAAACACTAATGCAAAGAGCTTCTATGGAAACACAAAATGCAATATACAAACATGAGCGCAGAGCGGTTGGTGAGTTGCTCTTAACCCGTTTTTGTCCCAGTTCTCCACTTAGACGGCTCCTCTTTGGCGTTTGATGACATCTTCAAATTGATCTTGTTCTACACTGCCAGCAGGTGACATACATATATGTATCTATGTTAACATATGAAGCTCTAACATGCAATATAAATGTATAAACATACCACCATAGATATCCAATGACACGTCTACACACACACACTGTGACGTAACTTATTACAACCCCCCCACTAACGATCGTAATCCACCCAAAAGGGACATTCTGGCCGTGCCACTGAGGTTACCCCGCGCTATTACCACGGCATCTCAGCGAGAAGAGTTGGACGTCATCTCTGCAATGGGTGCAGGTAGATGAATCTACATCATTAAATGTTAAGATGTTCTCACACATCTGTATACAAACACTGCCCAAATCAAAGGAATAGAACACACGCAGGTGCAAGAATGTCACCTTAAAATCTTTGTCATAGTACAAACACATCTCGTGGCCGTACCTCTGACGAAGTCAGGACAGGATAGAACATTTTGGTAAGATAAATGTCTCATGACAGTCTGGATGATTTGAAGTGATCATTTATTTTCACACTAGCGTTCAATTATCACGGCAAAACTATTACGCTGAACTCTAAGTAAAGTACAAAAAAGTTAAAATAACGAAACCTGTAATTATTACTTGTGAAGGAATATCATTCACGTCTTACTAAACCGAGCCACGCGAAAGTGAACGAGGTAAACAAATCCTTTGTGTTTCCTCTTCTGAGCGCAGGTCACCTAGAAAAATGATCCTAAGATCCGTCAAAATGAACGAATCATTTCTGTTTTCTCTACCAGGGCTGAGCCTATGCAGGTCACGTGAAAAATGATCTAAAGATCTGTATCAGTTGAACGAATCGTTCACCTCCCGACCGTGTCTTCGGGTCAATGATTCGTTCATCGTTCATTTTTCACGTGGCCTGCGTCGGCTCAGCACTGGTACCACTTGGTTGGCAGAAGGATCATTTTCCACGTGACCTGAATTCAACGAATCCTTTCTGTTTCCTTGGCTGAGCCGATGCTCGTTACTCTCGAGTCCTTGTGAGGATCCGTTCAAAATGAACGAATCGTTCACGAACGACACATCACTACTATCGTCTCAATGCTGCAGACAGACGACAGAGTTAGCGGAAAATTACAAATAAATTTAAAAAAAGATAGCGAAATTTAGCGCGGACGCTACGGCCGTCGACGAGCGAGTAACCAACGCGGCTCGGACCGAAGTCCGATTTCTTGGCGTGAGGAATTGGATGTGTGATGGGACCAGAGACCGAGAGGAGTGACCGTCTAGAGAGCCCCGCCGCTGAAACGCCATCATGGGGCTCAATGAGCTCGTGAGGAGAACGACTCTGATGCGTTCGGGTTTAAAATCCTGGACAAACGATATTTTAATTCTCGCACTTAGTAAAAAAGTTGTTAAAATGTGTTTAGATTGATTATGATTTACTGAGACCAAATGTGAAGCAGAAAAGGGGAAATTCATGCTTAGCTTCCCGTTTTTTTCCGAAATGTATTATTATTTTCTTTTAAATGCAGGCCTACTTTTATTTAGTTAATTGAGAGAACATTATTTATATTTGGAGTCACACATATATGTTCAGTTCTTTGTTACGTGACAATAAAAGTTGTCAAAAGAGTTTTAGAATCATACTGAATTCATTTGATTTGTTAGTCGTGTATTGATTACATGCAAATGTTGATACAACTTTATTCCTCTATTTAATCACACTAAGTAGCCCCATTATGATCTTCCGGACCTTTGCTCCTTTTCTTTTCTAACTGGACCTCTTGACCTTTTAGTTGAACACCCCTGACCTAGGAGATATTCTAAAAATGGCATTAATTCAGCTACTGAGCTATAAAAGCCACTATATCAGCTTTTTTTAAAACAACGGCATGTGTTGCAGATTTCTGGACGTCCGATCTCAACCGGCCGGTAAAGGACCGGGACCTGGCTTTGGACCAGAACCACAACAGTCTGTACTTGTATGTTAACCCAGTCACCGTGGAGGAGAGTGACATCAAAGACCTAAACCCCCCCCAACCTCCCACAGTCCCCACTCAAATACGTACCTCCTCCCTGCAGAATGGAGAGGTCCCACAGAGGATCAGCACAGAAGTCAAAGGTCAAGCCCAAACCACGCCCACCCAGGACATTAAATACAAACGCCCTCCACCACGACCCCCCAGCCTGAGCTCAGGGTCAGGGACGGGCCTCCTCTTCTCCTTCCCCCCCCTCACTTCACACTTCACCTTCAGCAGCCGAGAGAAAAGAGGAAGGAAGAGGCGGAGCAAGCGAGAAAGAAGAGAGGAAGTCAATGTCAACATCACTCACTCCATCGAGGCCTCCCGTTCCCCCACAGGGCCGCACCGCGCCCCCGCTGCCTCCCGCTCCTCTCCGCCGCACCTCCTCCAGGAGAAGCGCCAACACAGAGGAGGCAGAGGGGACGGAGAGAGAGAAGGGACAAGAGGCAGGCGATGAGGAAACAGCGAGTAAATCAGGTCAGCTGGATGAGGGGGTCCAACAGCAGAACGGTAGCCAGCGTCAAGAGAATGAGGTAACAAATGACCGAGAAAAGGGAGAGAGAGAAGATGAGGGGGAGGAAAAAGAGGTGAAAATGGATAAAGCGGAGCACGAACAGAAATCCTGCCCCCACTCTGCGCCATTGATGAAAAAGCCGTCCCGTCCAGTCCCCCCGCCCCGGAGGAAACCCTCTTCACCAGACGCACCTGTGTGCCCCAAGCAGGCAGGGGGAGGATCAGCCAATCAGACCGCTGCGATCAGGGGGCCCCCTCCCTCACCGGCGAGGCGTCCCGATGTGTCCCTGTACTCGCCACAGGGGGGCAGTGTGCTGGTGACCGATCCCGACTCCCCCTCCACCAGCAGCACGGAGGAAGAGGGAGAGCCCAACCAGGAGCAGGAGCAAAGCCCCAAGTAGGTCTGGGAAGGCTGGTGTGGAGAGGCTCCTACTCATATTATACTCACCTGCTCCTCATACCAGCCTAATATTCTCACTAACACACTATTCACACTAACACACTATTCTCACTTACACACTATTCATACTAACACACTATTCTCACTAACACACTATTCTCACTAACACACTATTCTCACTAACACACTATTCACACTAACACACTATTCTCACTAACACACTATTCTCACTAACACACTATTCATACTAACACACTATTCTCACTAACACACTATTCTCACTAACACACTATTCTCACTAACACACTATTCACACTAACACACTATTCTCACTAACACACTATTCTCACTAACACACTATTCTCACTAACACACTATTCTCACTAACACACTATTCTCACTAACACACTATTCACACTAACACACTATTCTCACTAACACACTATTCATACTAACACACTATTCTCACTAACACACTATTCTCACTAACACACTATTCATACTAACACACTATTCTCACTAACACACTATTCATACTAACACACTATTCTCACTAACACACTATTCATACTAACACACTATTCTCACTAACACACTATTCATACTAACACACTATTCTCACTAACACACTATTCATACTAACACGCTATTCTCACTAACACACTATTCATACTAACACACTATTCACACTAACACACTATTCTCACTAACACACTATTCACACTAACACACTATTCTCACTAACACACTATTCACACTAACACACTATTCTCACTAACACACTATTCACACTAACACACTATTCATACTAACACACTATTCATACTAACACACTATTCATACTAACACACTATTCACACTAACACACTATTCTCACTAACACACTATTCATACTAACACACTATTCATACTAACACACTATTCTCACTAACACACTATTCATACTAACACACTATTCTCATTAACACAAAATGGTTACTAACACACTATTCATAGTAACACACTATTCATACTAACACACTATTCATACTAACACACTATTCATACTAACACACTATTCATACTAACACACTATTCACACTAACACACTATTCACACTAACACACTATTCACACTAACACACTATTCACACTAACACACTATTCACACTAACACACTATTCATACTTTCACACTAACACACTATTCACACTAAGCTAGAGGAACACTCATACCGGCCCACTCTGCATAGCAGTGTTCATACTAACCCAGTGTTCTCACTAAGTATGAAGTGGAATAAAAGTGCGATCCAATCCTATAGTGTAGATTTTGTGTACGTGATGACGGACAGGCGTGAGCTTACTGGAGATACTTCACTGACCCACAATGCATTGGCTCTCTTCAGACTGTAACTGCTTTGAAGCACCAGCCAGGGCCCATAAACATTTGAAAAACGTGGTAGGATATATGTATTATAATATAATAGGTACTGTAGTACGTGGTTAAGAAGATATATTTTGTTAAACTGAATATTGGCTGAGCCCTGACTCCCTTAGTTACCGTTGCCGGGCCTGTTTAGCTGTCACGCGGCACATATGTTGAGTCAGAGACGGCTTCCTGTGTGTGTGTCACGTAGGCTTTACCGCTGCTCGCAGACTAGCGAGTCTATCAATTCCAATGTGACATAGTCACATATATTTCCAACATTTAGATACTACATTTTTAAACTAGATGAATGATCTTTGGCTGGATCCCATCTGACATTGTGTGGCGGCAGGGTGCACGACAGAGAAAGACATCCACTCCCACTCACGTTCTCTCCTACCGCCATCGGTTAACCTAATCCTAAATACTATCAATTACTGTCACAATAAATGATAGCCAAGCCGAAAGCCATTGCACATGGTTGCTCGTTGTTTATTGGAACAGACAAATGGCCGAACGTCGTAAGCTATGCGCACTGATTCTTCTCCGTGTAACGCGTGTGTGGCCCTACAGGAGTCCAGACCGGTGCTCAGAAATAATTGGCACAGTTGATAAAAGCCTCCAAAGTCACTAGTCGTGCTCGACCTCAGATCAGTGAATCAAACGCAGAGCGTCGGCTGACCGGTTGTGCGGAGTCGAGGGGGGAACACTAACTCCTGCTCTTCTCCAGCCACCCTGCAGAAAGCCGCAGCCCCAAAGCAGCAGTGAGGAGAACCCCCACCACGGTAATGTTGGGCCGAGCCCGCTACCGCCTGTCCACCGTCCTCACAGGCCTCATCAGCCACGACCGCCGCCTCACACAGCGCCTCGTGGAGCTGGCCAGGGACCCTCACAGCTACTTTGGTAACCTGGTGAGTGCAGAGAGAATTCTGGATTTGAACAGTCAGCTGATTGGGATTTAAGTAGTTGGTTGGAAGTTTGAACCGCAAATCAAGCTGAACTGATGTTTGGCATTCAGGTAAAAGAGCACCGCATGTTCACCTTGGAGACCATGTCCAAGCACTCCTCCTCCACGGAGCTGCTACAAGAGATCAGACAAATGATGACCCAGCTGAAGAGTTACCTGCTGCAGAGCACAGAGCTGCAGGCCATGCTGGAGCCTCAGCATCAGTACACGCAAGACAAACTGGGTAAACTTTCCTTCTTCATGTGTGGTGTGGGGAGTCTTGTCCATGTATGTTTTACTACTTCTTGAATTGTAATCCTTAGTCTGTAAAACAGTTGCTGTGTCTTCTGAGAAAGTGTCCTTGATGATGGCTGACGGCAAACATTGAACACAGCATTATTGGTCAGGGTAAATAAAAAATAATAACATACAGTCATGAAGTTTGTCCTCAAATTCAAGATATCTCGGTCTTGTTTGAATTTTGAATTAAAGATATATTAAAATCTCTTGATTTTCACTTTTAAGAGCCTCAAGCTTTTTGAAGTAGATAATGTCTTGAGCCCTTTGGTGAGACGAATGACAATACAATATATCAACCTCAAGATATCCAATATTTTCAAAACTACTAGTAAATGTATCAGTTTATTCTAACACTAGTACATTTCCAAAGGTAGCGCTAACTGTAGTAGTTGGAGGTTTTGTGAAGCCGTTACTTAGTGCTGAGTTTGATCAACACTGTCACATTGAGTCATTTTGAAGAAGGCGATTAGAAAGAGTTTGAAGTGATTCTGTGTGTTGTCCGTGCAGAGAGCCTAGCGGAAGCCGCTCTATGTAAGAGCGTACTGAAGCCACTGAGGGAGCCAATATACGAGCATCTTGAAAAGCTGCACACCAGCGACGGCAGCCTGAAGCAGCTGGCCCAGAACCAGGTGGGGCAGTACGGGGTCACTCCCGCAGGACGAACCGCCCCCCGTGTCCTCTATTCGCAGCAGCACCTGCAGTAGCAGCGGTTGTAATGTTGCTGTTGGTGTGTCGTTGTGTGTGTCAGTCTGGCATCCTGGGCAGCACCACCACGGCGTTGGGGATAACCACTGCCGTCCCCGAGGCCTCATCGATGGAGAAGATCAACATCAAACTGAACAACCTCCATCTGGAGTACTCCCCCCAGAAAAAGATCGAGCTCATGTTGAAGGCCTGCAAGCTCATCTACGACTCCATGTCTGTCAGCAGTCCAGGTCCGACCGTCTTTAACCCTTTAACTTATTGTTCTAATGTCGTGGCTTTTTGGGACAGTCAGCATCACTTAACATTTACAATTCAAACTGCTGTGATTATGCTGAAGTCCCAACCCATGCCGACGCCGTTCCTCTGGGCTTGCCTTGTCAGACCCAACATTATCTTGAATGAAGGTAAATCTGATGCGGGGTTATCGTGTAATTGCCTCTAATTGTGTGTTTAGGGCGGGCCCATGGCGCTGACGACTTGCTGCCTGTAATGATGTATGTCCTGGCTAGATCCAATCTGTCCAGCCTGCAGCTGGACGTGGAATACATGATGGAACTGATGGACCCATCGTTGGCACTAGGAGAAGGTGCCCCATCAAGAATAAAGAAGAACAGTTTTTCTGCTTCTATGTTTAACAAATTATTGATCTTGGCCTTACGTCTATATGTGTGTGTGTGTGTGCAGGTTCCTATTATCTGACCACCACCTACGGCGCCTTGGAGCACATCAAGACTTTTGACCAGCAGAGGTCAGCAACACGGCAGCTCAGCAGAGAGGTTCAGGACTCCATCCACCGCTGGGAGAGACGACTCACGCTCAACAAGGAACGCATGGTCCAAGGATCTGTGCGGGTACACACACACACACACACACACAACAACGGCACATTGTGTGATCTGGAAAGGAGTGACTCACATGATGAAAAGAGACAATGAGGAGTGGTATATGACGCTGCCGGTATTAGAATGCACAATAGCTCAAAGAACAATATGCAATATACAAAAGGCAATAATCAATGAGCGATATTTACAAATGACTTAACAGCAAAACACACCGGTAGATGTGTCTTTTATTGGTCTTGTGTTTCGTCAGGCAAAAGAACTGCAAACAATGAATGACAGGTATCTCACACAGACTCCCCTAGAGAGACAGGCAGCGATGTTTCCATAGAGATATCCCTCTGTAGCTTCCTGTGTATTTCCACCGTGCAGGACTTTCTGACAGTGTGCTGTCCAGAGATCGGAGCGAGCCCAAAAACTCTGGGTGTCCTCCCCACCACCACCATGCAGGAGCTGGCCGAGCAGTGTGCCACACGCTTTGAACAAGGTAAATGTCTGGAGGAGGCTGTCACATGGGGCTGATACCCCAACCCACACTTCAGTATGTATCTGTATATGAGTACATGTTTCGTATTGTTTTGCTGGGAAATTAAAGATGAAAGATTTAGGGACTTTGGAGAGACGAATAAAGAAAAAGAAATATCAACACTGTAAACTGCGCGATCAATTCAATTGATTTCATTTTATATAACCCAAAACCACAAATTACCATTAGAGGGCTTTAAAGTCTGTACACATGCGACTCGAAACCCTCACATCGGCACAGGAAAAACTCCCATAAAATAAAAAGCCCTTCTCCATAAGGGAAGAAACCTTTGGGCGAACGCCAGAGGAGGATCCCTCTCCCGGGATGTGTACAGAATGAACAATGTAAAAGATGTATAATGTATTCAATTCCTATAACAGAAATGATTAATTGTGAGTAGTAAGCCACGCGTACGGCAGCTGAATTAGTGATATGCACTAATAAAATGTGGATTATTGTGGAATGAGAGCGTGAGAAAGGAGCTCGGTGTGTCCTAAAAGTCCCCCGTCCGTCTAAGCCTATAGCAGCTTAACTAAGGGCTGGTCCGGGCTGACCTGAGCCAGCCCTGACTACAAGCGTTATCAATGAGGAAAGTTTTAAGCTTTATCTTAAATGAGCCGATATCACCAAATTGAAAGTTGGTGACCCCGACGTGGTGGTTCCACAAAGAGGAGCTTGATAACTGAAGGCTCTGGCTCCCATCCTGCTTTTTAAAACTCCAGGAACCCAAGTAACCAGCATCTATGGAGGCAATGCGGTGTTACAAGCTTCCTTGTAGGTGAGGAGAATTCAACGCAGTCCAACGCATCATGTGTTACGTGGCAGCTCTGCTCTAGATTCACAGAGGACATTAAAATGATATTGAACTGTCATCACAGGTTGCTGTTCTACTTACTTGTTTAAGTAAAAAAAAGTTAGAGTGACATAATTTACCTTTAAGCTTATCAGTTAAGTTCACTATTAGCTATATTTGAGTGGCGTTTTTCTAACCACTTACAGCTGTTTGATAACTCACAAAGAATTCCCTCATCAGTCTTTATTGCTCATTATGCGTTCAGTCTTTTCTAAATCATGTTTTGTCAACGTTGAAACAGTTCAGTGTGGTTCAGGCAAAAAAAAAGTACTTTTTCATGATTTGGGGTTTAAATAAGTCACTTAAGCGCAGCTTTGTAATAAATCAAAGTCGACGTTTGGTTTCACACGGGGAAAGAAAGATGGTCTACAGAGTTTTTTCATTGACCACCACACCAATGCATTTAGTGCGAACTGCACGTATTAACTTCCCAGGTAGAGCTCCGTCCTCGGAAGGAGAACAGCCTGTATCCGAACGTTATCATCAATCTCCTGGTAACGTCACGCCTCCTTCTTTCTTCCCCCCAGACGCCTACATCCTCAGTGTGTACATGGATGGCGTCCAGCAGCCACTGGCTCCCACCGAGCTGGCCCTCACGGCGAAGAACAGTTCCCAGCCCGGAGCCTACTGCCTCGTCTTCCACCCTATCGACCAACCCGTCGAGAGGCCCCCGCCGGGACGCAGCTGCCCGACTGACCTGCCTCCAGCTCCCCCTGCAAGGAGCGCGTCCACGGGGGACTCTGCAGCCGAGGACACCGTGGAGCCGGAGGGGGAAGAGGAGGAGAGTCTGATTAGCTTGTAGCCGCACCGGCATAACAGCGTCATCGCTATGGTAACTATATCCCTGTGGCGATGGCTTTAGCGTGGACGGCGTTGTATGTCAGGTCTCACTTGGAATGCTGGTCGAGGGGCAGCTGAAATGGACGCGTGCAGGACGTCAGACAACGCCGCGTGAACCACATAGTGTGATAAAGCACCGATTTTACATCTATATGTTGTTTGGTCATTCCTGATGGAAAATTGAATTCCAAAACATATATTAAGCATCATGAAGTTTCATTCCACATGTGTCTGTGTACTGATACGGACTTCATTGTAAATAAACTTCCTTTTACAATTTGCCAATCCTGTTTCTTCTTTGAAAGTATAATATCTCAGGGAGGGTTCTGATGTGACAGATAACAATTGATGTGATTCAAATGATTTATAGATTAACCCCTAACCCTAACTAGTAAATGCTGATCACGTATACGCATACATGGCGCCAGGGCTGTCATGAGGAAGATTCACTCACGTTTCCCCTGGTTTTGAGCATTGATTTAATGCCATTTCCTACTGATAAATCGGTTCCATTGGAGTTGACCGTGTTTCTGATGAGAATGCAGGTGGTGCGAGGTGCCACTACTTTGTGTGTGACGCTTGTTATCTGTTATCTGTCTCCGTAACATCAGCGCGTTGCACAGCCATTGTTAAAGGCAGCTACTTCCTGTCTGCAGGTCATTATTTCCAGCCGGGGCCATAACGAAGCACTTAAATGGCAGCAGGCTTCCTCACTGCCGACAAACTTCAGTTTCTCCACCACCTTTTGTCTTGTTTTCATTTCAGTATTTGATATTTTACCAAAGTATCAAATACGCACATACGAATGGACACGTCCCATTTTTTTCCCATCACTTTCTGTAGAGCTCGTGTTTGGAGATGAGGGTCTTCTCAATACTGATATACTAACAAGGTGTCTCTGTACAGCAGTGATGGCCAACTCTAAACCACTAAAACAAGTGTCAACAGACATAATTTGCTCTATAACAAAAGCATAGCGCATTTATTTTGATATGATCTGTCCAGGAAATGATAGCAGTGCAGAACTAGCGTACTCCACAGGACCACATCAATGGAAGACTGTGGTTCACACGTGTTTCCACTATGGTTTTCTCAGAAAAAATGGTACGCTGAGATACAGCTTAACGCCATATGCTGCTTGTAAGTACTGTGCACTAACTGTTTAATCTCAAGAAGTCTCCTAAACCAGCATTAATGCTAAAATAACTGGAAGCTGAGAGGTTTGCCAAAGCAAGTAGTAGTTGGCAACATATCAGTCCGTCAAATCAGTTATTGCAGGTTGAATTCACTAATTCATTATTACTTACTACATGCTTTTGTTGTTTTATTTGAAATATTCTATCATGACATTACATACATTACGTGTCATTTAGCTGACGCTTTTATCCTATCCTATGCTATCATGGGCATTTTCCATATGCACACAAAAATACCATGTTTTCTTCGTAGAGTATAGTGACATCAGTCATAGAGAAGAATCCATCATTTGCTCAACCTGTCGCAGTGTATAAAAGAACACACAAATGCACACACACACGCACACACAAGCACTATGATGCTCTTCAGTAATAAGATGGTGGGCTCTCCATAACAGCACCATGACTAGGAGTCTGTGAAACATGACACTAACAAGGTAGCAGCACTTCCACTGGGGCCGTCCTCTTGCACACTAAAGTTTGTCTGATCTGGTGAAAGGTGTGTACGCTTGCGTATATGTGTGGGTGGGTGAGGAGGACGGGGGGGTTAAAACACTCCAGGGTATATAAGTGTGTACGACAGGAAACCTGTGTGCGCCACTAACAGAAGCAACCGGCAGACCAAACTGCCAAAAAAAAGCATCTTTCTATTCAGAGGACAGGATAGTAAATGAGCAACCAACAGCAAGTACCTGACTGAACATTCCTCTGGCCTTTCTGTCTTTGCTGTTGGTTGGTTTCCCTGGAACACATCTGTCGTTTGTGTGAAGCCTGACGTTAACCTCTGTCAAGTTCTGCGTCGACACGCTCCCTGCTGGTACCAACTTTTAACAGACAAACCAACCTGAGAGCAGGTAAGAAATCAGACGGACGACTACAAACGTGCCTAACTTTCCATAAAGCTCATTTTAAACTCTGCTGTGTGTTAGTCATTTTTTTTCACCAACAAGAGGATTCAAATACAAAGATTGTTTCTTGGAATTTGGTTCCGGCTGAGCACATAGTAACCTTATAAACAAAAGTGTACTGGCGTGGATTTTGTTACTGTGTCTGTGTTGGAGTGTTTCAAATTGAATAACCGTGGTATTTTGACACTTCTAACTGATATTTTTTGTTAAATTAAATGCATGAAAAAATGCACTTGTATGCTGTGTTACATGCACCGTTGGAAATGGTTCTTTGTGGGGGGACCGGGTGATTTAATCCTCTCTGGCTCATTTGGGATCCCATAACTCTTTGAAACCAGCAGCTTCCACGTAGAATTTCTGTAAATTTTTGTTCATGATTTAAAAGACCTTGAATTGAGCTCTAGGTGGATTACAATTGAATGATGTCCTATTTGAAGCCTATGTTGTTTTATGTCAAATATACTGTATTCAGAGTTTTTGTTGCACTAGACAAAACCTTCTAATTTAAAAAGCAGCAAAACGGTCTCCTCGGATTGTGAAAGATTTTAATTTGATTTATTTTCACTGTAAAAATTATATATTACATCACATGTCATTTAGCTGACGCTTTTATCCAAAGCGACTTACAATAAGTGCATTTCAACCATAGGGATACAGACTCAAAAGAACAAAGAAACAAGAAAGTGCAATTTCATTAAATACGCTGATTTAGAACTTGCTATAGATACGATTATAAGTACAATTTAAGTGCTACAATATGTTAGTCTTTTAGTGGAGGTAATGTCTGAAGCGGTGTGTCTTTACTCTGAAGATGTGAAGGCTCTCTGCGCTCCGGTGTCTTCAGAGAGCTCGTTCCACCATTTCGGAGCAGGACGGCAAAGAGTGGAGATCTTGTCGAGTGTTTTTCTCAGTGAGGGAGGGACGAGCAGAGTGTGATGACACACAAAATAAAGTTTCTGTTTTTATGGTTTTGATGTTTATTTGGTTAAAGATTGTGAATAACATGTCAGTTAATATGTATTTTTAAGGGAGCACCCGTTTTTCCCACTTTTTTTAATTTTTTTAATTTTTTTTAGGATGTCTGGACTGCCTGCTTTTCATTGTATGTCCTTCCTGTTGCTTTGCATTCTGGCTATGACCTTGGTGACATCTGGCTTCCCCCAGACTCGACCACCTCATAGGTAGGCAATCACTCAATCTCATTTACAGTTACATTTATATTTATCATTTAGCCGACGCTGTTATCATTTATATTTATCATTTAGCCAATGCTGTTATCATTTATATTTATCATTTAGCCAATGCTGTTATCATTTATATTTATCATTTAGCCGACGCTGTTATCATTTATATTTATCATTTAGCCAATGCTGTTATCCAAACCGAATTACAATAAGTGCATTGAAGGAATCTCATCAAGGCACCACCATAGCTGTTAGCCAAACACACCGCTATATATATGTGCATGAACACATATATATGTGTTCATGAAAAATGTAAGTGTTAATGGCACTGTGGTATGTTTACGTAAAATACTACCTAGAGTGTTAGATACCTAAACTAGTTTTTCCCTGAATATGTACCTATTTTCATACTCCTTCATACGATAGCGTCAAATATTTTTGTCAAGCAATAATACAGGTAAATATGATCTGATTCCAGAAGAGAGGAATCTAACCGAGACGAATGGGAGGTCCTCTTCCCCTCCATCTCTCTCGCTAATTGGATTATTCAAATGATGTCAGCGCCCAGCCTCAGAGCTGCCGCCAACGCCAGACTGACGAGGGCGGCGTGGCTGTTTGCCCTGGCAAGGGCAGAAGCGAGGTAACTGCATAGTGAGGGAAAAACTGGTTCAACACACTTGCCGATGTACCAAAGCAACCGACTCTTAAGTTGTCGTCAATCACACATTACACAATCTTGCCGAAAACCAGACGAAACTCAGCTGTAGCAGCAGCCGCTGGATGGCGTGTGCATCGGTAGCGGCGTTAGCTGTCAGCAGTTAGCCTAGCTCAACATGCAATTCAATAAAAGTGAGCAAACCACCAACAAGTGATTTCTGCAACCAATGAGCTGCATTAAAGTGCATTAAAACACATTTCACTCAAAAAGACTATATACAAGCAATAGTACGAAACACCTCACGTGACCTTTCTAAAATTTGATCCATCTCTGATGTGTAGGTATAGCAATGTTCGCTGGTAATTACGTTAGCTGTTAGCCAAACACACCGCTAACTGTGGGCTTGGCGGCACTTTTGCTCTCCTCTATTTACTAAGTAATATTTCATTCAAAGGGGACGTTTGAGTTATACGAGACGGTACTTGCCAGATGGTTAGTTTAACGTAAAGACTGGGAAAAGGGCTATTGAGCTCACCAAGTCACGTTTTTATACAATTTTCACAATTTAGTTTTAGTTGTATCTTGTTAGTTTTATCTAATTCACCTAAATGATAGCGATAACGTGTCTTTTCCAATATGTCACTGGTATATAAGAAGTAGCCACGTAGTGAGCATCACACCCCCCATAAGTTTGAGCCCTGATGTTTTGAAGCAAAGAAATTAGTCTTCCAATTTAAACCCAAATCTGCTCATTTAATTGGACTAAGAACTCCTATCGTAAGAAATTATTATTGGATTTAAAAAATACAGTAAATCGTATGTTTGGAAATCAAATTGCCTTTTGCTGACTAGGTGAGAAGGCAAGTAAAGTGCATTTTCATTTCAAAGTGTCATGAGTAAAACCGCAGTCATGTATTCAGTGTCGGAGACTGGTCTCTGATGTGGAGGCCTCTGGCCTGTGTTTCTCTAGCAGGGAGAGGCCGTGGCCCGCTGATTGGTCATCTCAGGGCGCCGCCATGGTGAAGAGGAACATGGTTGTGGCTGACGACGCTGCCTTCAGAGAGAAGAGTAAACTCTTCACCTCCATGGAGAGACAGAAGTGGCTTAACTCCTACATGCAGAAACTACTGGTGGTTAAGTCTTCATGATTTCCTCTATAGAAAATAACCACCTCTCTGAATCCTGCACTGGCTAAAAGCTTTTCGAAGGGATACCCCAAGTCTCTGGGGTTGTTGCTCAGTCCATCAACTTATGAGACAAGAAAATATTGCAGACATCGAAAGTCATTAACACCTGATGAATCAATAGGCAACATTATATTGAGACGTTTTGTAGCACTTTAAATACCGTATAACGTTGAAAGTAATTTGGTGTTATTCAATTTGATGAATAAAGAGATACAAATTATGTTTTCAATTGGCTTCATCCAGTAGTACAGCTGGATTCAATGCTATTATTTTTTTTCTTTAATACATGTGCAAAAGATAAAATAGTAGTTTAACATACTGGGAGATCAGGATGGGGTTAGCCTAGCTTAGCTTTCAGTCTATTAAAAAAGGGGCTAACGAGCTCTGTCCAAAGCACCAATACTTTCTATTATAAATACATTTCCGTACAGATTGAACAAAGGAGACACATGTTAATTTATGACAATTTGAGGGTTTTGCAGGCATTTTCTTAACTTTGGACAGACAGGGTAACTGTTATCCTGCCTCCTGTCTTGATGCTAAGCTAGGCTAATCATGTCCTAAATCCGGCTGCTTACCTAATCACAAATGTTTCCCAAAATGTCTTATAGAATTGAATTCTTAAACACGTTTATTTTGTAATTATATATTGTATACTATTAACTGTGATGTTTGTGGTGAAGAAATTGAATTGTATTATTTTAGATTCATTGATTGTAAAAGCATTTGTCCCTTTGTATTTTTTTTAAATGAGTTTTTTTTTTTTATTAAGTTTTTTTATCAGCTACTACAAATTCAAGTTGTTTAAAGCATCTTTCTTAGTGAAAGAAGAAAATATACGTTTTCCATCCAAATGTCAATAAATCCTTGGCAAAGATTAAAACCTGAAAATCCATATTGTGTTTATTTCTCAATCAGTAATTCAGCAGTTTGAGGATTAAAACAAGTCTGTGGTGGTATCAACACCAGTTTGTCCAGTCTGTCAATCATCTCCTGCAGCTTCATCCTATTGGCCTGTCTCTGCTTGTCCCTCCTCTCCAGCAGCAGAACCTCTGTCTGAAGAAGCAGCTGGGCAGCCTGCCATGCTGGAAGCTCGTCCTGAGTATCGACCCCGCCGCGGGATCCCTCTGCTGGGTGGCTGCTGTGTCTGCCTGGCCTCCCGGTCTGGAGCCTGGCTCGGTAGACGTGGGGGAGAGAGGGCAGGTAAGGGAGAGGAGGCGGGAGCCAAGAGGTATCCGATCCACACTGCAACCTCTCTCCTATGTCCTCAGCATCCCCTCTGCCTCTCCCCTGGGGCATAAAATAGCAATATACAGGACTGAAATATCATTACAAAACAGCAATGACAATGACTTTGATGAAATTGCACTTTCTTGTTTCTTGTTCTTCTGGGTTTGTGTCCTTATGGTTGAAATGCACTTAAGTCGCTTTGGATAAAAGCGTCAGCTATAATGAGATTGTGTATATATATATATATATATGTATATATATATATATATATATATTTATATATATATACACACACACATCCATCCATACATTTGGAGGAGAAGCAACGTTACCACAGTGCACCCTTTCTTGAAGCGTCCCTTGAGTTTAGTCACATACGACATTGCATTCAATTTCATCAGACATTAAAGATCTTGTGTGTGTGTGTTTGTGTGCGTGTGTGTTGCACACCTGTCCTGTAGGCAGCCTCATTAGTCTTTCATCCAACTTCCCTAGCCCCCGGTTTCCGTGGTGACATATCCCTGCGCTGCCGCTGGATGCATCGTGTGTATGCTTCTCGACAACAGGATTCGTCAAATGGTTATCCAACACACTGTCCTACACACACACACACACACACACACACACACACAATTTTGTACAAATTTGCAACTTAAAAATTACAATAATTCTTTTGCGACAGGAAACTACAAATCAAGGAATGCGCTGCGTCTCGGCTGTCCCATTAACCAACGAGCATTTCATTTATTCAGGACGCAGGCGGGTGATCCACTTTTAAATGTAACGTTAGGTGATAGAATATCTATCTATCGTTCATAACCGATGACGTGTTTTAAATTCACATAAGATGCTGGAACAAACTGCTCTTAGCTCCGTTACCCCCCCCAACCCCGTGCAGCCCCTGACCCAGACTCTCACCTGACCCCCCCTGGGTCCATGTACTGTTCTTATGAACATCAATGTACCAACACACATTTATAACAAACACACAACACGTCTGCCCGCATCCGCCCGTAGTTATTAGTGAAGTTATGAACCTGAAACATATCTTTCAGAATAAATACACAAAGAAACTGAACTCGCTTTGCTCCTTTTATTGTGTTGTGTGATTATAAACTAACTTTACATTTAGTTGTGTTCTTATATATATATCATGCTCCGGAGGAGAAGCTTATTAAATGGCGGCACGGTGGCGTGGTGGTTAGCACTGTCGCCTCACAGCACGAAGGTTCTGGGTTGGACTCCGCCCCGGGGGCCTTTCTGTGTGGAGTCTGCATGTTCTCCCCCGTGTCTGCGTGAATGTGAGTGTGAACGGTTGTATGTCTCTGTGGAGCCCTGCTAATGGCTGGCCACCAACCCAGAGTGTCTTGGCTGGGATAGACTGCAGCGCCCCTGTGTGCAGGATAAGCGGTTTGACGATGGACGGAAGATTATCTTCTTTTTCTGTACTTTTTGGCTTTTAAGGCTTTTACTGTCAAGCGCAGCGGGTTGCTAGGCAACAGGAACAGCGGCGGTAACGCTGATGACGCAAGCAGGAAGTCCCCCCGTAGGCCAGACCGTCCCATTCCAGAGGCCGCTCGGTTTGTTGCTCCATTTGTTTTTACCGTCTCTCTTGCATGACATACACTTTAGTGGCAATTGAATGTTGTGTCTCACTCACCATCCAAGTCCAGAACACCTTCTCCACCTGTTTCCAGTTCAAATATGCTTCTAGGAGGTGACAGAGCTGCTGCACACACACACACTCCTGTAAAACACACACACATACACAGATACCTCGCACATTATAGTTTTACGGACACCATTAAGCATGTTGACAAAGTAAGAAGATATGATCAAAAACTTAACTTTAACAGTGCATTTTATAAGATTAACAAAATACAAAAAAAAAACTGTAACCACGGAGCAAAACTAAATGATGTTCAATGTTGAATTCTTACACTAAGTGAGATATTGAGTCCAACTTTACTAGCATAATATGGCCAAAAGCTTGGTAACAAAGAAGAAACAATAAAGAACATGACACAAACATTTAATTTTCTTGGCGTTGACAAAAGCAACATGACGTGTGGCCAGACAGTAAGATGTGTTTAACTCATGGTTATGTAACTAACTATGTGCAGGGAATGTTATTGGTCTTTCCTTTTATTAACATCAGCAGACACTTACCTCCCTCAGCGCGGTGGAGCTTTGATCGGAGGAGGAGGATACAGAGGAGGGAATGCTGGCAAATAAAACCTGAGAAAAATATGGATATCACAGAAATAATTTCAATAATCTATTTCAGTTACTTGTATTTGAAAACATTTCCTGATTTTAAAAGCACAGTACTGAACAGTTGACAGTAGCGAAAGAGTTTATACACAGAGTCTGCCTATTCTGACTTTTGGGACGTTTGCATCAATGAGGAGAAAAGGTCTTGGCTCTGGTTTGTCATTTACACGCTTGCTGCACAAAAGGCTTGATTTGCTTAACTTTAAGCAAACTTCCCAGCTGATTATTCCAGAATGGCAGCACGTGGGAAAGCTGGAAAACACAGGATTTTCCTCACCGCGTGGAGCAAGCGAGTCCTCTCCTCTTGCATGGACAGCAGGATCCTTCCCTGGTTTCTCTGGCGACCAATGAGCCAGTGAAGTCTCCTCAGAGACCCACAGTCTGATGGGAGCGGGTTGTTGGGCGGAGGGTTTACCTGACAGAGAGATATTAAGTCATACACATATACCATTACAGAAGTGGGTTTGACGTGGTGGCATACTTACAGGTGAAGGTGTGAGCAGTGTCTTGTCCAGCTGCTGCACTCGCCGGGTCAGCAGCTCCTCCAGCTTTCCCGTAGAGAGCAGCCAGCCCAGCGCCAGGAGAAGGTCTCTACCGGAGAGTCTCCCTCCCTCCTCCCCTCTTCCTCCTCCTCCTCTTCCCCAGCTCCCACACATCCAGTCCGCGTGGTAGCCAGTCTGCCTGAGGCCTGCCGCCACCAGCTCCCTGTTCTCTGCGGCTAATCACAGACAGAGAAGACAAACTGGGTAACTCTGTCAGTCTGCCTAATAGGTTTTACCGTCCATCAATTCATTTCAGTCTGTTTGGTCGAGCTACCCGTTAAGAGCGGCACAGAGTGGGTTTTTTTGTTCCACTCAGGGCTGCAGTGGAGTTAAATGTGGTTATAAACTAAGTGGGTACATGGTCATACAGGTGGTGGCAGAAGTCACAAAATGACGTTTTTATAAGTACACAGAACTGACTTTACACTTTAGAAAATGTGCCATTGTTTTTTTTTCTCTGTGCATTGATTAAATAAGCAAACACAGGTTTTGTCAGACAGGATGTTTTCAAATCATGCAGGGAGAAAATGAGAAAAGCACAAATAGCAGTCAGTTACCTCCGCCTGTCTCTGCATCAGCTTCACGCGAAACAAGGCTTGATGTCAGAAGGATACCGGCGAGCAGCTGCCAGAACTGGTCCTCCTAAGAAACGAGAGGAAGCAGAGAGATGGCAGATACGTGCAGTACACGGTCTGTTAGAAGAGCCCGCACTGCTTTATGACGTGGTGCTGTAATGTAACTTTACAGCAAAAGAGAACAGTTACATTTCACCCTGAGAGTGACAACAGGAAATGAACGTACCACCTCCGGTCCACCGCCGAATTTAGCCCGTCTGAAGTTCTCCGGTGGGGGGACACGATCCAGGCCGCTGGCCGCTAGTAGTGTACACAGAGCTCCGATCACCTGCTTCACCTCCACGGCCACAGCCGCTTTACTCCGCTGCATTTCGGCCTCGGTGCAGGCATTCGCCCGGAGGCTCTATCCACTCAGCTGGGTCACTTTAATTTTCTGCTTTTCAACCGACATTTTCTTGAGAAACTTCTCCCCGCCGCAAAGTTGAGCTGTCGATATTTGGCGCATATGCGAATAACTTCCGGGTACGAGGGCCGTTGCCATGGAAGCGAATGGAGGAAGTTGTGAGTGATATCTGCGTTGGCCAATTGTAAATGGGACTCAGAAAGCGGTGGACTGGACTCACTTTTCATTGGTGCGCTGAGGAGGCACGTGTTTCGAGTGCTGCGACGGGTGCCACCTCATGAGCCTTGTCCACGGGGGAGTGGGGGTCGAGACGACACGTCAATGTGCCAATCACGTGACTGTAATAAGTTACCTGTTGATATAATTACAACCCAAACCTGTTGGGGTGTATTAGTCCAAGTAGCTACTAAATGATTCTGTACTAGGCTACATTTTCTGAAATCTTGACTAATATATTTCACGTAAATGTTCAACTAAGTATACCTGAACAGCATTTATTTGAAATGATTAAAACATAATAACTTCATAAGTGCATGAATAAACATGCCTAAACACTTGAAAACAGGAGAATCATTGAACAAAACCAATTGTTTAATGTAATTAATAAGTACACGCTACATTCATTAACCTTTAACTTGTTCTATTCCAGGTCTCTGAAGCGAGCTAAAAAGATGGTAGCCGGCCCCTCTCACCCCGGACAGGAACTGTTTGTGCCCCTTCCATCTGGCAGGAGGCTGAGAGACCTCCCGCCACACCAACAGTTTCTTCAACAGAGCCGGTCCCCCACTGACTGACTCTGACATTCCACCGGTCACTTTAACTGTAATTTTTCACTCGTCACTTTGTCGTCACTCGTCACTTTGTCACTTGTTCAATAGTGCACTTTATTTTTTTATATTTTTTAACTTTTTAAATATTTTTAATTTTTAACTTTAACTTTATTCTTATTTTATACTAACCCAAAGCCTTATTCTACTAACCCATTGCATTAGCATTTCATTTTATTTTATTACTTGTGCACTGCTGTCTTGTTGTCTATTGTTACACTGTCTACTGTCACGCACCAACAGCCAAGACAAATTCCTTGTATGTTTGACATATTTTGGCAATAAATGTTTCCTGATTCCTGATTCCTTTGAATCACATTGAAAAAATAAGCAAGATGTGTGATCTATACATCCAAAATGAAATGACTGTAAAATACAGTGTACAAATACAAACACCTAAAACACAGTGCCAAACACAGCTGTGGATGTATTTTTGTGCATGCAAGTTAACACTCTCGGCAATGTTGGTTCCACAGTCCTGCCTGAAGGCGGTCAATCTTCAATCATTTACCTACTTAGTCTAATATGATGTAAATGTAGCATTACACATCTTATATAGTAGTTTCTTCATTGAGGGAGGACAGTGTTTTGGCCCATAAATAGTATTTAGCTAATCCGGTATTACCACTGATAAGGTCCATTTTGGTCCCTGGCCCACAAGGCCTCAAAGTGGCAATCGCTAAGATTTCAGTCCAGGTGGAATTGGACCAACGCAGACATTGTTAGACTCAAATTCTAATCTCACGGTTTTCACTCAAATAGAAATTCTATCTTTTGTGTGTTTAGAAAATTTTTGAATATAGCATTTATTTCCGGTAATGAAACCCCAGACACCCAGTATCTGCAAATAATCATCACACTCCTTCACTTGTAAATCTTCAAGATTGCCACTTTAAGCATTGATATTTTTTAACTTTTTGCGTTCTATAAAACATAAACTCTGTGTTTATTGGTTGACTTGTGCTCTTCTATCGTTAATAAAGTGAACGCTGTTGTAAAAATGATTATATAAAAAGAAAAGCACCATGCCCAACCATACAAAACTCAGATATGCTCCTCAGCTCTCTCCATCTGCTTCATCCACTTCCTGTTTGATGATTGGGGTTCCTGGAAGCCACAAGAAAAGAAAACTCGAATCATTACGTCAAAGAAACATTTTATCGCTAATGTGTGTCTCGTAGCTGACAATGTAAAATGTACTTATTGTTTTTATTTTATTGTTTCTCTTTTTTCCATTAACAAGTAAGTAAATAAAGTATTCAAAGAAAAGTAAATATTCATTTAATAAGTATTTATTTCACTTAACATAAACTAAGCTGACAAAGCAAAAAGCCTCTTGATTAATTTGGCAATTCATTTCAAATCATTTCCATTCTAACACACGCCATTGCTGAAACGATCTTACCATCTAGTTTCCGGAGGTTGGGTAGTCTTTTAGAGGCTTCATCCATCCAGGTTCCCTGGGCCGACTGCTTCTCCTCCAGAGGGTTTCCAACAAACCCCAGGTCTGCAAGGCAGGGCAAGTTGGCCAGCCTGCAAAACTCTTCTGCACAACACAGACATTCCCGCATGTATCAAATGAAAGTAAGCACACAGGATTCCTACACCAACAGACCATCAGCAGAGTCTGTGGGGGGAATAGAGGTTGTTCTTAACTACTGATATAGTTATCCACTTTGATTAAACACAATTATCCTAGGCAGGAAGAAGAGATTTTTCTGTAAACAGGTAACTTTAAAGCCTCATACAGGTTCCATAAAACCAGGAATAAAGACAGCATAGTAATGTTAATCTCAGTATCTTTGTCTATCTCAATACATGTGGATTGTGTTGATGAACGTAGCTCACCCCATTCTTTGACCAGGTTGTTAGACATGTAGAGGACTCGGAGTTTCTTCATGGATTCAATTCCCTTTAGTGTCTCAATCAAGTTATAGGAGATCCACAACTCTTCTAATGTGCCTGCCACTACCTCCTGCGCATGAGTACACACACATACACACAATGATGCAAAATAATAAAAGCAAATAATTAAAACACTGCTAAATATGTTGCATACAGTATGTAACTTACCAGCCCATTGAACGACTTAATATTATTCCTTCCTAATGACAATATCTTCAAGTTATCTGGAAGACAAATACACAACTACACATTACAAACACACGTTTCCATCGCTGAAGAGGGTGTGTTGGTTGTTTCGTGTATTTTCTGCAGTCAGGACTCACTCAGGCCATTGAGATTGGTGATTTTTCCAATGCAGTTTGTGGACATAGAGAGCTTCCTGTGGAGTATACAGTATAAAACATATTAGGTATTTCAGGATGCTTTGACCAGAGGGAAAACTATGGGCATAGCCAGCGTGTGACAGCAGTGCAGAGCCAACGGCCCTAAACTCACCTGCGCACTAAAAGCACGCGCAGAAGGCCAACCCATGTTAACAAATTGAGGAGAAACTCGGCTAATAACACATGCAGGGGAAGAGTGACACCAATCTCTGTTCAGGTAGACGTTACTCTTCAATATCTTTACATAGATAATAACTGTTCCTATTTTAATCGTCTGAATGTTGTACATTGCTTCTTCAATATAACTAAGACGCTCTGTGGTAGTTGCAATTTTCATTAATTGAAATAATTATTCTGCTTGCTACTCCCGTTACATTAATAATTTCAGTCATATGCATTGAATGTAGCACTATCATGTTGCTCATTCTGTATACGTGACTTCTATTGCAATCAAGAGGATACTTGACAGACATGAGCAATGCCCAGTTTATACTTTGAAATAGTACAAATTGTTTCAAAGACCAGGTTAATAACAGTTAGAAATGTTCCCACTGAAGATTGTGCTACGACTTGTTTAGTCTAAATTTGTAGTTTAGAGCTTCATGGGTGATCAAATGGTACATGGTACGTGTCTGTAAGAAAACATATATTATATTATTTGTATATAATATTTTTTAATATATCTAAGGTAGGAATGGAAATTAAAAACCATAACAACAATTAAGAAACACAACCTATTTTTTGTTGCCTTGTAACAGGACTCACTCGCAGTTGGTGAGTATTGACAGAGAGGAATCCATCTTCTCTATAGGAGGAACCTGACCATACAGTTTTATGGCTTTGCTCTCGCTCACTTTCTCCCCCGACTTCTCCTCCTGCACACACACACACACACACACACACACACACACACACACACACACACACACACACACACACACACACACACACACACACACAAACAAAGCATGAAATATGAAATCATCATGCAACTACTGTCAGGCATGAATTTGACACATTGGTATGAACACAAATAGATAATCATGTTTCAAAATATTGCATAATATTCTGTCCGTGCATTTAACTCACCAATTTGGCGAGGGCTTCTTTCACAGTCGTTGCTTTGGCCTGCTGACATAAGATCAAATTCCATTAGACAGAGGCAGGTGTCTAATCATCTAGTGTGATGATAAACCCAGCAGAAAAGCCAGCCGCAGTGCTAAATTAAGCTCACACGCTTTTAATATAAACTGTCTTCATTTTCATTTTTATTTGAGGGATGGGGGGCCACGACCGAGGCCGAGTCATTCCAACTATTCGGTCTCATCTTAGTCCTCCCAAACTAGCAGGAGGAAACCCTGTCAAGCTGAGGTTAGACACAGAAACATTTAGGGCAAGCATGATGTTCGCCAGCTAATTAACGTTAGCTATCCAATTCAGCTAATTAACGTTAGCTATCCAAATCAGCTAATTAAAGGTAACTAGCCCACATTAGCAAACACAAAAAATATATCCCACGTAATATAAATATATATTGGCTTTAGAAAGGAAAATGTGGCATGTTCGAAATGGTTAAAGTCGTAACGCGTCGCTAAAAAACACGAAATAGTAACAAAATCAACCGACGGCACGAACACTCACCATGTTGACGGTTGACGTCGTTCCTCTGGTTGCTATGGCACTAACGGGCAGCCTGCACACTGCGCATGCGCCCTTCACGTGTGGCTGTGACAGGCTTTGACCCAGTTAAATGCAGATGAACACGACAACTGTTGGCTTCCTATGTCATTACGACTGTGGATGGTGCACAATGAGTGAGTGTATTTGCTGTGACAGATTCGTCACCCATTATTACAAGGTCCCTCGTCGCAGATGCGGCGGATATTTCCCTGCGAGCCTTTCTTCTTGAAAGCAAAGAGAAGGACTCAGATGTTGACCATGACTGTCCGCAAACTGAAAACGGCTCTTGATATCCGCCCGTAACAACGTGAGAGTCTGGTCCATCCGTGCATAGAGGGAGGGATCTGTGGCGTGTGTATGGTGGATTGCAGCGCCTACCGATGTATCCCGCATCGCAGTAGCGCCCTCCAGTGACACAACGTCAGTATTGCATCCAGTTATGTTCTCGAAGCTGCCCGCCTTCATCACCTCTTCAGATTTCATCCAAGTTTGAACTGTTTTTGCAAGTCACTCGTGATCTACAGTAATGGGAATGTGGAAATCCGATCCCGTTGATGACGACATGTAGTAACCAATCGGAATTGATTTAAATCAAGCAAGACAATAATCAGAGGTGTTGATGCGAGCCGTCACACATCACCTCACGTTGAACAAATGGGAGCCACCATAATACAAATAATACCTGTCTAACTATTAACATTTTTTTCTCATTTCATCAGTAGTATGTCCATAGTGAAGGTGTCATGGCCTGCTGTAGATAGATATAGTGTCAAACAAACATTTATGATACTTACACATCTTTTTCAGTAAGATAATTTCCACAAACGTTACCATTACTGATATATGGAAAAACCACACTAACGCACACCATTCACACATATAGGAGAAGGGAAACAAACACACAGGAGGAGAGATAGAGAGACAGAGGAGAGACCAAATCTCCCGGAGGATAACAAAACAGAGCACTGACACACTTGTCCATGTGTTGATAACAGAGCTTGAGTCAGGTCGTTTCAGGTCAGTTATGGGTTAGCCTAGCTTAGCAGGGTAAACAGCTTGCATGTGTACCAAGTCCCCCAGGAGTAGCTCCTTGCTTGGAAGTAGATACAGAATACCATATTTCCAGATCCATTGTATAATAAAAATATAAAAATATTTTTCCTATTGGACTTACACTGCTGGACACTATTAGTGGACTGATTAAACAGACGTTTGAGGGTCACCAGCTGTTACGTTGACGCCAATACAACAACGGAAGAAAAGAAGATCGCTCTCTTGCCAACATTCCCATCCTGAGAGGTGATCAGTGGGTGTTCAGTCTTTGTAAAGTCATCATGGGGAAGTCGGAGTGTTTTTCAGAGAATAAGCAATTCTGGACAACAACACGGGCACAGAAAATAATATGCTGCAGAATCTGCTTAAGTGAAGGCATCTTGGTCTGCAATGCCTTTGAATTATGCAACATTGGAATGTTTTATGGTTTGATAGTCACAATGAAATGCAATAGACCTTTGCCCAAATATCTGCATAAATTGATCAAATGCACAAAACAAATACCTCATCCTGTATTTAGTTAGGTAACTGTGTTTTTTCATGAGAGTAAAGGGTAAAGGTAGCAGGACAATAGTGCTACTAATATCTATTGTGGCACAAGTTATGAAAAGATTACGGGTTGTAAGCAATGGCCTTAATAATGCTTTATAGTTTAGTAATAAACCATTAACAACAATGATACAACAAGTTTGCTTGGGTGGCATGTGAGAGTCTTCCTCCAGCAAAATTTGCTTAGTCTTTTTAATTGCGACCCAAATATACAAATTGAACCACTTGCAAAGTGCACCTCAAATTAAATCCATTAATTAATAACTTATTAACATTTAAGCCGCTTAATATTTCTGCCCAAAAAGCCAAGAGGGTAATTAGACTGACTAAAGAGAGTATGTGAGCTCACCAGACCAGAACATTGGTGACCCAGGCGGACACGCGCATCAACCAGAGACTAGCCGGACCTATGAATGGACCGCCGGGGCTTTTTGGCCAACCAGAGCGCCACTTGCGCCATTAATAGAGGCACTTAATGGAACCACAGGAACTCTCAGGCAAATCACGGCGTCACATAGAATAACAGGAGGGTAGTTGAATAATAACATTAACATTAAAGGGTATTTTCAAAACAAGGTGAAAGTCTTACAACTTAAAGACAATGTTGATCAAATTAAACTTTTTTTTTTCTTAAAATTAAAGTGGAATAATACTTTAGAGAATTATTTCGTCTATTCTATAATGTCATCTTCATTCACTAGGTTTTGTCACCTCGTATTGTCACTGTCATTGTACATGGGTTCCACTTTTATAACTGTTGATGTGTATGACTGGACCCAAAAAGGTGAACATCCTTCTTGATGCTGTAGAACGGTTTTTGAGGGCTTCAGGCTGCTGGTCTCTCTCTCATTGAGTCTGTTTTAATCATTACGAGTTCCCAACTCTTTCGCTTGGAGTTATACATGTATACATTTAATCCAATTACAATTCACCCACGTTTCATTTTCTTTGGCAGTGACAATTGAATTTATGTTCAACTTCTGGGTGGCTTTGTGCAAATATGACACAGGTCCTCTTAGACGGAAGATTTCACAAGCCAATAATGTCCTATAGTTCTGCTCAGTGTTTTTTATGGACAGACCCACATCCTAAAGTATTGGTGGTTGGAGTGGTCGACATCCAGAGGAGGAGCAGCAGCCCACAAAACACATGACAATGTGGGTCATTTGCCTAAAGAGTATTGCTGGAATTGCTTCATAAGCAGTTATTTTCCAAAATGGTGGCTATGGGACAAAGTGAGCCATGGCCTAAGGAGTATATTTAGCCAGTGGTTCAACATACCCCCCCCAATGTAAGACACTAGAGACGTTAGACACTAGAGACGTTATTGGGTCTTCTCTCAACGAAGAAGTGCTCATTAGATCAGCGGTTCCCAAACAAGAATGCCGCGGCCCAATTTGAATTCTGAAAATCTTTTGCGGCCCACCCACACCTTTAATCACAACTCTGATCAAAACATAAACTAGGGATGATTATATGACCTTAAGAATGTAACCGATTAAAAATGTATTAACCGACAATGTATGTTTTGTATACCATTTTCTCCGGAGCTCATATATATTTACTTTAATACTACAAGAGGGCGCGCCATTTGACATATTTTTATATTAATTTCAAACTTTTCAAAATTGAAAATTAAAAACATTTTCTTTATTTATTGTAAATGACCATTGCGGCCCACACTTTGGGTATCGCTGCATTAGATAATTGAGATGATGCCATGCCTACATTAACCTCTTTTCGGTGCCGCCATTGTTGTCTAGAACAAACAGTGGTACGGAAACCAACTAAGCAACTTCCAATGCTTCCAGTAAGTCCTCGTGGGAAGTTATCCGCTCTTTCCTCTGGCTAAGCCACAAACGCGTTACTTGCACCATAAAACTGTTTCTCGCATTGGTCTCAATTAACGCTCGGATTCCCGCGTGATCCCGTCGTGAGATCGCGAGAACACAGCTGCCGAGCGAGGTAGTTCTCGCCCCGCTCCGCCGGCACAGTGCAGGCAGAGGTTGTAAACATGGCGGCGGACGGGATGGTGCTCACCAACCACGACCATCAGACCCGAGTGGGGATTTTGACGGGTAGGAGCCTGTTGGTTAAAATGCAATGAAATGCTTCTCAGTCACGCACCTGCGTGGGGTTTTGCCGACGGTTGCCTGTGCACGTCGGTGTCACGATACGAGCTGTCGCCGCTGCCAACCTAGCTGTCGTTATCCAGTATGCTAAGCTAACCGGTCATTGCTCTGACGTTAACGTTAGCTGCTTTCCGTATTTGACAGGTCGGGCAGATGCGGGGTATGCTTTTGTAACGACGTCATTTTGAATTCCTGTGGAGAAGTCTGTTTGTGTGTATGTGTGTGTGTATGTGTATATGTATATATATAAATATATATATATATACATGAATGTATGTGTTAGTGTTGAGACTGGCTGTCATATTCCATGTCGTTCTAGATGGCTGCACGACATTGTAGAGATATATTTTAATCAGCGTCAAGTGAGACAGAAGGAAACCGAGACTCGTGAGGACTTTCAAAATTAGACGGCCCATTCCTTTGGTGAGCGACTACTGCAATGATACATTAACTACGGTTGGAGCTTTTATTGTGGAAGAAGCCCCCCGTTCTTCCGTTGTGACTGTGGCTGTATGTTGCCGCCTTGACGCAAGGGAACGTTTTATTTTTCCTCCAGCAGTGGAGCGATAGCGAGCCTACATCAGCTGCATTATTCATGTCCCTTTGCAGATCCGATGTGTCGGCCGCTACTGACGGTGATCTTCATTAACATTTCTGTAACGGTTCCCTTGGCGGCCATTTCATGTGGCACCAATCTGTATGTGTGTTTTGAAGCTCACTGCAAAATGTACAATTATGAGTCGTGCGTTTGGTGTCTATTAAAAGCCACTTAGAAGAAAAGGCCGACTGCCAAAGCCCCCCCGCCCGCCCCCAACTTGTGCAGGTTGTTCGGCAGCTCTCCTAAAAAGCTCAGCCGATGTTCGTCCTGAGTCGTGCAGTGGGTGACTGGGACCAGTATGTAGTCGTGTGGCCGTCCCCAGTAGCCCCGCTACCTCCCCACCAGGCATGGAGGGCCTGGAAGGGGGGACGTGAGAATAATTCTAAGAGGTTGCGTCCCAGCAGCTGGCTGGGAAGTCTGTCGTGGTCTTGATGAGCTAGCATTTTAGCTAACGGCAGCTAACCCCTGCTGTCCACATAGCCAACAACCACAACCTTCTGTCGTGTGTGTGCGCGCGCCAACTTTGTTATTTGCAAGTGCCTTCATTATTTCATAGATGGAAGCCGATTTCTGCCACAAAAAAAGGAAGGGTTAGAAAGTGGAAATGAAGTCTTAAGATGTGCGCATGCGCAGGCCCCTTGCAGCTGGTTGTTGACATCACTACGGTCACAGAGAGGCGTCGTTCGGGTCTCGCTGATGAGCTATTGAACCGCGAAGTCCGAATCTGTGAATATCTTGCCAACTTTACCGAACTGTAAAAGTTCTACGGACACTTGCACCCACTCACTCACCTCATAACAAACAGGGGGGGACAGATCCGCCTGTCGTACAGTGGTCCGCTTTTAGCGGAGTCTAGATTATCTTCGCTATTTCCGAGTCCGAAAAGATTAAACTTATTGGGAGATAAAAAAGCTTTCCGGGTGGTATTTATTCCGTAGCAGTGGTGATTAGTGACGACTAAAAAGTCCTTTTATTGAACCAGTGTTGTCAACTCCTCCACGATGAAGGACTTTCAGTCGACGTGACGTATGTCTCCTCTGTGCTCCGACTGCTGCAAGCCGACTAACTGCCAAACGATACGTGCTTTCACCTAAAAGTCTCCAATAAAGCCAGATAAGGTCGCAGGATTTGTCGCTGGTCGCACTGACAAAAAGTATTTTCTCTTTGGTGGAAATGGGCTTCCATAATTAAGAGTTTGGTTGTAAAAAGTATTTTAGTTACGCGTGTGTATACATATATTAGGGCTGGGCATGTTAACGCATTATAAATGCTGTAACCTCCACGCCTGTCTCAAGTCTTTAGCACACTGCATCAGATTGTTTTCAAGGATCCATCTTCCCCTCAGTTCTGACTAGTTTCCCTGTACATGCTGAAGAAAAGCATCCCGTGATACCGCCAAAATGTTACATTTTTGTCTCATCTGACCACAGCACCTTCTTCCACATGTTTACTGTGTCTCCCACGTGGCTAGTGGCATACTCAAACCATATTTGTTATGGTTTACTTTCTCCTTGCCACTCTTCCGTAAAGGCCAGATTTGTGGAGTACACGGCTAATAGTTGTCCTGTGGACAGTCTCAGCTGTGGATCCTCCAGAGTTACCATGGACCTCTTGGTTGCTGCTTTATTTTCTCCTGGTCCTGCTCGTCAGTTTTGGGGGACGGCCTTGTCTTTGCAGCTTTTTTTAGTTTTAGTTTTTTCTTTAGTATTCTATTGTCTTGAAAGCTAAATGTGTACTGCAAGGTGTTTAAAGAGCAAGTGGGTGTAGATCCAACTGCTCTGTGGAGAAATCCTCCATGTTAAGGGAAAAGGATATTGTGGTTAGCTAGTTTGGAGAGAGTCCTCCAATGTGCTCCATGAATATTTGTTTGTGGCTTTGGTTACTTTGCCATATAACGACTCATACATCATATTTCTGTGTCCGACCTGTGGTGGAAGTCAGGAAGCCTCGTTGTTAAATCTTCAGCCAAATCGGTCACAACTGCATATTTATTTGATTTCCCTTCATTCCAGAACAATCCATTGGATTTTTTTTTCTTCCCCAGTTCAGTGTTGAACGTGGCTTTAAGGGGTTGAAGGGGTCTGTCTGCAGATGGAGATAACCAATCGAAATGGCTGAGGTTTGCTTAGCTGGACTCCACTAGTCACGTTAACTATCTAGAGTTTTGCCCTTGAACCAAGTGCACCAAAGTTTCACAACAAGCTATTTTTCTTCTGGGACTAATGAAAATGTGTGCAAATGCTTCAAAAGTCTATAATAGAGTGTAATAGTTTTTCAATGACTTGTATTTTCTGGTGAGAAGTCACTTATATTTATGTTCAGCAACCTGCATGATAACATTTCAAAATACAATTTATTCATTTAGAAAAAAGTGTATAAATAGTTTGATATTTTTGGAAAAGGTAAAATGTGTTAGATGAAAGAACTGATACCACTGGCAAACCGCTCCGTTAGGTAAACCGTTGCACCCTGCTCCGGTTAGGGGAGACTGGAATTAGGGGGAAACGGCCACAGCAGCTCTGTCAGAACCAGTCTGAAGTTTGACTGCTTGCATTGTAAGACTTACTGGGCAGATTTTTATAATTCATTATTTACATTTCTGTAGAAGACAATGGCATATACATACATTCGGAATTGCATTTGAACCCTTGAAACATTAATTAGATCACGATAATGTGCCTGGATGAACGACCATTGAAGTGAACTAATTAATATTGACCAAGATTCTACTTTTCTTTGTAGTCCAGCAGTTTCTGCGTATCAGTGACCACTTTTACTTTTCATCACAATCTTCTGTCTCATGACCTGAACTTCTGTCTTCCTTAGTCAGTGACAGCTGTTTCAAGAACTTGGCTGAGGACAGGAGTGGAGTTAACCTGAAGGACCTGGTCCATGATCCCTCACTGTGAGTCCTCACGCACACACATGTCTGTGAGTCAGATCAGTCCATTATTAACAAATGCACACACAAAGTTTCACTGCTGTGTTTCCTGATTTATTTTTAAGGAGCTTGAGTTATATTTTGCCACGCATACCGAAATTATTAATCATAAAAAGATACACGTAGTCCACACATATATTTCTGATGCAGTCCTGCATTTTAGTACTAACTAATAGAAATAAAAAAATCGATTTCTTTCAAAGGATTTGCAATGCATACTGCGTTAGTGAAGGTGGCAGGATATGACATCCAACACTAGGGTTAGCTAACAAGCGCATAAAGTACACGCATGTACGTGGACTGATTTTACACTGCCTCCGTCTTGCTCTCCCCCTACCTCCTGCAGGCTTGGAGGAGTCATAGCGGCCTACAAGATCGTCCCAGATGAGATTGATGAAATCAAGGTAGGTGTTGTTGCAATGAGCTCACCAGTGATGCCATCGCTCCCAGTTTTACCAGACACACAGCAATATGAGGTGAAAACTGGACTGTCTTCACACTTTCCCACAGAAAGTCCTAAAAGAAGACCCGCGCGAGAAACACTGACAACCGGGACACTTCTCAAATAGTGTCTGAATCTATTTGTTTGTTTTTCACATATGCAAAGGAAACTCTTTTGGAGTGGTGCGATGAACAGCAGCTGAATCTCATTCTCACTACCGGAGGAACTGGATTTGCACCACGCGATGTAACGCCTGAGGTACAAACACACACGCAAAATACTGTAAACATGGCCTAGGTTACACACTCACAGCAGCTCATGTGTTTCCACACATCTCTATGCGATCTGCATGCTCACATAGTGACTGGATATATTGATAGCGTTAAAATGACGTGCGTAATCAACTGGTGATTACAATCGGGACAATTAGAAACTAAATTACAGGCTCTGTTAGTAAACTGAACAAACGGCTTAAAAAAATGCATTTTGTATTCTAACCAAAGGAGAGATTTCTGACGTCTGAACCAGCTCCGGATGCTTTGTTTTGCAGGCCACCAGAGAGGTGATAGAGCGAGAGGCTCCGGGAATGGCTCTCGCCATGCTGATGGGATCGCTCAACGTTACACCGCTAGGCATGCTTTCCAGGTGAACCGTAACCTTTTCACTCCTGCTGTTAACCGTCTGTCAGTTAAGAGGTGCAGGTCCCTGAACCAGCATGTGAAGCGCTAAATCTGCTAACCTGATCAATTCTAACCAGTTATGTGTGCGTGGTGTCCTCTCCTGCACTAATCGGCTTCCTACTTGCATTGTCTCTCCAGGCCTGTGTGTGGTATTCGTGGTAAGACCCTGATCATCAACCTGCCAGGGAGCAAGAAGGGCTCTCAGGTAGGATTCTGTGCTTTTCTGAACTCTGCTAGAATCCTATAAATGCTTACTCATGCAATGTAGCCAATGGTGATGATGCATTTTGAATAAACTTCAAACATGTGGATTCAATTGAAATAAGATGGGTGAAGAACGGATTCTGACTAGTTTCAGACATCAAACTCAAATGAACTTTACTTGAGATTTACTTCTCTTAAACCATGGCTTGGTCCCAGCTGTAGATATATAATGGAAGTAGAACGGACATTCACGGAGGTGAATTTGAACGGAGTCTTCATTTAGCTCTTTGATGCCAAAGTATAACTTTTTGGCCCTAAAGTTATTTGAATAAATGAAAAGAAGTCATTTAACCACTTAGTCAGTGATTGGAAATGTCATCACAGCTATACAGAACTGACAATATATTATGAACAGCATCATTTCACAGGAAAGCTGGCTGCTGTTTTTCAGTGACAAAGCTTCACAAACGTGCCCAATATATCAATAGTGTTAAGTAAGAAAGTACGAAGCAACTACAAAAGTGCAGCAAACTTTCACTTGCTCATTGTCTCAAATCCCCAGGAGTGTTTTCAGTTCATCCTGCCCGCTCTGCCCCACGCCATCGACCTGCTGCGCGAGGCCACCGTCAGGGTAAAGTCCACTCACGCCGCCCTGGAGCAGCTGTCCTCCCCTTCCCCTCTGCTGGCCAACGCGCACATCGACGCACACATCAACATGCACACCATGGAGCGTGGCACCCAATGCGAGGACGAGGACGATGAGGAGGACGACGACGAGGAGGAGGACGAGAGGAGGCGGGGTCCACACGTGCACAACCACCACCACCACCACCACCACCAGCACGGCTCCTCCCACATCACCGCAGCCGCTATTGCTGCCAAGGTAACCTGCCGCCAGGGCACTCCGCCACCAGCCCCACAGCTGGAGACTGATAGATGAAACTTTAATGATCCCTGTGGCAAAATTGGCTCACTGCAGCTGCAATTGACGACAGACAACCGCTGCTCGAATGTCACAAAGCTACACAAAAATCAATATTTGGTTTTAAAAGAAATCGGCAGCAATTCTATCTAAAATCTAAACATTCCTATCTTTTTCCCCCCACTGATAAAAACATTCTAGGTTTGATCAATCTGAAAGTTGCTTTTTTAAGGAAAAAATAGTGCTTTAGTATATTTTATACCACACTGTGGGCACTTTAATGTGAAGTTATCCAACTTTCACTTTTTATCTCAAGCGCATATTGAAACAAGGAGCAGCTTACCCCGCCCCCCCCGATTCAGCAGTAATCTTCATTTTGGTTTTCATGTTCCGTCCTATTTAACTGAAGGCATTGCTGATTTGTGGTGAACACAATATCTTCTATTATCCAGGACTTCCCATGATCCCTGTAACAGTGTGGCCATAATCAAGTGATCATGCATGGTCCAGCCATACGCTAGGATTACACCAGTCTTGTTAATATAATACTCCAGTCAAATGTCCACTTTTTGTGTTATCATTCATTAACCAGATTGAAGCACTGCATTTCATCTCATTCACCTGTCTCACTGGGGACATTTGTCTGTCGGTCGGTGTGCGTGCGTGCGTGCGTGTGTGTGTGTGTGTGTCTGTGTGTCCATCAGACAAGCCATGCTGCGGTCATGGCTAAGGGTGGTCCCTACCTGCTTGGCAACACGCCTGCCCCGCCCACTCATTTCACCTGCTCCTGCACCCATGACCAGCAGGTGAGACCCTCCCACACACCCCTCCTCTCCCTGTCATTGGTCACTTCATCGTGTCGTTCAGGTAATCACTGCCTGGCCATGTTCTTCACATGTGCATAGACATAATGCAGCTTTAAAATAACCAATCCCAAATAGTTCATCAGCTATCAGTCATGTTTGTAAAATGTTTAATTACAAACTGAAATGTAGAAAATCCATAAACTTACCTTAGGAAGGATACAGAAGGTTCCAGCAAGCGGTGGGCAGCTGTCCATGGTGTCACTGGTGCAGTCACAAGGAATCATGGTTCTCTGCTCACGTTGCCTTTAGGAAAAGAAGTCATTCTAAACGATGTTCTAGATCGATTATTTATATATATATATATATATATATATATATATATATATATAGAGATAGATATCTCAGGTGGTTAGATAGGATTTAGTCCAACTTCATGTTGGCCTGGTTTATTAATATCATTTATAAAAGCAGTTTGTAGGTATGATCACATTTACTTTACAGCTTGTTTTGATAATAATTGGACATTGTGTATTCGTGGTCACCTTCGCAATTGGTTTGAGAACTGAGACAACAAAGTCATCCATGTATTCCTATTTGATGTAAATATGTCAGTGTAGCATACACTCAGTGCTGTAGTGGTAAAATTAGAGGTGGGTAAACTCTGAATTTTGTGATCATACAGACCTCGACGCGATGCGAAGCAACGCAACACAAAGCGTTGCGACTCTGTAAGGCTGTCCTGGCTATATTGCATTATGTTATCAGTAAAAGTCATATACAATCAATGACAATGAATAAATGGGTTAGTAGTCTATTAAATCTAAGAAAACATTGAAGAAAAGTATGTCAACACAACAACACAATTGCAGATTAAGAACTATCTACATACGGAGTCTCCTTTTTACAGTAGTGCCCAGAGGGCCTCCTGGTCCTGCCTTGCACAGAGCAGCCATGAACCCCAGAACACGTTCATGGCTCCTCTGTGCTTCTCTCTCTATTGGACCTGGTGTTTCTCTGTGTTCTCTGCATCATTGCCTGTCCTCTCACTGCCTGAAAAAATATGTTGAATTTAAGAGTTAACCAGTTAAGCAGCCTGTCAATTACACTGACAATATGAGTTAAAGGAACACTCATGTACTACCTATGTCATCATAAATAGCCTACACAGCATTGTTTTCCAATCTACGCGTCACCAGGCGTTTTCTTGTCCTTTTACCGTGCACGACCAGCGAACACAGCGCACGAAACTACTCCTCATCACTTGAGTTTTTTATGTACCTAAACAATTTAAATGACAGTGAAAATAAAAAATAAGATTAATTGAAAAGCAATATTTCTTGATTTTATTTGTTACAATATATATATATATATATAAATATTTGCTTGGAATATTTTTGCTATTTTTTCTCTATAGATACACAACAGATCAACAGATAGTGGAAGGATGTGCAAATGCATCAAAGTATTCAATATATAGAACATCATTATCGTTTATTTACTAAGTGAGAAAAGGTGACGGACAGAAATGCTCAAAGGCTAACGTGCTAATAGTCCTTTGATCCATTGCCATGGTGACAGACGGCATGCTAATATTCAGAGAATCTGAACTGAACAATCCAAGGGTTCGGTTTGAGACCTTCAGTATTAGCCGAAGGTTTACTGAGCGATTTGTAGCATCTGTCTGGCCACCAGTCACTAACGGAAGTCAGCAGTAAGAAGACGATTGACCAGAATCCCCGTCGCTACAGTACTGGAGCAGGCCGTTTCCCCAGGGTGTGTTATGTTGTATTTGTTTTCTCTTAAGAGTTATAGTTATTCCTTTCACTTTTCATCTCAAGTCAGTACACCGATAGATTTGAGTCTGTAATTGTAGAAAAGCCTAAAGCTCGCACAAAGCAGCAGGTCTATGCTGTTGTGTAAAACACAAGTCTGTCATCTAAGAAACCCATGCTAGGTATTACACTCACTCTGCCTGCGTCGGGAAATACCCCTAAGCTAGCTGCTAATGACCACTTTGGTAATGTTATGTAGAGTACAGCAGATGTTGAGTACAGGCTTGGTTTGTGTGTCGTATACACTAACAACACTAGTAACTGTTACCTTTCTGCAAAGAAGTAGCTGCTTTTAACAATCCCATCTTGGGGGATGGCTCTTGAGTTTGAATCAACAACATGATCACACTATTTGAAGTCTTAATTATTGCTTCTTGGATTAATATTTGCCCTCTGTGGTGATGTGTGTATTCAGTCATAATTTACTTTATTATAACAGTATTTCATTTAAATCAGTGTCTTATTATCATCAGGTTTTGAGGTGAATGAAGTCCCTCCTACCTGCAGGGTTCTCTATCCTGGCCTCCAGTCAAACTGTCTCAATCTTCACCCAGCAGAACATCCTCAACATTTACCACTGACTGGACGTCTGTGGCTTAGGATAGAGCACATCTGGGGAAACTACATCTGAACCCAAATGTTTCATTATAACTCTTCTCCACCGGTGTAAAATCATTGAACAGGACATTTATGAAATGCTTACTATGCTTAATTCCAGTTTTATTTTCAAAGTATTATGTTTGTTATAAAAAAAGAGAAAATTATTGATCCTTTACCCTTTTATCTGACTTGGTGTACACATGCAGCTGTTCATGCAGATGTCGTTGCTTGCTCAGGGTGCTGGTTTTCATTATAATGAATAAAAAGGCACAACCCACCAAGACAGACGCTGTCGTAACACGTATATTGTTATACGAGGTAACAGAATCATGTATTTGTGACCCTCACAACATTCCATGGAGGTGAAAACAATGCTTTTGGGTGTGGGTCTGATTCAGCGCCTCCATTTCAACAAGTCTCTTGTCTGCTAGGATTGTCTCTTGGTCGAGTGGAATTGGCGCTTGAGTAATATCACAAGAAGGCTGTAAAATAGCAGCTCATGAAAAACACCAGTCAAGTTTAACAGTCTTGGTAACGGTAAAATCTGCAGTATCACACAATTTTATTTTATAACACTTGAACCTGGCTAGTAAAGTTAGCTACCATGGTTTTAATTTGTGGATTACACCGGCTTAGTTTGGTGGCCGAAAAATGATAGAACCTGAATGAAAAGGAAAGATAAAGCACTCCTTGTATTATTTGTAATTGCAGAAAATGCAAAATTAACAGATTTGATTAGCTTCACCTGATTAGTTTAACTTCCTTCATTCCGTTAAAGGGCTGTAAGTGTTACTGCGCCATGAAGACAAAACTCTTTGGCTTAAATTAAGTGTGTGTGTGTGTGTGTGTGTGTATGTGTTTGTGCGTATAGATCCCAGACTCTATCATTTCTCGAGGCGTTCAGGTGCTTCCTCGAGATTCCGCTTCTTTAAGCTCCACCCCTTCTGAGTCACCGCGGGCAACACAGGCCACGTCCCGCCTTTCCACCGCCTCATGCCCGACACCCAAGGTACACGCACGCTTTCATTTTTTCTTTCTTACATGTTTTTCAAGACTCAAACGCATGTTGAGAACCTATGTGTGCTGATGGAAGTAGAAAGCTTCTCAGCAGTTCCCCCCAAAAGCAAAGGACAGTTCTTGCACGATGGGAATTTTTGTTTATTTTTTTTCTGATGCTTTTACCACATGATGTCAAACTCCCAGTGCCGAAAGTGTTGCCAATTTGAAGACACTTGCTTTGAGACGCATGAAACCAATAAGATCGCTTACCAAATGGTTTAAGTGTAAAACAAATCTGACCACTGATTTTATCTCCCTACTTTGAATGAGTATGTTTGTAGTCAGATCAAATTCAAAAGCTGGTGTTCAGACGTGAGTGTCTCTCCCAGAGATCACCCTTTGTTTTGTTGTTGTTGGCTTTTGAAACCCACATGTTCAATGGCCACGGTTATTAACATTTATATCAAGACAAAGACTGCAAATTAATAATGAGTAATAAAGGCAGTAAAGAGCAAGTGTTGTATGTGGAGCTGTCACTGTTTTGATAATGTAGTACTAGTGGACAAGCCACCAGCAGATATTGTGTGTATTGATGATCAGATCTGGACTGAATTCCCAGCTGGAGTTCATGTTACCTGTGTGTCCATGTCCTGTCTATTATACATTATTAATAGAACATGGAAGCCTTTGGCCAGTCTGTCCTGTTATGGAGGAGATGCATTGAAATCGTCCATATGTTTGCATCGAAACATGACCAAATTATACAATCATTGTCCCATCTCTCTGCAGGTCCAGTCACGATGTGGCAGTAATGAGAACATTCTGAGGGCGAGTAAGTTCAGTGTGTGTGTTTGCCTGTATTTGAGTGTGTGCGGCTCATTAACACGCCTGCTTGAAACAGTAATTTATATTTAAACTTTGGGGTATGCACAGGGTCACCACTTGATAACGTCATGTGTCTGTGTAGGTCACAGTGCTGTAGACATCAGCAAGGTGGCACGTCGTCATCGCATGTCTCCCTTCCCGTTGACGTCAATGGACAAAGCCTTCATCACTGTTCTTGAGATGACACCTATTCTGGGAATTGAAGTCATTAACTATAGAGGTGAGTCCTCAAAGTGTGTGTCTGTGTGTGCGCGTTCTGCTCAGTTCAATGCACAGACATGTAGATATTATGCGCAATAATGTATATTTATTCTTAGTCATATTTGCACTTAACCGACGCGGCTCGGGCTCATGTCTGCAGACGGTTTGGGTCGTGTCCTCGCTCAGGACATCTATGCCAAAGACAACCTTCCTCCATTCCCTGCTTCCGTAAAAGACGGCTACGCTGTACGAGGTAAGCGCACAGCGGCCGATAAACACTACGTCAGAACACAAGTGAAGGGATTGGACTGTTACATCGTTATGTATGTCAACTGTTCTCTTTGTTGCTCCTTAAATAAGAAGAATCTGTAGCCGTGGTCTAACTCTCCCAACCAGCCCGTCACCACTTGATTCAGTGGTTAATTTTATGTTAATGACGACGCAAAACTTCCATCTGCACTAATTCCATTAATACAATAATACAGTAATTCCTATATCCCCATTGAACGTGTCAGTCAGTCACTGACCGTTTGCCTGTTGGGTCCCTTGTTACTCTGGGTGACTGAACTCTTCATATCCTGGGTTTTCTCTGCACATATTTTCACATTATTTCGTAGGGATAAGGATGCGTTTAGATTCTTTATCAATACAACATCAGTTTTTTTTCATTAAGAAATACTTGCTCTTCTGATTGCTCCTATTACTTTTCAACTTGCTCGTTAAAACAATAGTTGACGACCTGATTAGAACTGATAACTGCCGAACAGATTGAAATAATGCCTCTTTTCATGTTCACACCATGTTTATTCTCACTGAACAGGTGTATTTTGTTCCGCACTTACTGTACAGTAACAAGCAAAGTCGTGACAGTAATCTCCATCTCTCGAGTTTCACCTCCCCGTCTCCACGTGGCCTCTCTATTCTGCTGTGGGCGGACTTCCCTACAGTGCTGCACCAAAACAATTACTGCCAACACTGTTGCGTGGCAGTAACAAAGTATAGTGTATCTTGACTTGTATTTTTCATAATTAACCAAATCAACATGGTTGTTGTTGACCCGTAGCTGCTGACGGCCCCGGAGATCGCTTCATCATGGGAGAATCCCAGGCTGGACATCAGGTCAGCTGTTAATGCTCTGTATTGGGAGTGTTACAGTCCAGAGTAATGCAACCACTAGTGCAGCGGCCCCCCTTGGTACCGGGCCGCGGAGAAAATTAATCAAATGTCTTTTGCAAGCCCCTCCCCCCAGCTGGCCGGTTATTTTTCAGTGTTTATCTGCCACACCTTCAAGACCGGTCCGGCATATTTTCTAACATGAAACCGGTACGTGAGGCATAAAAGGTTGGGGACCTCTGCACTAGTGAGCCTAAGCAGTACAAGCACTGTTAACACAACCATAAGCCCATCTGCTTGTACTAATCCCAATAGCTACATCAGATACGGGGCTACGCAGCTGACCAAACTGTAATGCTCTCAGTGTCTGTGTGATCTGATAATCATTGAGTTACATCACCAGTTCACGGCCGTGAAACAGCTGAAACTATTGCAGTCAGGTGTGACAACAATGACTCGACGCTGTTTCTCATACTAAAGTATTACCTTTTTAAAAGTCTCTACGTAGCATCCCACTGATGTTGCCCATCATCGTTTGAAACACATTCATGATTCAATGTGCGCATGTGCAGCCCACACACACGGTGATGCCAGGTCAGGTGATGAGGGTGACGACCGGGGCTCCGATCCCTTGCGGAGCCGACGCCGTGGTCCAGGTGGAGGATACGGAGCTGCTGAGAGAGTCTGAGGATGTGAGTACACGAGTGAGGGCGTTAGCTCTGTTGTCTCGCTGAACCTATGTATGGTTGTTGTTGTTGTCAGCAGGCGTGGTGATATTGAATCTGGCTTATTTCAGGGCACAGAGGAGCTGGAGGTGAGGATCATGGTCCAGGCCCGGCCCGGACAGGACATCAGGTAAAAACAGCACAAAGTGGAGGCTTTTTTTTTTTCATGGAGTCTTTGTCGGATCTGCATGTTGTGGCACGTAGAGCCAGCCGTTTCCTGCACTCGACACACCAAGAACAGAGCCTCTGGTGAAAAGGACAAAACATCCCGTTCAAGTCAAGATGTGTTGTTTTGCGGTTTTGTGTGGAAGAAACTGAAGCCCTAGTCCCGAATAAGACCGCATCAATGATGAGCAGGATCATTCAGGCTATAAATTAAGTGGTATTTCAAAGCTGCGTTAGAATGCCACTAGTTTATTATAGGGCAGGGATTCCCAGACTCAGGTGTGGTGTGAGCACCGCTGGCCCTGACTAAACTTACAATTTATCAAAGAAATGCACTTCAGCTTCTCCTTTTACGTACACACAAGCTAACGTTAGCCTAATTTGTGCAGCTTACTTCATTCATTCAGCAACATTCATACAATATATTAAATTGACTGAAATCTGGGAAAGTATCAGGTGGACATCTGAAGCATAAGAGAGGAGAGGCGCAGAGAGAGAGAGGGAGGAATCTGAGGCGATAGAAACGGATAGTAAACACTCGCGTCTCTTGCTCGCTACCCCTCCTTCTCCCACCCTCTTCTGCGGCAACCTGAGCCTTCTGCGGTGTGTGCGCGTGTTGAATCCTCAAATGGACTCCCCCCTTTTTTATTCATATCTGTTTGAGACTATGCATGTGCCACTATCTGTTCTTTACGTGGTTTATTGTGTTTAGGTCATTTCAAATGACTTTTTTGACATTTAGATGTTTTACTTCTTCCCGATTCGGGAGTAATATGACACAATGTTGCCCCTTTGTTTTAACAGCAGACTAAATATCGTAAACAAACACCAGGTAGGAGCTTTTCCGCCATTGGTCCATTTGAATGCAGCTATAAATAGGCTCGGTTTCTTTTTTTTCTTTTATTAAGTACGGTGGGGTCGGGGTGCAAGTCGGGGATGTAGAAGGGTTTGGGAACCACTGTTGTAAGGTAACGCGTTTGTAAATGTGTACCTGCACAGGCCCATAGGTCATGACATCAGGCGAGGCGAGTGTGTGTTGGCCAAAGGGACACACATGGGTCCGTCAGAGATTGGCTTGCTTGCTACAGTTGGAGTGACCGACGTCAGCGTGCACAAGTTCCCTGTGGTGGCCATCATGTCAACCGGAAACGAGGTGCGTGCACATCAACGCAAAGGGAACACACACACACACACACACACACACACACACACACACACACACAGACCTGACTTTGAAATCTTTGCCGTTGAATGTTTGGGGCTTCTTCTGATTGTGTGTGTATGTGTGTCCTTGAGTGTAGCTATTAAATCCAGAGGATGACCTCCACCCAGGGAAAATCCGAGACTCCAACCGCTCCACCCTGCTGTCCACCATCCAGGAGCATGGATACCCCACCATCAACCTGGGCATCGTTGGAGACAAGTAGGAGCCTTCTAGGTTTAAACCATGACAGGAATGTTGCTACCATTTTTTTAATTCATTCAAGAAATATAATAGTAATAATAATAATGTAAAAGTATATGATTTCAAAGTATGTCAGGGCTGCACATGTTTGAATTTCATTCATCACCTTTCTGTTATAAAGATCCATTGGGAAAAAACATACTTGTTCTCATTTGTGCAGATTCTCAGGGAGCTTAAAGCATCTAGAAGTAGAAGTAATTTTCACTCCTGGCTAAACTGTCGCTGATGAACAGGCACTGTAGGAAAACACAAACTGCAGCATGAAAGCGTGTCCTAAAGAAAAATGCTACATATTCAAAACCGTTTTAGCTGTAAAAACAAATAAGATTACAACCATGTGGGTTTTTGTTCATTGAGTACGTGTTTGATGTTGCACTTGATAAAGCAGTGTGGATTGCAAGAGAAAGAATGTCTGAACTTGGCTTGGCAGAACTGGTCAAGCTCCAGAATAATCATGATCCTCCCATTATGCCACATGATTGTGTCTTTTTGTCAGAACCTCTTTGCCTGGTCAACACCCACATCTTTTTTAACTCAGACTTTCCATTAATTCTGTGGCTTCACTGCAGCAAATGCCCCTCACGGCCCCACAACATGTGATACACGGTGTCCGTAGGCTGCAAAGTAGAACCCCCCTTCGCTGAGGTGCCTCATTTTGCTCGTGTTTGCAGCCCTGATGACCTGCTGTCAGCTCTCCACGAGGGAATCAGCCGCGCCGATGTCATCATCACCTCAGGGGGTGTGTCCATGGGAGAGAAGGTAACCTCTAGCTTTCTGAATGACTCACTGATTCATCCACCTTTTTTCTCTGGGCTCCTCTGTGCCCCAAAAGTATTATTTTGTACCAACTGTTAATCCAGCTTTTACAGTGTTCTCTACCCGCCTGTGTTTGTGTGTCCCATCAGGACTACCTCAAACAGGTGCTGGATATTGACCTCCATGCTCAGATCCACTTTGGACGAGTCTTCATGAAGCCCGGGTGAGATGGCGATAACATTAGGCTATAAAAGTGCAAGATGCTGACTAATCTCTCAGTTTTGGGATTCATGGACCACTCTAGACAGTTGCAACTACCATTCTACTACCACTGATGCTTCTCCTCTACTGCTGCTACTGCTTCAAAAACGTACACACCCATTGCTGTTGTGGTTGTTGCTAATCCCTGTATCATTACTGCTGCTTATGCGCCAACGTTTGATAATGTAATTCTTCTGTGCTCAATATTCCTTCTGCTTCTTCTACAAATATTTGAGCTGCTGCTGCTGCTACTCATACTCCCGCTAACGTTGCTGCTGCTACTTTAGTTGTACTGCAGTTTACTGTACCGTTCATCAGTGCTGCTGCTACTCCTGTTATGGATGCTAGAACGGCCTCTGGGACGTCACAGGAAAACTGACCACCTGTGTTTCTGTCCCTCAGTCTTCCTACTACCTTTGCCACAGCTGACATTGATGGAATACGAAAACTCATCTTTGCTCTGCCAGGTAGCATATTTATGTCTGTACTGTGTGTGTGTGTGTGTGTGTGTTCTCGTGGGGTGTCTGTATATATCTCCTTGTCGTCTATTACCCTGGTCCATCTCTGCGACCCCACTGCAGTGCCCTGCAGTTATTTAGCTAGCACGTACTGCCTTTTAACAGTGTTGGTTAAGGCAGTGATTCCCAAACTGGGGCCGGGTCCCCCTCAGGGGGGCGCCAAAGAGTACAGAAGGTGTGCTGGAATTTGTCTGCTCGAAGCTTTTTAACATTATGAACATCATCACTAGCAAGAATAAGATCATATTTACTGGATCATTTATACAAAAGTCTGTCTATGAGAGTATTCTAAAATATACTGCTATATTCACTCAGTCAAAAATGGTTCTGTTTAAACCTGATATTTGTGCACAGTGTCAGAAAAGATCAGTATGAACTTAAAAGTGAACATGCGTCTAGATGCAATCACTTCATTTATGTTGAGGAAGGGAAATGTTCATTTAGAAAAGTTGATTTGATCAAATAAAGCCTCTGAAAATGGGGATGTGTAAAAATGGCTTTAAGTCCTTAACTATTAATGTGTTTAAAGTTGAAAGTCCAGACTTTGGAGTGTGTAAAGAGGAAACATTTAAACAAACGCTTTTGGCCCTGGCTGTATATTGAAGTATTTGCCTATTGAGACCCAGTTGTGGAACGATTCTCTGGGGTTCACCGTATTGATTTTGGTACGATTGATTCGCGCCTTATCTGAATACTATTTCCTTCCGCTTTTATGTCACAGTCCAGGGATTGGGGGCGATGGTGATATCCAAGGCCCATACCTGGAGTAGACCTATATACCTTTATTGTTGTATGTTGTGGAGAAAATGTCGGGAACAATAACCTGTGATCTGTGGCTACTCGTCAGGTGCTACTAGGATTGGATTTCTTTTTTGGTACAGTCACTTTTGTACTTAATGCGAAACCGTACCGAAGTAGACGTGAACCCTACAAGAGATCAACCTTTTCTGAAAGCCTTGAAACTAAATTAACTCCAGTAGATAAATCGCTAACACTCGGGGAGAAAGATGCAGCGTACTTTAAATTGGTTGCCTGCGGATGAGACTCAATCTAGGGGGGGAAATAAACATCCAGGGACAATCTGACTTGGGTGAGCAAGAGGTGAGTCTGTTTAGTCTGTAAACTCATCTACTGGAGCCAGTCGGGCAACATTCGCCTTTTTGTCCCTCCGGCCTCATCTCGTGTGTCTGTACTCTAGTGAGTGCTTTCTTCATGTTCTGTTAGATGTACTTATTGGTCGATGTACTGGGAGAATAGAGAGTTAAACCATCCATTTGTCCATCAGCGCATTTCACATCCAATAAGCAGGAGCCTCCTCTTATTTGATTCAGCATTCTCAGCGGTGCGTTTGTTTTGGACCGCCCTAAATCTGCCTCTCGAAGACAGTTCTTCCCATTTTTGCCCGGGACCCTGTATCAGACTTTGAAATCCGTAGTGCCTGATGGAAATGCTGCTTTCCTGAGACGCTGTATCTTATGGGTGTAACCATAGACTGTTCGAAGTAGACGTAATCTGCCGTTACTTTGGTTGGGCTGCCGTTTCCGAGACTCAAGTATTGCAATTTGGTTTGCGCAAACCATTCTTTGTTTTGCACCGAATGTAAGGAAGTGCAGATGCAGTACGCAGCTCTGGTGGATCCCTGTTTATCAAAAGGTAGCTCCACCCAAAGAGGACCCTTTGTCCTCTTATTTTACTTTAAATGTCACCATACTTGACCAAATGTGCTGTATTGACGAAAACGTGGAACTAGAGATTAACACCATGAACTCCTGTTTACTGAACTAATTACTTTAACGCTGGTTAATTCTTCGGGGATAGCGTCACTTTGGAGCATTATTTCCAGCTGCTCCTTTTATGGCGACAAATCACTGTCAAAATTTGAGATTGCAAATCAGGTTGATGCGCACGCAAACATCCACGAGCAAATGTCCGTCTCGCACGAGATATATATATCGCAGAACGTGAACGGGGGCGGAGCCAGTCACCATGGTATCTCTACATCTGATTGGTTACAAACCCGGTCTTTGGATTGGCTGGAGTGATTCACAGAAATATAGAAGCCCATTTCCGCACTGCAGAAAGGGGATAGAAAGTCTAAATTCTGAGATAAAACGTTGTCAAAACACAAACGCCACCTTTATGTAACCGTAGTGGAGCGTAGCTGACAACCAGCTACAAGCATCATTTACCATCATTGCCGGCACATTAAGGCCGATGCGTCCAGCTCGCAGACCGGTCCGTATTGGTAAAATGAAGTCCGAATCTGTGAATATATTATTATTATTATTATAAAATATTGCCAACTTTCAATGCCGATCGATTTTTGTAAAAGAAATAATGAGAAGATATGCGCAGGCTCCTCCATAGTTCGGTAAAGTTGGGAAGATATTCACAGATTCAGACTGACGGACCGGTCTGCGAGCTGGACACATCGGTCTTGGTGACTGGCTCCGCCCCTTTACTGTCTAAAAAGAACAACAGCGAGCGCGTAGAAAACACCTTTGAGCGCGACCAGAGACTAGTCTCGCGAGCGAGGGAGTTCACGTTGCACAAGCCAGCAAATATCTCGCGCGACACAGACTTTTGCTCGCAGATGTTTGACGCGCGCCGCATCAACCTGATTTGCGCTCTCGAATTTGACAGTGATTTGCCGTCATATTCTTTCTGAATGTGGAACAAATTGAGGAGAGGTTAACTGAGGTCTGTATAAAAACATTTGCTCTCAGTCGGTTTAGTGATGTAAGTTGTAATTTCTGACTGCAGTCCTTTCGGTACTGAAAAAGCAACATTTTTCACAATGAAATGATTAAACGGGTTAGAAATGGGCGGAACTGTCCTTTGAAATGCTGCCAACAACCAAACAACGGGACTTGATGGTTGGTTCATGAAACTGTTCACTTCCACCGTTGTTTTCAGCGCTGGCTGTCATGTTGCCATGGCAACGAGACGGTGTCGCGTGTCCTTTAGCGTAAGTCTGGGCCCCCTGTGATTTGGTAGTGTGTTGGTCTTTGCTCCAGTCCGGCACTGTACATGTATTGCTATTGTTATTAGGAAACTTCAACTTCAGAGAGACTGGGCCCTCCCTGCTGGAGGCCGTAGCCCCGAGTGAGACCAGTGAGGCCAGGCAACCACTAGCCCCTGCACCTAGAGGAAGTAGGTCCTGATGCCGAACCCACAATGACCCATGAAAACCTGACTGCACACATCCTGCCTGCTTGGAAGAAGGGCATCCTGATTACTTGTGAATGACTCTTTAGCCCAAACAGAAACATCGTAATGCAATAAGTGACGGGTGTGACACTGAGCACAGCTGACGAGCGTGGAAAGAAACACGTATTTATGAATACAGCTTTCTGCATAGGGAGGAACTTACCAATTAACACGTGCCATTTATGTTTCACGTCTACATTATTACGATCAGATCTCCTCAAACTGAACTCCAACAATCGTTACTCACTTTGCCTACCCTTCAATCCTAAATGCCCCCTAGAGGTCACAAAAGGGCCTTTTAAATTGCCCATTTAGCATCCATATCATCTATGTATTTCATGCTCATCTTCTGGATGTCCTAGCTTCTTGTCCTGGTCCTTGTTCTGCTCAGCTGTCATAATGACATCGCCCTCGCCCCCCAACCCCAACCCCACCCTCCGTCACTCCTGCCTGCAAATCCACAACTCATTTCATGCTGCGTTAACCAGGGAGAGCACTGCTACAAAAACGCCAACTGCCTTCTTGTTGTTGTCACACTTATTTTGTTTGGCAAGTATGCAGTCATAATATTGTTGCATACATTTATTTATATATAATATATATATATATATATATATATATATATATATATATATTTCATTCATCTTGATGTATTGATGATACCTGGTCACTTGATGAATAAAGTGACTTTTCCGGGCCGGTCCTCAACTTACTGGGCTACTGCAGCGCCAGCGAGCAGGAAGACAAACCCCCCCCCGCCTCCTTCCACATGGCGCCTGTCCCTGGAACTCTTTTGCCAGGCTGAGCCACCGTCCGTCTGCATGTCCACCCGTGCTGCAGTGACAAAGCCAAGAACAGACAGAGCCATGTTACCTTGTGCTTTTTGTTAGACACGAGAGGATAGTGTAGAATTCAAAGACTTTGCTCTGAAATATAAGGAGGACCTGACTTACCATGAACAGCACTCTGTGTACACGTAGGTGTTCTGCAGAACGAAGGGGTTTTGTAGTGTAGTTACTCATTTAACCCATTAATTAATCGACCACGGCTCCTCTCACAAGTTGTGTTGGTGCATCTCTGGTCTCGTTGTTCCTCCTGTTTCGCTCTTTTCCGTGTTTTCATGTAGCAGCAGAGTTACTTCTTGTTGTGAGCTGTACAGCATGCAGTTCCTTAAATGTACGATTATTAGTGTTACAACAGCTGGTGACAAACGATTAGTGTCGCGGTGTTTTACCCTGTTAAAGAGTGTTTGTTGTGGCTTATTCATTGTTGTTATAAAGTTATCACCATGACTCAATCTCTACACACTAAGACAAGTAGCTCCGGCCGCTGGACGCTCCGCGATGACGGGTTAAAATAAAATCTGCCGCCTGCCGAAGAGCAACGTCAGTTGTTATTACACCGGTATGAACGGTACGGGAGAAATACCGTACACCGTGCAGCCCGATGTGGCAGTGCACACCACTTCTTTACCGGAGCCATCCAACAGGTTGTTTGCCTGCGTCTCTGGTTTGTGCTTTTGTACCTGCCATGAAAACCCACCTCCTGTGAGATTTATTGTCTTTTCATTTTGGCTTCCTACCTCATTTTTGCTTCCTCAGATGTTGACATGGCTTTGATTGTGCAAACTCTCCCAATCTGCTTGTATTCTGGTCATTGATTGACACACATTGTATGTTACTGTCCTGAAGACACTTTCCAGGCAGTTCTCCGGCTCAGCCAGACCTGTAATGGACATCTGCGCTGTGTATGCAGCAATGTGAACCGTGTCAATGATGCGTTGATGATCTAACATTGTAGTCTAACTTGGCGCTGCAGGTTGCCCTCTGTTCAGTTTCCATAGTAACCCAGTTTTGTTTTCTCAGGAAACCCAGTGTCCGCAGTAGTGACATGTAACCTGTTTGTGATTCCTGCCCTGAGGAAGATGCAAGGAATTCTGGACCCTAGACCTACAATTATAAAAGCTAGGGTAACGCACGCACGCACGCCAGAAAAACATGGGTTGCAGTGAGGGGGCAATGTTGATCAGTGCTGCTTGATCACGTGTCTATATATATATATATATATATATATATATATATATATATATAACTTACTGTTATGATATAAATTACCCAGCACTATTTTGTTTTAAATTCTATAATCTCACTGTGGAACTCTACAGGATCTATACTAGAATATGTTCTATTAACCAAGAACTTTCTGTGAAGAATTTAATAAAAAACCCAGTTTGAAAAAACAAAAACACACATATCATCGCCCTTTAGCCCTTTTTAAGGTGTGTGTGTGTGTGTGTGTGTGTGTGTGTGTGTGTGTGTGTGTGTGTGTGTGTGTGTGTGTGTGTGTGTGTGTTTTTCAGCTTTCCTGTGACGTGAAGCTGGATCCCAGACCAGAGTACCACCGCTGTATTCTCACCTGGCATCATCAAGAGCCGCTGCCCTGGGCACAAAGCACAGGTGAACCCTGGACACACACACACGGGTGTTTCTCCTACATGGAATTTCTGTCGAGACTTAAAAGTCTGAAAACAATGTCACTATTCCACTACATCTACTTAAAGAATAGCTTGTTCTTGATACTTTCTTTTATTCATAAGACTTAGCTACACGGGTGTGCGTTCTCATATCTTTTCGAGAGAACCAGGTGTCCAGCAGGCTAATGTCAATGCGTAGCGCCAACGGGCTGCTGATGTTGCCTCCCAAAACGGAGCAGTACGTGGAGCTGCACAAAGGAGAGGTCGTGGACGTCATGGTCATCGGACGGCTATGATGTAGGTCCGTCGTGGTCCCTTCTCTCCGAGTCACCTGTAGAAGTAATGGGGAGGATTGACGGGTCCAACTTTAACGGCAAAATTCTTTCTCCACAGTCTTCGATGTCACTAGCAACCGATTACCATGGCAGTGCCAGGACTTCCTGTCTGGACGGGAAGCGGGCGGGGGAAGGAAGTGATGCATGTCTACCTGGTCGCCATTAGCTGTGATGTCATATGCAACAGCCAATCGGAAGCCAGCGGACGCTGAAACCTCCTTGACTGCTCTGAGGAGATATGCGTATTTCAATGGAGGAAAAAAAAGTGAAAAAAAGAGTATATAAAATACAAGATTTATTCTGTAATATTATTATTATCCTGATGATAATGATTATTGATATTCTTAATTAATATTCTATTTATTATTATCATGGTTCTGATTGAATATTCTCATCTTAGTAGTAACCATTGCCCTCTTCTCTCCCGTTCATTTGCTTTGTGCGTTTGATATGTTTCCCTGGTAGATTTAGATATAGAGACTTTCTCCTCTTGACCTTTTATCCGTTTCTCTCCACCTTCTTTAGCTGCTCTTTTCTGCTCTGAAATCCTCTACCCAGATATAGAAACTCCTTGATAACCCCGTCCCTGCAGTATTACCCCATCTCATCTTCTCCTGGAACACACCGACCCGAACATCTGTATTGACAGAAATATGAACAAAAGGGTTTGAAAGACATCTTTTTTTGTATTGAAGCTGCTAATATAGTTTGTGTCAGTAGAGTAGGACTTGTTTTGCCAAAAAAAAAAAAATATCTAAGGATATTGGTCTACATGTATTTCCCCCACCTATATCATTTTCCAACCATACTGAGAAACTCATCACGCCTCCCGATAACATGGACGTTTTTGAGGTGGCTCAGTGACTCGGATTGGACGAGTGAATCCTCTGTCATCACGCTGATATCCTTTCTGAGGTCTGACATCAAATGTGAAGATAAAGGACATGATCAGATGCACAATGACTTCCTTATAGTCGGGGAGAAAACCTCTCCCAAATCCCAGGTGGGCCATATAAGCAGGATTACTACAACTTTATCGCTGCAACTAGTTTACACCACGAAACTACCGTGTTGGGATTGAAACACCGATAGTTATGTTTGCATTTTCAAAACCATTGTCACCATGAATCAGCTTATTTTCATTGTCAACAAATTCCGGTAAAATGGCCGATGACGTTAACGTGGGGGGGGGGTTGTATCGCATTCAGAGCCAGGTGAGCTGCTCCCTCTTGTCTCCAGTCTTTATGCTAAGCTAACCAGCGGCGGGCTTTAGCTTCACGTTTAGCGCGCAGGCATGAGAGTGGTCATATTGACAATTCAACCTTTTTATCCAAGTTTGGTGAGCATGTACCAAAACGTCAACTATTCCTTCATAAATGTTTGGAATTGCTCCAATTGAACAAACAATATCTATTAAACTCTCATTAATTTCCTCTATTGCTAGTCTATTTGTGGCATTTGTTCAGAGTAAGACAAATTTTGAACTTGATCAGATGATCCTTTCAGTAGCCAAAGAAGCAAATACCTTGTTGACCAATGATCTCAAAGGCTGTCTCTGCTCAGCCAATCAGACGCCCCCATCTTTTTTTTTTTTTAAACGCATAGGCGAACATGATCGCTTGAGTGAGCTGTAACATCATGTTTTATCCAACTCAGAGAAAGCCCCCAAATCGCCTGTCAAGCAGGGTGTTGCGTTCAGGTGCTCGTAAAGTACACCACTGGTGTATTTCTACCACGACAGTGTTTCAGGTCAAAAGAATCAAACGCAGTTGAACTCTGTAACATAGACACAATCCTTTGAGTACTTTTCTCTCAACGTACTGTACTTGGTCTGAGCGTCAGTGGAAGGAAACCTTGTGTGACATTTAGCCCACAGTGAAAGTTTACTATTAGCGTTAACAAAGTAGTCGTATTACCGAGGACCGTTCAAATGCATCATATGCAACCTGTGAGTCCCAAGCATTCACCAATGCACCATACCTTACTGAACTCTGATTCGTCCTGCCAGGGTGATCAGTACCAAGCTCAGCCTGTGGTCAGAGATGTGATTCTGCATTCCGGGCCTGTCAGAATATCGGTAGTAAAGACTGGTACTCGTTTGAATTTAACGGCACTTATGAGGACATAAATGCTGTTTTTCCCAAATGTCGGTTGCTGCCGCTGATCTTTACACTTCTGATACAAAGCGTCAACTTCCAGATCCGACGCTCCTGTCCACTGTCTGTCCTCTACGACTTCAATGCCACACTGGGAAGGAAGTCCGAGCTTTGACCTCCAGCCCCTCTCTCGATAGGCCGACGTAGTCTTCCTTCAACACTCTCCTCTTCATCTTCCTTTCTTCCTCGCCCTCCTCCTCCTGCACACTCGCATGCTCATTCAGGGGCAGGGGGGCGTGTCTTTCTCTTTGGGCAGGTCTCATTCCAGGCGCAAGACTGGGTGCAATACCTGGGCGGGGCTTCTGACCTGACCACGGGTCACGATTTGTGGCGGCCCTCAACGCGATTAATGGTGCAAAAGAAAGAGGCTTTTCAAAGTCCGGCCTCTGGTGCCGACACGGTCTTATCATTTATTTATCTAGCCCAGACATCAGTAACGTCCCAGTTACCTCAAATGCACCATGTATCTGTCAGCGGCTCATGTCATGTTGGAGAAAGTGGAAGAACAAGGTGACTAACGGCTCAAAGGCGGTAATGGACCACATCCAAACTGTGTTTAAAAAGCATTTGATTAAAACACCATGTTTGTGAATTCGGCAGCTCATATCAACAATGAACTGGTCATGACATGAACGCAGCATCAGAGTCCTGCCACCTGCCCAAGGAGCCCCGGGCAAACCCAGATAGATCTACCTGACTGAGAAGAAGCAGGTTGTTTAACTGCCTTGGTACTGAGTGATTCGTTACACTGGACTCAGTGTCACACTGCACACACTATAAACTATGACCAGCACTTGTAATGAAGCAATGACACAGCATTCTACTACTACTGTATAAATATGAATAAATAAATAAAGGTCGTTTTGCCTGTAATGATATTAATGAAACTGAAGATGAATTAATAAAACGAAATGCTGATTATTTTATACTGGTTGTTTTTTTTTCTTCTAATCTGTGATCTAATGAAAAATATATTACTTAATGAAGTAATTTTGCTAGTTTGTGTCATGAGGGAAAGTTGTGATACGTGTGCACAGCTAGAAACATCTGTCAAGTTATTTCACATCTGGAGCTGTTTTGTCTGCATAACTGCAGATAACTCGGGTAGAACAACAAAAATATAAAGATAAAGATTTAAATATATAATTTAGAAAATGTGTATATACACGTCTTTAAATTAAGATATTTTAGAACTAAAACTACGTTAAAATCCAAAAGCATCTTTTAGTTTTACAAAGACAAATGCAATATGACAATGTAGATTACACATGATTGCCATATCCCTGGGATTTCTGTTTTATTTTGATCAACTCTCAAATTCCCAATAGAATAAATAGGCCTGTCTGTTCCAAGGACCAATGTTTTGTTTCAACGTATCTATTGAAATATGTATGCGTATGCACTCACACACTGAAAAACACACTGAAGTCAGAAGACTGATAGAGACACTGCTGACAAACTAATATGTTAAGGACTAGTATATGTATATCATTGGCCAACATACAAACCAATACACATGTATCTGTCATACGTTTACGGCTAAAAATACTTTTATTACAGTGTTGGAGAAAGCACTCTGATCTTTTACTTCATACCACAGTGCAAAAATACAAAGCATCCAAATATTTGACTCAGTATGACTTGTCCCTTTTTAGTCCCCAGGGTTTTCGGGGAGTTTTGTCTGAGCCGAGTAGTTCTGGGACAGAAGATGTCACATGTGAACAGATTGGAGGGCTCTGGGAGTCAAAACGAGTTGGATCTTCTGTTTGTGGCATCAGAAGTATGATGATGAGGAACGTGCTGCAGGCCTCTGGATCTCCAGCAAGCATCCCGGCTCGCCTGCCCGTGGCTCCGGGACCGGCTCAGAACACGCCTGAATCGGCTGGTGTGGAGGACTCGGATGCAAGAAGACAGAGGCAGTAGATCGTGTAGACGAGTTTTATTCCATAAATCTCTTTCCCACAAAACACAGACCAAAGCTGCCTCCAGGAACAGGCGTCTCTTGGTAGGAGACTTTAGCGATGAAAAGGGCTCCTTCGTCCAGAGCATTCTTGACTTCAGTAGATGTTACGAAGGGAAACTATTCTGCCATCATTCACTTTAGATGTCTTCCGTGCTCTTCCGGACCTTTTGGTGTTGATTCCTTCTTCCTCAGACCAAACTGTTGATGTTTCTGCCTGACAGGGTTTTTTTTCTTTCAGCATAATAATGGTGTCCTTCACTTGAATGGACACCTCTCTGGTCCGCATGCTCCCAGCGATCACCTACATGCAAACTCAACAGTCTGCATCAGCTCCAAGTCTTGATCCGCTGTATTTGTCGTGCACTAGCAAGGACACAGGAAACACCTCGCCATCAAACTCTCTGGCTAACAAGTGTGTTTTGTCAATTGTCAAGGCTGCTCAGAGTTTCCTTTTCCAGCGACAACATATATCCTGGGATACGGTATCATAAACAGGGAGGTTTTGCGCACGCACAAAGATCTCATTGTACGAGGACCGTCATGTTCTTTATCCTGAGACACACACCTGACCGTCATGAGACATGACTGGTCCAACGTCTTATCTCAGCTGACACGTCATCCACAGATCTTATGGTACAAACAGTCTCATCTGGTTTTGACTAAATCCCTTCTGATTATGACACGACATTATTGCAGTTCTTCCAACAAGCTCTACACTTCAACCAAAGATGGACTGCTTCCGTTTAAATCATTTGGAGTTTTATTTTGAAAAATGGTGTCTAAGTCCAAACACTTCCACACACTGACCACACAGGGTCATGAAATCAACCATTTTTTAATGTTATTATCATTGCATATGCCTTAAAAGATTTAGGCATTTGGGGTCTTTCCTGTGACATTCTCCCTACAATCTGTGCTGATGTGAAGGTTTCAGGACAGAGGAGGTCGCATGTGTACAGACCGTAAAGCCCTCTGAGGCAAATCTGTGATTTTGGGCCATACAAAATATAATGAATTGAATTTAATGTCAATTCCAGCACTTCCCATTGGCTGTCAAACCTTGTCCATCAAACTGTATGAACTCAATCAAGCCTTTACACATGACAATGTAACACTAGAACACATTTCCTCATGTATGTTACAAGCCGGGTTAATGCTTGTTAATGCATGCAGTGGCTCCTCTTTGTATGACTTGTGCTGTAGTGCATGCTTTCACCACCAGAGGGCAGTGAACTAGTCATCTTCAGCCTCCAACACGACACACACACACACACACACACACACACACACACACACACACACACACACACACACACACACACACACACACACACACACACACACACACACACACACACACACACACACACGGGTAATGTTGCAGGGTAATGGTCTTATGAACAACTCATTCAGAGCCTCAACTTTTTCACAGCCGGAACTGAGCTTTACAACAGGACTTTTGAGGTAGTACAACTTCCTTTAGGCCACTATGCCGCCACGGTCCCTCACACCGTGTCCACAGTGGAGATGTGTGCTTTCTAGTCAGTTCTGCTGTCTTTGTAGATGTGAATCACCTTCTATTGTCACAGTGACATTTTTTTAATTTAACCCGCCTTAGTTTTTTTATGCACTAGATCAGCGATTCTCAAAGTGTGGGCCGCGGCCCCCTGGTGGGCCGCGAAGGTACTGCAGGTGGGCCGCGAGAGGTCATTTACGATAAATAAATGTTTTTTAATTTTCAATTTGTAAAAATTTGACATTAATATAAAAATATGTATGATTCGGCACAATAGTTATGTGAAACATTAGATGATGAAGCACAAACAATTTAAACGGACAGATTAATAAAACAATAAGGCTCTCGCTCCAAACGGCTGCTCTTGTCCGCCTGTCGTTGTTCAACAAACGGGGCGCCCTCTTGTAGTATTAAAGTCAATATACTGCATTTCCGCACTCCAAGGCGCACTTAAAAGGCTTTAATTTCCTCAAAAAACAACAGTGCCTAATAATCCGGAGCGCCTTATATATATGGATCAAATGGTTGATCGGTTGATCCATACTGGTTGTACACGGCGCTAAGTTTGATTTTATCTATGGCTCGGAAAGATAATTTAGGCTCCGCTAAGAGCGGACCACTGCTCATCTTCTCCAAGCAACGCGGGACCTGCCCGGCCTCTCCCTCCGCGTTTGTTATGAAGTGAGTGGGTGCAAATGTTTCCTCAGCCTGACCCGGGGGTCACCGTCCCCCTCGCAGGAGGGCGGTGGGTCTCAGTCAAAGAAACTTTTCAAAAAATCTTTAAATGCTCATATCAAACTCTGTTTTATTTACTTCAAAAACGTAGTATCTCATCTCTTCGCAGAACTGCTGTCACTTCTGTCTCTTAACACAACCATTTATGTTTTGCATTTTACAGGTTTAAATGACATGCATATACAAAAATAAGAAAAACAAAGAACACGTGCACATGTATAAGTGTGTCAATAAGGATGACTGTATACCTCTTATAATACCCAGGTTAAGCCTTAATAAAGCCACAGAGCATTTCTTTAATATGGCTGATTAGATTATCAAAAAGTCTTTGGTCTCACTTATAAGGCACACACTTTGGATCTATGGGTCTTCTCTTTCCTATCCTAAACCCTTAATGGTTCTTTGTCCTTAAAAGGTCATATAACAACATTAACAATCTTGCATATTATGCTATCCTCTCAACAGTGTGTTCACACTCGAGAGCTGCTTTGGCTCTTACATCAGGCTCCCTGTTCCTGGTTCGGATAAACTTTCCCTGAGTGCACACTTCATAAAGAGGGGCAGGTCGTTCAGGTTTACTTTTGATTTTCATACCATCAACAACCCCCCCCCATCCACCCGCCCCGACGTCAAACGTTTGACTGCAGTAGCTTATGCGCCTTATAATCCGGTGCGCCCTATATGTGAAAAATGTTCTAAAATAGGTCATTCATTGAAGGTCCATCCATCCATCTTCAAACCGCGTATCCTGCACACAGGGTCGCGGGGGGGCTGGAGTCCATCCCAGCCAACTTCGGGCGATAGACAGGGTACATCCTGGATTGGTCGCCAGCCAATCGCAGGACTAACACAGAGACACACAACCATTCACACTCACATTCACACAATTTAAAGTCCCCAACCAACCTGATCCCCAGAGCATGTCTTTGGACTGTGGGAGGAAGCCGGAGAACCCGGAGAGAACCCACGCAGACACGGGGAGAACATGCAGACTCCACACAGAAAGGCCACCTTCGTGCTGTGAGGCGACAGTGCTAACCACCACGCCACCGTGCCGCCCTAATTCATTGAAGGTGCCCCTTATAATCCGGTTCCCCTTATCGATCGAAGCCTGTTTTACACACATGTCACTGAGCCAGACTGATGTAGGATGACGAGTTTTTCTTACCCAATTTCACAGAGACCGTCTTGCCACCTGAAATATAAATCAACTTCAGATTTTCAAAATACAACTAATACATTATTTCCTTCTGTTTGAGTAGGAACCAATGGAGCTGAGATCCCCGGACAGGTCAGGTGAGTCAGAAAAGGCCGACAGACACACTCAGACATTGTTGGTTCTGGTCATATACAACATCCATTGGAAAAGAAAAGCAGAGAGTAGACCCTCATGAGAAGTTACACATATTTTATATAGCAAAGCGGTACAGTAGTAGTTAGTTAGTGTCCCACTTTACTGTTCATGTTTGACTGTTCTGTATTCTTCATCCAGCTGACATGACTCTTCCATGAACTCGAGGATTCCTTCCATACGCAGTCATTGGCCTTTGAGTGTCTGTGACTGCAAATGAAGAGAGACTCACTGCTGGTTGCGAAAAACACTTGTGTGCACGTCATGAATCAACAAATGATTCTGATTCTTTTCGCTTTGTCTTTATTTTACGCAGGAAAGAGTTCTGCCACAGGGTAGAAAAACGATATGCTCTCGTGCCTAATGCGACTCTTCTGTGTTGCACCTGCTTCAATCATTGGAAGCATCAATCAAACATAAATGCTTTCCAATATATGTTAGATATTTTTAGTTCCTGCACAATGAGCATGGATCAAAAATTTAATTATTATTATTCCCAAATTCCAAGTTTCTACTTCTTCTACAGTATCAGTCTGTTTAGTTTCTGAACGTAACCTGTTCCGGTTGCTGAGGTGGGAGGTCCCGGATCACCGTGCCCACTCCCACTTGTTCTAAATCTGCAATCAACACATTGTCTACAACGCTACTTAAGCCGAGACCTGACATCCTGTCCCTGCCGATTCGTTGGCCATAATTTGTATGTGTGCTTGCAGTAGTAAATCAGTCTGCTTGTTGTAATTGTTTATGTACTTGTTGTCTCTGCCTCTAGTACATTCACCCTGGATTCCCCGTCACTCCTGCCTGGCAACCGGAACCTTCCACCACATCACTTCCTCACCGCATATAGGTATTGTGATTCATTTCTTAACTTTGGATAATGCGGCTAAGCTTCCTTCTCTGCCAGATAGACATCATGCAGTGAAGGTTATGCAGGTCGATGATTATGTGCTTCAACATTTTTCTTGCCAGTACTTTGTAATTTCTCTATTTAAAGTAATTATCGTTAATATTTCCTCCAGCAGTTTGAGTTATGGGTAAAATTCCCACTTCCTTCCAGCACTGAGTACCAACATGCAGTCCCAACAAACTCACCAGCTTCCACCTGATGATCTTGATCCACTCGTCTGCCTCCACACCCGTCTTTGCACAGAGATAGAAAGTTCTTTCAGGAAAAACCAGGCTGTGGACATCAGAAGAGCACACATTTTCATCTTTGTAGATCAGTGTGGAGAATGTGGCCAGAGACTTATCAGGCCCAGGATGACTTTAGTCTGTTTGTTCACACTATTATCAGTAGACAAAGCCGGAGGAGTCCTAGTGTTACAACAAAATAACATATGCAGACTTCCATCTTCCATTTTTTTTGTCCTGATTTGAATAGTTTAAAATAAATAATAATTTGTGATCACATAATTACCAAATGTCTCCTGATTTATGATCCAGTGACCGTTTATTCCACTGTTTACAAAATAAACAGACCCACAATAAAGACACCAGCAGCGGCAGTCATCCAAACAGCCATCTACGGTTCTATTTAGTTAGTTATTGGAATTTGATGGTTATAATAAAGTTTTCCTACAGTTAAATTAGGGTTGGAAATCGGGTAAAGAGCAAACAGTTTGGGAATAGCTGTAGTAGTGTCACTGCTGTAAAGCCATAGTTCATGTGCACTTCTCCCCCTCCCTCTGTTTCATTGGGTTATTTTACTACTTCCACTTCCCTTTTTACATCTCACTGTGGCCACAGACTGCAGTGTTGGAACTTGAGATATGCATTTGCTTTGAAACACATTTGGTCCGTAATGCGTATCTCTTATATGCCGTGGGTGTGTTTCTATGCTGGGCTTCTATAATCATGAAGTTGGTAAAATACATTGAACCATAGAACACGTAAACATCTTTCTCTGTAAATATCTTTCTAGAGGGGCTATTGACAGTCGGTAACAACCCCAGTAATCCAGACATAAAAAATAAATTAAATAAATGATAAAGGGATGTGCAAAAAGGAATGGAAAGCCAAGACACAAGCTGTAATGTATAAGTATATAGAAAGAAATCCTGCCCCCTGTCATGCAAATTGATTATCAGGTGGGTCAGTCCCAACTGATTGCAGATATAAAGGCGTCTCATTACCAAGAAACCTCTTACGATGGGTGAAAGCAAAGCGCTGCATTGGTTACAGAAAGAGTTCTAAACTTGTTCCAGTGAGCACTGCGAGGGGCTATAATCTGGAAGTAGAAAACCTTTCACCATAAACCGACCACGACCAGGTGCTCCATGAATAATTCTCGTCGAGGATTCCGGACCTGGAATTAACGGGATCAATTGTACAGCAGCTGACATGCATGCTCACCACACAGTGCTCTATAGCTGAGGGAAAAGCATGTTGAAGCTTCTTTATAGTTTGCTGCACAACATTTAGACAATTCTGTGAAAAAATGGAAGACGAATGGAACACGTCTGGATGATGAAATAAGCTGCTAGAACAGCCCAGCCAATCACCTGACTTGAATCCAATAGAAAATCTATGGAAAGAACTACAAATCTGAGTACATAGAAGAGGCCCAAGGAACCTCCCAGATTTGAAGATTTTGTTCAATTCCTTTTTGTAGAGCCCAAATTTGCAAATCACAAATTCGCCTCAGGGCTTCACAGTCTGTACACATGCAACATCGTCTGTCCCGAGACCCTCACATTGGCACAAGATAAACTCCCCAAAAAAGTGAAACTTAATTACCAACAGGTTTTACTACCAAGTATTCAATCAATTTCACTAAGCATGCACACACTAAATTCCAATTTTAAATCTGGCCACACCTGCTGGCAGTATAATCACAGGAAGAAGGTTGTCAGTTTGAAACCCAGCTCCTGTCATCCACGTTGAGGTGTTTTGGGCAAAATATTTAACCCCAGATTGCCCTAAAGGCTGTGCCATCTCTGTATGAAGGGTGTAAATGGTTACATGGATCTAATTGACAGCTGGAACCTTTCATGGAAGCTCCTGTCATCACTGTGTGAACAGGTGAATGATGACATGTATTGTGAACGAGGTGGTCGCACACTGGGAAAGTGTTTATGAAAATGACCGGAACTAACAGAGACTCAACCTGGCGACTGCTGAGTACATGTGAATTCTTGTCAATTAAAAGTATGACTCATACATGTGATGTGTTTGCGTTTTAATTTCCACATCTTCGTGTGTATGATGTTAGTGGTGATCCCCGACACCACCTACCAGAAGCAGTTGACTCTGTCCTGAGAGTAGTCAAACTGGACTGCAGAGCAGGCTCTCAGATCCAGGGTCCGAATGGGTTCCTCACACTGCAACAGAGACACACCGCAGCTTACAGGTACGCACAACAAGCCCGCACAACAAGCCCCGTCTGCTGTGACCAGAAGCAGCTTATTACAATATTTCCATCCGCATACTGGAGTGAAATATCCAAAGTGAAGCTGAGAAACCAAACACACTGTGTCAAGAGAACCTCACCATTTTGTCTTTGAAGTATTTGAGTTCATATCTGTTCAGTGTGAACCACCTCTGTTTCCAGCTCTGCAACAGATGTGTAGCATCATCTTTAGTAAGTGCTCTGTGTTCACCGCTAACATGCATCCACAGATTTATGGAAGGCTAAAAGCTGATACGTCTTACCTTCACGAACGCTCCCTGTTTCACCAGATAGCCTTCCTTCGTGCCCAGCTGAAAGGAAAACACTTTGTGTTAGTAGAGAAACTGAGTTTTTAAGCTTTTAACCACATCTCACGTCGCTTCATTGGAAAACAATGTTGTTTGGCTCATTAGTGATGGGCTGGTCACTTCGGTTCAGTTCAAACCGCTATGGCTCCCCCCTCACATGATGTCATGGTTGTTCTGTTCATGATAGGAGATGGTAAAGTCTATCACTGTCAGAGATGGTCTCTGGTGTTTTTTGGTGTTTAAGGCATTGAATGGTTTATGATGTTCCGAAAGTCCAGACATGTAAGTGGCCACTGGTTCTGAAGGTCACCAAATTACTGTTTACAACACACACAGCTCCTGTTGTCTGATGACAAAAGGTCAACAGCACCATTCCTGTTGGAGACTGATATGTGGGTTAGGATTGGGTTCCTCAAAGGAATCCTTCCTGTTAGGTTACTTTGGTCACATGACCGATGTGAGCGTGCAGTAGGCGGCATACCGATGGTGCATTCGGTACCAGATCATTCTCTGTGCGGCCTGTCTGTACGGCCGTGTGAACCCTCACTGACTCGTAGATGGATGGCTCCTCCACACGCCATGGGTACGGGCACTTCAGCACCATCAGGGTTCCTGGTTCAGAGGCAAAGGGCGGGTCACAGGCCTGACTACCTCACAAAAGCACACGGAAGAAATGCAACATCCAACAACACGGGTGTCCTTGGACTTGTGTGGAGTGGATATAACAATAGAAAATCAACAGCTTGAAATGACTGTAGGGTAAATACCTCAGTGTGTTCATACCTTTTTAATTACGCTCACTTGGATCACTAACCCTTTACTGCGTTTTAGTAAATATCTCTCCTTCAGTTCATTGTGTATGCCTCAGTTTATTCTGTATGCTTCCATCAGTTTGTTATTGGGACATTGCGAGCTGGCCGTCTCGCATCTTTTATGTCACTATCATTTTTTTAAGCTTTAATCTACTCTTTACAATTCCAACCTACTGCCTTCTCATATTGTCACAATTGTGAACAAATTTGTAGAAAAATTGATTTCCAGTTTGGCTTCAAAATGGCTCAAAGAATCTTGAATTAATAGATCAAAGGTGTTGCTTCACTGTATGAGCTGATCGTGTGCTTGCTGAGGTTCGACATACCTGTGTCACTGCCAAGCAGAGGCTGGTTAGCAAAGTGGTTAACAAAGTCTTGAAGGGTTGCAAACTCGTTGAAGCCAAACCTATAACCGTTGTCTTTGCGTGTCACATGAAAATGCTTTACAGAATCCTTCGCCCTAAATACCCAATGACAAACAAACAACAGTTTAAGTTGGTCAATTGGTAGTGTTTATTTCTGACAAATGATTACACAATTGGAATGTAGGGTGGTCAATGTTAGGTTACCAGGTTACAAGGTTGTCATTTAGAATGAACATTTCAGACGAACTGACCTGACGGACAGGGCGAAGAAGGAAGGTCCCTTGTTACTGTTTCTGAGAAGATAACTTCCAACAATCCCATTGGACAAGAGAAGGGCCTCTGCAGCATGACGGGACAGATCATAGTGGTACCACCTTCAATGAAATTGACAAGACTCATCTGTAACTCTTCCTCTGCCCAATGAAACTTTGCATTTGCATAACCTCTACTCTGATGAACGAGAGTCAATCGTGATCTACTCCATTTACTTTGGAAAAAGATCTCATCTAAATTGGAACAATCTTTAAAGACCGTGTGACTGACCTTCACAAACTTGCATTACAGCGACCCAGGACGTCAATGGCCCAGACCGATCATTTCCAATACATGATGCAACTACAGTTTGGAGACCCCCACAGCCAAAAGCCATAAAGTCAAACGGGGTCTCTGGACCTTTTTTCTACTCCGTGTTCACATCAGACACGAACACTGACATAAGAAAGAGCAATGTCCGCATGCACTGCATTAAGGTGCTTTGTGAGTATTTGTATCCCAAATAGAGCACAGATGTGATCCGTAGGATCGGGATCAACTCAGATCGACCTTTAGAATGCTCCCCGACTCACTCAGCAAGGCCCAGTCGGACCAGGGGAAACCACGCTGTGGACTATTAACTGATAGTTTGACAGCTGGTGAGGTGGAAGGCATCTGCAGTTTATGAATAGACCAAGTTTAATTAACCCCTTGTGGAGTAGAAACGGGATAAATACGAGAGATGATGAAACATGTCATTTGGATAAACAGACTCAACTATTGGTTGTCAGACAAAATGGGGATGATTGTTGCTGCCAAACACCCTCAAGCAGCTGCAGAGTAAAATTGATGCTAGAGGGAAGTGAAAGTGCATTATTTGCATAGAGTTGCTGAGGGTGTATAAAAAAAAGCGCCATCTGAGTGTGTAAAGCACAGTATAGGTAACATGCATGAAGGGGCAGAATAGCAGGCCCAGCTAAACCAATTCCCCTCTTTTTCTACTTTACAAATCCTGTTTTAGAAGCAGGTTTACACTCTATCCGACAAAGGTCAGTGGCTCAGTGCCGTCCTGCTGTGAGCTCCATTTAAATTCCTCCAGTTCGCTACATAGTCAAAGCAGATACAATCAGTGTAAAGCATGGCCTCATATTCAAAAGTACTCTATAAAGTACAAGTATCCAGTTCACGACACTAATACCCAGGAGTTGGTTTGACCGAGACAGTCAACAGTTTGTAAATTCTCTTATTTTCTAAAAGTATCAATGATAAGATCTAGGTCGCACTCCTACGGACGACATCACTGAGATACAGTGTGGTTTGGTTTCTCTATCATGTTCTATCAGACATAGAAAGAGAAAGCTTGACATGTGAAGTAACGCTAGTCCCGCACGCTTACCCCAAAGTCTCCAACTCGTCGACAGACGTATCGCTGTATAGACTCATGTCAGCATGTTCCGACTCAGTCTCGTAGAAGTGAAAGCTGTGCGCAAGAGGCAGACACGCCTAAGAGGAAGTCTGCTCCAGCCTCCGGACACTGCTGCAAAGTGTACTTACAGCCAGAGACAGTGTTTACAGAAGAATATAGTACTCTCAGTATCTCATTCTGTCCTCAATCGTGTATTCTACAATATTGGCACAACCCCAACATTGAAGGAGTCACGCAAGGAGCTTCCATCAACCATCAGACATGCTGAATGGCTTCAAGTGCTACATTCAGGCCAACCGATGGAGAAGATAAAGCTGAAGGCGAACAGCAAGGGGAGGAGCCAGAGTCCGGATCGGCAGCCAGTGCATCGGCAGCGTGTAGGAAGTGGGCGGCTTGGTTGTGTTGGCGCTGCAGAGGAGCTGGGTGCCGGTTGGCTTGAAGGAGATCGTGTCTCCTATTGAATCAATCGGAGTGTTGATTGGACCAAAGTGTCGTTGGGTGTGTAACATGTGGTTTATGTCATCGAGAAATACAGTTGTTGTTTTTTTTAATCTAAGAAAATAATATCCTAAACCTCTATGGCAACACAATACTTTTTTGGACCTTACACTGCCCCTTTATTTAAAAATGTATGTAATGTACGTAATGTCAGCAGTTATGTCTGTGTCCAATCAAATGAGGGCCCAAAGTGTTTGTGACCTTTTCTCTTGGGGTGAAGGATTCTTTTATCGCTGCCAAGCTACATGGGACACAGCGCCACAAACGTTTTAACCGGTCTAAATTGAAATGACTTCATTAAAAAAAATGTTTGCATGAGTATGTAAAGAAGTATCTTTGATAGTTTCATTACACTTATTTCTTTACTAAAATTGTTTCTTTTGTTCCATAGCCAATTTTTTTGCTTTACCAACTACTGATATTGAGAGGGAATGGAATGGACCCAGGGTTGGCGTGGTGGTTCGCACTGTCGCCTCACACCAAGAAGGTCCTGGGTTCGCCTCTGACCCAGTGGCCCTCTGCATGTTCTCCCCGTGTCAGCGGAGGTTCTCTGTAGGTACTCCAGCTTCCTTCCACACTCCAAAGACATGCGTTGGGGATCAGGTGAATTGGTGACTCTAAATTGCCCGTAGATGTGTGGACGTGAGTGTGAATGGTTGTTTGTCTCTGTGTCGTCTTGGCTGGTAGCCGGTCCATGGAGTACCCCGTCAAAGTTGTCTTCTCAGTCAGTGTGTTTACATGATGGTATAATTCAAATTTTTGCTCGGTCGGACTATGCTCTCTTATGGCAGTGAACAAATCCAATCATTGGCCGAAAGCACGTCATATCCGATACGATAGGTGGCGCTGTTTTCATTACAACTACTGATACAGCCATTTCTGCTTGACCTCTTCACCACGACCAACAACAACCAACAACATCAACATTAGGAGAAAGATGGCGAACGAAGAGCAAGGTGAAGCTACATCCCTCTACTATTTTTGCATGATGTTAATAGGAGCACAGCGAATGGCGCTATTGGCTGATTTGATAACGGAGAGAAGATGCCGTCGTGATCTCGAGCATGCGCAAAGACGCAAAGTCCAGTTCCTCATCCGATTCACCGTTACATGCCGCAATAGTCGAACTATCAACTGGATCGGATCGAGTTATCCAGGCGTGTTAGTCGGATCGTAGTCAGACCGCACATAGTCGGACAAAGGTCATCATTCGATTTCAGTCCGACTAAGCCAGTTATTCGAATCCATGTAACCACGCTGAGTGACTCATAAGGATTATGAGCACAATGATCTCATTGTACGGTCCTCGTACAATGAGATCATTGTGCGTGCGCAAATCCTTCCTGTTTACCTTATCCCAGGATGTGTGGGGTGGCTGGAAAAGAAGACCTTCGAGTAGGCTTGGCACATGACTTGTATGTGTGTCAACACGGTGTCGAGTATTAATTATTCTAACATTAGTGTTGTCAAAATGAACTCTTTTCGGGGGTCATGCAGTTTATGGTTTATATTGTATCAGGGAGCCCAAAGCTCCCCAAATATGGGATGAAATGTTTTTTAATTTTTGGAATAATGTTATTGACATTAATAATGAGGATTTGGTTTCATACTTGCTAATAACCAAACGCGCTCATAAACCATGGATAACATTGCTGTTATGGAATTTTAGCTGCTGGACAGCATTTCTATTCCAGACTACGTTGAGTGGAAAACACAGCGTCCCTCTGCTGGGGTGGTTAATGTTTTGAAGACGGATGGTTAAAGTATTTATTTCAAAAGGAGTCATTACTGCAAAATCCCCAACAAACATGGCAGTCAGTTGTCTAGTATCAACAGAATTATGGTCACGGATCATGTGTTAAGAATAATTTACAACCAGTCTTCGTCATTTTCTACCTGTGGAATATAGAATGAGTTTGTCCATTTGGTTGTCTTCCATTCCAGGCATACATCCCCTCATTTTTTGTTTTCACCAGAAACCGGAGGCTACTGGGGACGTTTTCTTTGATTTGATCTGACTTTACCCGAGATGCAGCCCAACGTCAGAGTTAGCTCCACGCTGTAGCATGTCATGTTCTTCACTTTGTTCGTTGTTGGATGTGCAACTAATTATTGGCACAATCACCACTGCAGTAAGATGCTCGTTGTGAGAGTTGTGAGTGTCTGAAGATTAATAAAGTCATGATTTCATGATGTAAAAAATGGTCTCAATGAAGTTTGCGGATTCTGCTCCTGCAAATCCTTGATGAGATATCGAACAAATGTTCAACTTTCAAATTCCGTCCCTGAGGAGAACATCCAACAGCTTAATTATTAGTTCCTTATCACTTCTTTGGCTGTTGACATCTCTCAGCACAGCAGATACGTAGCTGGGGAGTGGAGCGATGAAAAACTTGTCTGCATGTCCACTTTTAGGTTATTCTTCTTACGGGGTGTGTGTGTGTGTGTGTGTGTGTGTGTGTGTGTGTGTTGTGTTTGTCAGGAGACCACCGAGGCGGCGCTGGGCTCGACGCCGGGGTTGTCGGCACACAGTAGCAGCTTGTTGGCTCTGGGATGGATCAGGTTCCAGCGCTGCATGTTGCTGCGATACGTCTCCGAGTCCACTTCATCCATCCCAGCTGATTCCAGAACAGCAGCGGGGTGCACGGTGTTGTACAGCGCTCGTAGAAACAGCCTGCAGAGGACGACATGCAGAGCAGTGTGAGGCAGTCCTCCAAAACGATGCATGAGGTCTGATAGTAACTTAGTTTTCTTGGTGTCTGCATTTTGATTTTTAATTGGCAACAAAATAATCTGTATTCTATTATATCTCCAATTAGTTATTTCAAATATGATGATAAAATGCAGGTGAATGTGTTATGCCCTACTTTTGTTTCCCTCCTGCCACAGACCGGTTAGTACGCTGCAGCAGTCTGATGAGAAACAGAAAAACCTGCTGCACGCGGTCACGTGATCTTTCTGGTCCATTCTGATACTTGCTCCTCCTTCACTACTAACTATGTTAGGGATCATTTGAGATTCAAGTAGCGATATCAGTACCTGTACAGGCAGCGTGAGCAGACACACTCTGTGATGAGTACAGGTATTTCACTGACTGACGTAAACCCACAAAAACCCATGAAACCCACGTTGTTTGATGTTTAAAGGCACTAGAAGTTGTACTCGGATGTGCATTTAAATCTAAGCTAGAATCCAAATGAAGGAAGGAAACACAACTTAAAAGATTAACAAAGATTATGAAAGAGACGATGGACGTAACGGCTTCTCGGCTGTATGTGTCTCATCTCGACCTCACCTTAGGACTTCTCTTTAATTGGCATCAATTTCCACTACAGCAGGCTAAACGAGGAGCGCCCACATGCACAACAGCAATAGACCAGCACACATTGCATTACAGTTTAATGAGCAACGTAAACCCAATAACAACAAGAAAGCAGCTGTATTCTCTTTGTAGATTGAAGGCCTTTCTGCCCCATTCTGACTTTAAGAGCAATGTGTAAAAGGTGTAGTTTGAGGGTGTGTACCTGGGTAACAGAGCCATCACAGTAGTGACAACACATATGATGTAGAAAAGAGGCTGGTTCATCTCGAGGGTCTCCACCCCCACAGGGTTGGTGGGGGGGCTGCAGGTCACACAGAACAAACTGAAGAGCAGCACAAAGCCAAAGTAGAGACCGCCACTGAGCACCAACACCAGCACATGAATCCACGTCTGCAAAACAGAAGCGGTTTCCTTAATAGTGATACAAACAGTAACAACTCCTGTCTGGACTCACACACAAACAACCGATGGAATTAGCAGTTGGTCTTACCAGAGTGTGACTCTCGATGACTTGGTGCAGCAGGATGATGAGGAGAGCTGAGGCGTTGATGGGAGAGCCGAAAGACAGAACACTGACGCTGGAACCTGCTAGAGCCTAAGACCACAACAGAGCTCCATTGGAACGGGACCAAGTGTATGAGCAGGGTCTCAACTATGAGACAAGACATGTGGTGCCCTCTAGATAAGTCTGTCAGTCAGACAGTGCAGTGTTAGAGTACACATGCTGCTAAATTAGCAGGCGACCGCTCATATAAACAGCATTGGAATAAATATAGTGATGCAGGAGCTAGGTGACAGAACTGAAGGATGCGAGCGACGCAGTGTACTTACAAAGTAAGGCACAAAGAAGCAGATGAGGCTTTGGTAAAACGCGTCCAGGACTGTGATCCAGAACATGTAGGAAACATAGACCTGCAGAGAATATACTCACTTAGTCCTTCTAAATCAGATCAGAAGCGTGATTATTGCCATGTTACACATACAAGAATTGTATGTAAAATGAGATAAAAATATACACGCCAAAATGAACAGATAAGTGCCTTAAAACACGTATGTATTGAGATGTATCTGCGTCCTGGGGATGTTGGGTCTGGGTCAGTGGTGATAGCTGTTCGGCGGGGTAATTTTATAAATGTACAATTATTAGTGTTACAAATTGCTTATTGTCACAAACTGTTGTGTTGTAGTGTTTTACCCTGTTAAAGAGCGTTTGCTGTGGGTTATTAATTGTCCTAAAATGTTATAACCATGACTCAATCTCTGGACAGGTAACACAAGTAGATCTGACCGCTACGCGCTTAGCAATAGGGTGTAAAAGTAAATTCTGTTGCCTGCTGAAGAGCAACATCAGTTGTTACGGCTGTGTACGGTTCGGTTGTCAACAGTGTTAGCGGGAGGTCATGGTCCTGATTGACCGCAGCTTTCTGCCAGAGGGAAGGGGCTCAAAAGATCTGTGTCCGGGGTGAGGGGGGTCAGCTACAATCTTCCTTTGCCGCCTCAGAGTCTTGGAGGTCTTAGAGGGACGGCAAATTGCAGCCAATCACCCTCTCTGCAGAGCAAATGACACGCTGCAGCCTGCCCTTGTCCTTGGCTGTGGCTGCAGCGTACCAGACGGTGATGGAGGAGCAGAGGATGGACTCAATGATGGCCGTTGTCTTTGGCAGGTTGAATTTCTTCACCTGCCTCAAAAAGAGGCCCAGGAAACTAAAGGACAGTGATGACACGGGTATCACACATAGGGCCAGGTGGGGCTGCGTTCCTTCGGAAATCCACAACCGCCAAGACACACTGTCTTTAGAGCGTTGAGCTCCAGGTTGTTCTGGCTGCACCACGACACCAGATTGTCAAGACTCCCACCTGTAGGCAGACTCATCTCCACCAGAAATCAGTCCAATGAGGGTGGTGTGATCAGCAAACTTAAAGGACTGGTGGCTGGAGGTGCAGCTGTACAGAAAGAAGAGCAGTCCTCACTTCTAAACGCCTGATCCTGTAGCAACTGCAACAGTCTCAGTTGAGCTGTGAACCATGGTTACAAGGAGGCGCAACATTTTTGTTAAATTTCCAGAACCTTCCCGGAAACCATTTTTTGCAAAAGCATATATGCAGGGCAGCTGGACCCTGGATGCAGATAATAAGTGCATAAAACGTTGTGCTGTTTTTGAACGAACTGCAAGAAACCAGACATCATATCTATATCCCACTGACTGGAGACTGGTGTGCTTTCAGGGTCCGATCGATGCTGCGAGGTGCGTCCGCTCCCGCCGACATGTTTGGCAGAGCGCCTTGAACAACTAGTATGGATCAACCAATTAATCCATATATAAGGCACTCCGGATTATAAGGCGCACTGTCGTTTTTTGAGAAAATTAAAGGCTTTTAAGTGCGCCTTAAAGTGCGGAAAATACGGTAAGTGCCATTATAAGTACAATTTAAGTGCTATAATTTGTTAGTGTTTTTAGTCAAGGTAGAGTCTGAAGAGGTGTGTCTTTAGTCTGAAGATGTGAAGGCTCTCTGCGGTCCTGGTGTCTTCAGAGAGCTCGTTCCACCATTTAGGAGCAGGACAGCAAAGAGTCGTGATCTAGTCGAGTGTTTTGCTCTCAGTGAGGGAGGATGGGGGGGGATGTCTGGGGCAGGTTGGTGAAGCTGTGGGGGGATGAGTCAGGACATTGTCTATCGAATCTGCAGTAGAACTCGTTCAGCAGCTGGTCTGCTAGGCAGAGGTCATTCATGGAGAGGGGGGGGGGGGTTTGGGTTGTAGTTGAGGTGTGGGTGGGTGTGAGGTGTTTGAAGCCTCTCCGAAGCAGTCACTTGCTGAGAGCTGTTAGTATCTCCGAGTACAGTCGTAGCATCTCTCATCGCCTTGCTAAACCTGTATTTTGACTCCTAAATGCGTAATCCTTCTGCTTCTCCTAATTATTCCACATGCAGTAATTGAGGGATCTTAAACTAGTGGACTTTTAAGAAGATGATAACTGGTTGAGATCTGACAAAATAATATTGATATGATCCAGGATCTCAGAAGAGCTTAAACTTCATGTTTTAAAAGGTTCTCCTTCTTTAGGAATAATGATATCAAAAAAAGAATGACTAATGAATAAAGAAAAACAGTAAATAATATCCGCCGTGATGCAGCTTGGTGTGAGTCGCATGGAAACACCTTGGAGGTTTGCACCTGGCGATAGAGTTCAGGCAGCTCCATCAGAGAGTGAGCAGGCGTGTCTCTGTCCAGGACGCCATACACGAGGGGAGGAATGGAGGTGAAGATCAGATTGAAGAGGATGAGCACCCAGGCATTGGTCATGACGCTCCCAGAGAAACCACAGAAGAACTGATACCAGAACAGCAGATTCACATACATCTGTGGACAGAGAGAGGGAGAGACAAACCGACAGACAGGCAGAGACTTCATCAGTTACACAGCTTTGCATGAAGGGAATCTTATTTTGTATAAGAGGTAACAACCAAAATTGAAACAGCAGCTGACTGCAGTTCACATTCTACAGGTGAGTAGGAATTATTGTTGCTTGGCCTTGTCTGGCCTTGAGTGTTAAAGCCACCGATACTTAAATCAAGCTATTTAGTAAAACAGTCCCACAAACAGAAACAAAACTCGTACCACATTCTTGTAGATGAAGTAGAGGATCATGTTGGCGAGACGAGAGTAACACCAGTGGCCGTGCACAAGCAGCAGCTTCCTCAGGTGTTTAAACCTGGAGATAGCAAAGTCACTGGACATCACAGCCTGGGGAAAGACAAATCGGGACGTGAATATGACCCAACAAAGCTCTGGTGATTCAAAAGGAGTACTACAATATCACATACGTGCAACTAGAATATTGCACGGATGTTAATATGGCCACAACCTACTAGCTGCATCTTGTGACCTCATGTAGTTACAAACCTTACTGCACTGTGGAACGTGTCCTTGGATTTTACCAACGAACATGAAGTAGAAACGATGTAAGTGTCATTACCTGCATGCCCCCCTGACCCGATATCCCAACGCCCACAGCAGCCATCTGAATCATGCTCACATCATTGGCTCCATCACCTGGATGAAGTATGTACAAAGTACATTGTATAATTAAAAAGGGTTTTATTTGTCAAGCAGCCATTGGCAGGTGTGACCATAACTGCTCCCTCCATGCAATCCAATATAGTTTAGTTTAGGAAATTAAGTTAGGGAGCTACAGAATCATCAGAGGAGCCCTTCATGTCAGCTACAGAGGAGATCATTCGAAGTTTATTGAAAGCAAACAGTCAGTCCAAAACAGAAAAATGTTCACGCAAGATTCAATACTGGGGAGATATGATCAAGTAGTTTTTAAAAATGAGAGGGAAGAAGCTTGTTTAAAGCCTCCCGCTGACATCTGTACCAAACCACATACTGTAATAAGGTCATTGCTACCAGCACGCAAGGCCTGATTAATACAAGCCTGTCTCAGGCCAGGGGGAAAGTATGGACTGCCTTACACCTGTGTGCTAATGGGAACAAATGAGCTAATAAATACATTCAGGAAGGTGTTGGGGGAGAATTTGTTGAGGTGCAAATTGTTAATGTCTCGAGAACTCGGGGTGTGACCTTTCTTGGAAAATTCGTGACCGGACCTTTACACAACGGCATCCTGTTGTTGAAGACAGGTGCCTTGACTGATCCATATCATGTTTTCCTCTGTCTGTCTTATATGATTGACTAGGCCCCATTAAGGGGGGGACATCTGTTTACACCTAATCTTACCTACAGCCAGGGTCATAACCCCGAGCTGGTCCTGGATCAACTGGACCACCTTGCTCTTCTGCAGTGGGGTGGACCGGCAGCAGATCACTGCCTTGCATCTCCGGCTGAGCTCCAGGAAGTCGCTCCTCTGCTCCTCCTGCAGGGCCCATTCCAGGGTCAGGCCATCAAGAACCAGGATGAAGCCTGGGGAGGATTCTCCAGCAGGACTCAAACTGTCCTCACCACACTGCTCTGCAACTTTGAGCTCGTCCAGTAGAGCTGCATATGCATCCTGACACGGGAGAGAACCCTAAAATTACTGATGCGTACATTTAAATTCTAGATGACTTTAGCTTCTCATGATTACCCCCGACCGCTCTTAGCTTCAAAATAAAATTTAGACAAAACGAATTACCTGTAGCACCAGTATGTCTCACTCACAAGATTCCAATAACTGGACGCATTGCTCTTAATGTGCCGGTAATGATGGTAAATGATGCTTGTAGCTGGTTGTCAGCTACGCTCCACTACGGTCACATAAAGGTGTCGTTTGTGTTTTGACAACGTTTTATTTCATAATTCCGACTTTCTATCCCCTTTCTGTAGTGCGGAAATGGGCTTCTATAGTTGTGTGAATGCGTCACTCCAGCCAATCCAAAGACGGGGTTTGTAACCAATCAGGTGTAGAGACCATGGTGACTGGCTCCGCCCCCTCACTGTCAAAAACAACAACAGCGAGCGCGTAGAAAACTCCTTAAAGCACGAGCAGAGACTAACCTCGCGAGCGAGGAAGTTCACGCTCCGCGAGCGAGCAAATCTCTCCCGCGGGACGGACTTTTGCTCGCGGATGTTAGTTGTGGAGGAAAATACAGGACAAATGTGTCCGTGATGAAAAGCAGCAGTGTGGATGCACGGGGCAATAAAGTCTATGATAAATAAATAAAGCAACCAACGACTTCCACACACAAAGACGTGACTCTCTAGGTCGTCTTTAACAAAACACGTGACTCCACCTGTTGTTCTGGAGGTGAATCGCTCTGCAACACACGCGAGACTTTACAACCAGGAAGTGAAACCAGTGTGTCGACGCAACGGTGCGTAAAGATGAAGACGCAGACGCATGCGGCAGCCGTAAGAAACACCCCTGGTGTAAACCGGCCGTGTCACAGACGTCTGGTTGAGCGTTTAGTACTAGCAGAATGACGACAGGAGACTTAAATGCACGCTAGCCATGGATCGGGATAAACAAGCAGAGAGGGACACAGAAACTTGTCACTTTCTGTTCGCTGGTGCCCTTTATTTTAAATTTTTGAACATTTTTAACTTTAACCGTTATTCCATTTTTAAACTAACCCATAGCATTATATTTTATTTTATTCCTTGTACACTGTTGTGCTGTATGCTGTTATGCACCAACCGCCAAGTCAAATTCCTTGTATGTCTGACATATTATGGCAATGAATGTTTCCTGATTCCTGATGCTGAACAAAGGCATTGCTGTAGATAAACGTGAACTTTTTAGAAAAGAGCTGCAATCCCGTTAGCCGCTGACCTTGCTCCCACAGTCGGCTGTCAGCAGTTGGTCGTTGGGACCAAAGAGTTTGCAGGCGTAGGCGACGTTAATGGCCGTCTCTTTTTTATCTCCAGTGAGGATCCAGACTTTGATCCCGGCCCTCTGCAGCGCCTCAATGGTCTCTGGGACCTCCTCCTGCAGTCGGTCCACGATCCCCGTGGTGCCTGTACACACGGGGTCTTGTAAGTGGTGTTGCTGTGATCTGAAAGTGGTCCTGTGTCAGTTCCTACCGAGCAGAGTGAGGTTGGTCTCCAGTCTCTGAGCGGCCTCCAGCAACAGCTCTTCTCGGTCCTCGATGCTGCTCTCTGCCAGTTGCTGTCCTTTCAACCAAGCCTCATACTCCTCCTCCTCCAGGACCTGCTCAGACACACACCGTGAATCTTCATGTCATTATACCCCCTACATTTGCATTTTTTCAAATGTTTCTAAATAAAATACCCTCTAGCACTGCTCTGTGGACACAAGAAGAAGAATACTTAAAGGACGGTGGTGAAATGCAGTCGAATGATGTACTGGCTTTAAGTTATGGACTTTCTGTTCAATGATTGTTAACTTGGTATAAAAAAGCACAAACCTCTAATAGTTTGTTGCACAAGAAACCGCTACAATATCTATGTATTTTAATTGTAAGACGGTAAAGTCGTACATGAAAATAAGGTATGTTGGTATTCTAAATCTTAAAGTACTATCCATATTATCCAGCCAGAGTATTTCTAACTGAAAATATCTTGTTATTCGTTGTGGAGTCTGGGTAGGCTTAAAAGAAATCTAGAACAAAATACAAATGCAGTTAGACCTGAATCGTATGCATGATTCACAAATGGTAAAGTTACACTGCACATTACACCGAGTACAACCCATGCACGCCCATTCGTTCACTCTATCCATGTGCTACTTGCCCATCACAATCTAACCCAACCTCTCGACCACACCCGCTCACGTGCCGACGGCCCGCCCATCCACTCGCTGTAGCCTGAGCCACAGCCCCCTCCATCACACGGTCAAAAGCTAGCGTTACCTTTTTAGCGATGCAGAGGGTGCGGAGGCCTTCCCTAGCATAGCTGTCCAAATGATTTTGGGTCTGTTCTCGGATGTGATTGTAGAGCTCTTGAGCCGGCTCTGAACCTGACCAAAACCACACGAGGGTGAGCCGACAAACATTTCTGATAATATTATTATTATGTTTCAAATGTTCTTCACCCATATGCGTTCTGTTAGTCACCTTTAGGTGTCTGGTCCATGATTACAGAGTCAGCTCCCTTGGTGTAAACCACCACCTGCCCTGTGAGCGGGTGGCGGACCACCACTGACATCTTTTTCCTGTTGGAGTCAAAGGGAAGGATGTGGAGCAGCTGGACAGCCAACGGTCCCATTCCTGGTAGCTCCACCAGCAGGCCCTCTGCAGACCGTCCCCTCAGGGTGCAGCGGTATGCATGTGCTGCATGGACCAGGGCCGCCTCATCGGGACTCTCTGCCTCGTACAGCAGTTCGTCATCAGGGTCTCGCTCACAATCCACTTCTCTGGTCAGGTCCTCAGCGACCTCCCCAGCCCCATCAAGGTTTGTCCTTGCCCCTTTGAAATGATCTTCTGTCTCGCTGTCCTCTGTCTTGGAAGCATCTCCTCCTTCCTCTCTGGTGGACAAGTCCACTTTCAGTCTGGAGTTGGTGGTCTCCTGGTAACTTTCTTGGTCTGGTTCTGACCCATCTGGGGTGCTGTTAGCAGGTGTGGAGAAGCTGAAGGAGCCGGTTTTACCCCGGCCAAAGAGCCTGCTGGCGAAGCTGTGAGGTCGGCCCTTGATCTGGGGAGGAGACAGGCTGGAGAGTGCAGAGAAAGGAGAGAAGGTGAGGCGCTGAAACATCAGCTTGATTTCCTCCAGGGACTTGAGAGGTGTTTGCGTGTCAGGCACCTGCAGGGAGGAGACACACAAAGGACATTTAATACCAGTTATTGTATTTGTACCAAACCTTTCTTGATGCAGCAGTCACATTTCACATGCTAAAACCAGCTCACAAGGAGAAAACAGCCTTTGCAGCAAGTGAAAGCCTTTTCAGGTCACCGGTTTAACATTTGGGACGCACAGAGCCCCTGCGACCTTCCAATGGCTCATGGACCAGGTGCTGTGACCCCACTAGGGCTGTCCAAATTGCTCAAAGATGACGTTTGAATATTTGCTTTAAAACACATATTCGAATATCTGGTTGCTCATTAGACACGTCAATAACAGGAAAATTAATACAACGAGACATAACTACTTATATTAATAAATTAGCTATACAATAATTTATACGTGTAATTTAATAACATATTACCTACACAAAAATGAGTAAGTGATGTAAATATCTACCTATCTATGGAGCGTGGTTTGTGATCTTTTTTTTCGGGGTAGTGTTGTATGAGAGCGTGTTGTGGTGGTGTCGGGTTCACAGAGTTTTTTATGGCGGCAAATCACAGTCATTCGATGGGTGCGCGTCCGCGAGCGAGCACAGATCTCGCAGATGTTTACGCGCGAGATTAGTCTCTGCTCGCGCTCAAAGGTGTTTTCTACGCGCTCGCTGTTTTTCTTTTTGACAGAAAGGGGGCGGAGCCAGTCACCATGGTCTCTACACCTGATTGGTTACAAACCCCGTCTTTGGATTGGCTGGAGTGATGCATTCACACAACTATAGAAGCCCATTTCCACACTACAGAAAGGGGATAGAAAGTCTAAATTATTATTACATTACATGTCATTTAGCAGACGCTTTTATCCAAAGCGACTCACATTACACTTTAAACCCATGGCTTTTTCACATTTTTGCCCAGGGAGCAATTAGGGGTTAGGTGTCTTACTCAGGGACACTTCGACATGGAACATGGGGCAGCCAGGAATCAAACCACCAACCTTGTGCTTCCCAGCACACCTTCTCTAACCCCTGCGCCACGACGTCCCCATTATTATGAGATGAAACGTTGTCAAAACACAAATGACACCTCTCTGTAACCGCGTCCGCCTCTTGTTTGTGGTTGGTGCAGTCAGGCAGCGCGTGCTGCTCGCCGCGCTAAGCGCCAGCATGGATCTGCACAAGCTGACCAGAAAACACGGCGTGTTTTGGGTGTTCGGCGGAGGACTGCAGCCTGGTGGTGGGAGAGCTAGTCGGTCACATCAGCGTGAAGTCCGCTGCTAGGATGAACAATGCTGTGGTCATTTTCTTAGATAGCATAAATAAAGTAAACACTCCTGGTAGAGTGTGGCTCGATTCTCAACGGCTGAGCTTGGTTGCTCGCCTTGTATCTCTAGGCAATGGCCTCTGAAACCCAGTAGGGTGGGCGCTGCTTTGAGAGTACAGCCCTCAGCATGGCGGACCGTTCTAAATCGCTGTATCCAAGCGGGAACTTCTACACAAGCTCTGAGGGGTAGCCCTGAAAAACAAAGTGGAAGACAGAGTAGGGCAGGACGCCCTCAATATTTTCATTGCACGGATCAGAGCTAGAATCTGGATTGATTTTAGGTTTTTCAATAGCAAGCATAACAGGCAAGATTTTCATGAAAAATGACGCTACGATGAAATATTATCTTGCGTGCCTGGAGAGGAACTCGTTTTCAAACCTCCTTTCAATACAATGTGAGGAGCCACTGATTTGTACTGCTATGTTTTTGTTGATCATTCATATTGTTTTTAAAGTAAAATAAAAGGTTTTCTAAAATCAAAAATAATCCGATAAGACAGGAACTCTGACAGAGAACAAGAAGGTGTTCCACCGCTGCAGTATTTATGGGGTACTGGAAAATGGTAAGAACTGATGAAAGCTCTGGTAGGCTTGTTTTCACAGTAATGAAGAACCAGAGCAATGATAGTTGTTTTAATAGAAACCAGTTTCAAGTTGATGTGATACTAACTAAAGATGGTAGCGAGATGATATAGTGAAAATCATCTGCCCCGGGTACAGAAGGTGCTGGATGCCACTTGGTACCGGGCAGCAGCACAAAATGACTGAATATACTTTTTTTTTAAACTTTATTTCCTGAAAAAAATGACCAGTTTCTCTCCTATTTCCCAAACGTCACCATGAGATTTTTTCACCCTATAGAATTGCCCACTACTTTTTGCGCACAGCAGTTCCGTCCACCAGTGGACAGACAGAGCGCAACTGCAGTTAAGTGGTCCCTCAAAACCCTCCGCTATTACCTCATTGGGCGTAAATTGGACCTGATCACAGACCATGCGCCTTTACAGTGGATGTCAACAAACGAGAAAAACCGTCGGGCAGTAAGGTGTTTTTCCTGTGTGTCCCTCAAGCTACTGGAGGGGGAAATGAGATGTCACGAGAGGGACTGTCATCAGTGGAAGACACATCCTCTCCCAGTGGTTGCAGTAAAGACTACAACCCATTAACTAACTACGATGCCAATAGTCACCCTGTACCAAGGCTGCTGCATAGCTGAAAGGGAGGTGCCGGATTTACTTGAGTGTGCTGGTGCGAGAGACAGAAGGAAGAAGAGGACTGGCCGAAACGAGAAAGACACTGAACCAAAAGTAATGTAAAGATACTTTGCTTTGTTGATTGTGGCTTTGAAGCGGAATACATCACTGCTTGTCTTTTTAATTTGTGGACCCGCGCCTTACAAACCGATCCTGACCGTCACCATATGGATCAATCAGCAGTCTGTGATGTCGTGTTCTTCCCAGATGAGATCTACTCACCACGTGTCCAGGCTGGCTGGGCGAGGAAACCACCACGCTGTTACAGACGACCAGAGCGAGGAAGAAGTCAAGGATGTAAGTGAGTTCGAGGCTGGCCGCAGTCCCACAGGAGCTGTCAGCCAGCATAGAAGAGCAGAACCAATTCAACTTCCTCACCAGCTCCGGATCTGGTACCACCTCCTTCGTCTGAACAGACACATAAAGGGTTCATGTGCTCAGAATCAAGTTCCTGGAGTTTATTTTTCTAATTTGCACTGGGAGGAATAGAAAACGCAGTATGTTGTCAGGGAAATAATGATACATAATTATATGCATTAATTAATGAGACTATAGGCGAGGAAATCCGCACCATTAAAAGCCACAGATTGGTAATGATGGATGTGTGTGTGAGTGTCAGAGTCTGACCACGCGGCTGCAGAAGGCACTGGTCCGGGGCCGGCTGTGACTGGACACCAGGTCCTCCTCGTCTTCCTCCTGCTCAGCAGTGAGCGTGTGCAGAGACACAGAGCTGTGTTTGCAGCTCAGAGATCTACCGCTGCAGGCCGACTTCAGAGTGACAGAGCGACCAGCCGCCTTCATCTTCTCTGCCTCGTAGACCTCCAGCCTCCGAGCTGACACACCGCAGAACACAGGGACCATTTACTCCACTTAAAAGAATCATACATCTTATACTGGAGCACGAGTACATTCAACTGTATAGTCACCACACAGAGCAAGTACCGCAGCAAAGCAAATCAACTGTGGTTCACTTGATTACGAGAAAGAAGAACAATTGAGTGATGAAATCGGGGGGTTAGAGTCGATCGCTCTATCAGAGGATCGATGGAGAGATGGAGATACAGCTTCGTTCAAGCTGCAAAAGACATTTTATGGTAACAGAACCTATTGGACTATTATGAGAGATTATCTTGCTCCATATGGAAGGAAATATTGGACCCTTTCATCACCAGCCACGTATCTTGTAAACCTCTGAGACTAAAATGTAGTTCCAGTGAAGAGGAACTCAGTCTCCCACACAATCTCACTAGATCTGGAATCTAAACACACTTTGTAGTATGCTGTGCATAATATATTATGTGAGCAAAATAAAATGTAAGTAAGGGGGCAAGTGGGTGAGTGGAGAGAACGGTCGTTGTTCAGAGGATCGATCCGCTGGCAATGTGTCCCTGGGCAAGGCACTTCTGTTAAAATGACCCCCGTAGGTGTTTTTCTCTGACTGCCTTTTAGTTAGGATCACATCAACTTGAAATTGGTTTCTATTAAAAACAATAATCAAACATCATCTTGCTCTGGTTCTTCATTACTGTGAAAATAAGCCCACCAGAGCTTTCATCAGATCTTACCATTTTCCTCATGAGGGTATTCAACCCCATAAATACTGCAGCGGCGAAACACCATCTTGTTCTCTGTCAGAGTTCCCGTCTTATCAGAGAAAAGGTACTGAATCTGACCCAGGTCCTCAGTGATGTTGAGGGCCCGACACTGAATCCTGGAGTCCAGCTGCTCGTTGTACAAGGCTAAGTCGTTGTGGATGAAGTAGATCTGGCCCAGTTTCACAATCTCAATGGACACGTACAGAGAAATGGGGATCAGCACCTGATGGATAGAAGTGGATTATATGCAGTTTATCATTAAGACATGTGATGAGTATGGCACTTGTTTAAATCTGCCTCGAGCTGAACCTCCCTCACAAACTAAGTGACCAGGCTCGAAGAAGACTGGTAAGGAACCAAGAACCAACGAATATTCTACATTCGAATGTATATTAAACAACAATTAAACGGCGGCGCGACGGTCTGGGTTGCGGGTGACTACTGACTATATATTGCAGGAATAAAATAGATTAGAGAGGCTACAACAGCTTCATGCACTGGTTTGATTATTTGCCGTTTCATGCCAAGGAAAAGTTTAACTTTGGTAAAGATGGAACTGCTCGGAGCGTTCAATGTCAGTACTGTAAAACAATTAATGTTAATAATATTTGTCTCAATCACTGAATGAAGCTTGCCATATATATTTGAGAAAAGGATCACAACCTTAAATTGCTTGCAAAAAACTCTTGATCAGCATTCAGCATTTGTTTTATTGTCGTCGTTCATTTAAACCGCTATGCTCAGAAGGGCGAGACTGTACATACAACAGCAACAACTGATGATCTTTGTAGTCGACGTAATGGACAACGTTGATTACTTAAATGGTGGATTTCTATCGTCGGCGCGTCGTATATTATACAAAGATTCAGAGCTACGGGTCTTTTTCATTCAGCATTGCAATACACCACAGGAAGCGCTGGGGGCGCTATCGCTTCTATCGTCTACATGCACCAAGGAAAAGAAGTTTATCGAGCTGGACGTGGGAGAGTCTTTTATCAGCAAACCACGACGACAACGCACAGACATTTAAAATGTCTTCTCCTCTTGGGTAAGTTTAGCTAACCAAGTGACGCTAGCCTTGTTAGCTTATCGTAAGGTTTACACTTAAGCTACATGTTGGAGAGCAGAGCGTCTCGTGGAGGATGCCTGCTAACGTATTATGTTAAATGCAATGTGGTAACGTTAACTGAATTATTGTAGCCTGTCTTTTCATTTGTTCTGAATAGTTAACGTTAACCTCCACTCAGCACTCTTCAAAACACAAGATTTCACAAGAAAAAATGTCATAAATACGAGAGATCTACTGTAGCATAATAAAAACCTACTAAAGCCTACAACGTGATCATTCAAGCTCTGTGTTTTCGTCTTGTTTGTCCAGAGTTAGGCCTCAGATGAAGGTGACAGATAACATCCTCAACATGCTCGACTTTGCTATTTTGAGTTACTTTTAAAACTTTATTTTAAACGCATATTTTCACTTATATTTTGTATTTCTTATGATGATTACATTACACTATAACATTCCACCGGTCACTCCCCTTCACACTGCACATGTCACTTTAACTGTAATTCATCACTTTGTCGTCACTCGTCACTTTTTCGTTACTTGTTCGTAAGTGGACTTTATGCTTAATATTTCTTTTTTAATATTTAAAATTTTTAACTTTATTCCCTTGTTTTATACTAACCCATAGCCTTATTTACTAACCCATTGCATTCGCATTTCATGTTACTTTATTTTATTACTTGTGCACTGCTGTCTTGTTGGTCTACTGTCGCGCACCAACCGCCAAGGCAAATTCCTTGTATGTTTTACATATTATGGTAATAAATGTTTCCTGATTTGTATTAACTTGTTACTCAAATACATTTGAAGTTCAAAATCCAAAGTTATTGGATGGAAATAAACGGTCACACCTTGTAGCCAAAAAGAATACTTGCCTCCACGCTCCTACACTGTGGTAAATAATTGTTAGATTAGTCGACTTATCGAAAGAATAGTCCATTAGTCAAATACACATCTCCACCGTAAAGCATGGTGGTGGCAGCATTGTGCTTCTCAGCAGAAGGCCCTGGGACGCTTGTGAAGATAGAAGGGAACATGAATGCAGAACATTATAACCAAATTCTAGAGGATAATCTAAATCTGTGCAAGAGAACTACAACAATCCATATAGTCTGTCCATCCCGGGAGAGGGATCCCCCTCTGACGTTCTCCCTATCCCATGGAAGGGTTTTCATTTTTTGGCCTTTGCCGATGGTGGGTTTGGGGACAGAGGATGTCGCATGTGTACAGACTGTAAAGCCCTCTGAGGCAAATTTGTAGTTTGCGATTTTGGGCTATACCAAAAAAAATATATTGAACTTGCAAGAAGCGTTATTGTCCAGCGAGACAACGAGCCAAAGCATCCAAAAGCTCCACCAAAATGCTTCAGGCAAATGTTCTGAAGTGAACTATTTTGAAATGACTTCGGTTAACCTGAAAATCAACTGATTGATTGATAATTGCAGCTAGTAACAAACGTTAAGAGTCCAAGAATGCAACTGTATACCTGCAGCACAATGATCATTGTCCAGAAGACATAGAATCCAGCCAGGGCAGGAGACATCTCCTTATTAACCTGAAAGACCGCCTCTTTGAGGTTTTTCAGCCAGAAGCCATGGCCTGAAACACACAAAGACACCAAAGCAGCTGTGAGATGAAAGCTGGACATGGTTCATACTCTATGTGGAGGCGCTGCTAAGCACAAAGGGCTGCCCCTCCCATTTAAACCACTAGGGCAGTTCACAAAGGTCCAAAGCCGTGATTCCCGCCGGTAACAGCCTCTGGTCGACTTCTTCCGTGTGCTATGAGCCGTTACTGAGTCAGTGAGGGAATCGGACTGACTGACTGACACTCACTAACTGACTCTTACACTGACTTTCTGATATACTGACGCACTGTCAAACTCAGTGACTGACTCACGTACTGATTGACACCCTGCTCATTGACCAACTCACTGACTGACTCCCTCATTGACACTCTGACTCAGTGACTGACATACTGACTAACTCATTGACACACTGACTGCTGCTAGCTGGAGAGAGAAGGGTTGGTACTCGCCTATGGCCGCAGACAGACACATGATGACGAGCAGGAGCACACACCACAGAACGTCCGTGTTCAGATGCTTCTCCAGCTGGCTGCGCTTATACCTCGGCCCACTGTTGTTCATCATGGCTTTAGTGTCATGACCTTGGTCACATAAGAAAGAGAATACATTGATGCTCAGTAATATCCCAAACTGGAATTGTATTAGGAGTTTCCATAACGTGGGTTCTAACGAAGGGTGAAATACGCTTGTATCTGTTCATTAGGGTTAGAGCAGCCACTAGGTCTTGAGGCACAGAATTGAGTCCAGGTCTGCAGGAAAATTGGTCAATTAGTAGTAGTCTTTGTTCTGTGCATAGCCTTTTACATTTTGATTCTTCACACTTTAACACGAGATTCATTCACTCACACTGACATCAGCAACTAACAATCCCACTCCACAGTCATCTGGCGTTAAAGTGTCTCGCCTAAAAACACATGGACATGGACCCTGAGCCGGGGATCGAACCCCAATCCTATTGGAAGGACGACCCTGCTCTGCACTGAGCCACAGTCACACCTTTGGGCCTCAATGACTGCAAAATTCTCTCTGGAGGACAAAGTCAATCGCCATAAGGAAAGATGACAATGGTATGAATAGAGTAATCATTGTCGTTAATGTCCTGGCAATAACAGGATAGGTAAATTGAACTGAATCAGGGGTCATCAGACAGAATGCAAATCAAATAGAGGGCCTCAATTTAAAGAAACAAGTGGACTTGATCTGTCTGAACAAATTGGCTCCAAATAATGGAGGTGCAAAGACAATGGGAAAAGTGAGTGGCAGTAACAACTGGAGTTCCTGTTCATTAATTGTGGTGCACAAACAGTTCAGGTAGTAAACACATACTTTGCTTTCCATCTTCTTAAGGGGGCATGTCGGAGAGCAGGTCAGTGGAGTAGCTTTTGTTCAGATGTTTGTTAGTGATGTTCTACCCTTACCGGCGTAGACCACAAGGCCCACCACAGTCTCCGTGTTGCGGATGGTGCAGCTCCTCAACAGGAGGTTGGTGTGATGGAGGCCAACTCGAACCCCACTGGGATGCTCCCTGTGGAACACGCGCCAACGCACACACGCAGACACACACAACAGGCTGGAGTTCAGGCTCAGCTGGATGACACAATCCATTCATACCCACTGACAGGCATGATGAGAACATAGGTGTCTGTAAGGCATCGCACTGATTTGAAGCAGGGGTCTTCAACGTTTCAAGGCCCCCCAAACTGATGGCGAGATGGAGCAGGGACCCCCTATTCTAGTTTGGTCCGCCATCTTTTATTTTTGAGCTTGGCGCTCTTTAGACGTGAGCATAAAGGCGATCTGATTGGCTGGTGCCTGTGATGTCATATTTGCATGAAAGGAGCTGTGAGTGAACCGGTGCCCAGCTTGAGAGCTGCTGAGGGAAGCTGAATGTGTGCATTGCAGATTGAAAGACAACGTCTTCTCCATCAATTTATCCGTTCGCTACAATAAGTTGGATTAATGTTAATGTGTATTTAAAGACAATAAATACAATTCTGAAGAAATTTAAATTTGTCGAGAAAAAAAAAAAAAAAGGTCAGGCAAAAGTTTCGCAAACCTCTGTTGAAGACCTCTGACTTAAATGAGGCCCTACTGCATTGTTTTTTGCGAGCTAAATGTACAGTGGGGAGAAGAAGTATTTGATACACTGGAGAGCATGTAGGACTCTAATTGTTATCATACAGTAGATACTCTTCCATTGTGAGTGACGGAATCTAAAACAAAAATCACATTATATGATTTAAAAATATATATATTTTGCAGTTTATTGCATAACATAAGTATTTACAGTAATCACCTACCAACCAGTAAGAATTCCGTCTCTCACAGACCAGTTAGTCTTTAGGAAGCCCTCCTGTTCTCCACGTATTACCTGTATTAACTGCACCTGTTTGAAGTGAACTACTTCTCTTTCCGGGAAAAGATTCTCTGACCCAGGACCTGATGGTTAACTTTGGCAACTCCGTGTTAACGCCCACTTTGACTGCAGGAACCTCAGTGTGACACTCGACCGGCAACTCTCCCTGACAACACGATCCTGTAGATACACGCACTACAACATCAGGAGAACACGTCCTCTTCTCACTCAGAAGGCTGCTCAGGTACTGATTCAGGCTCTTGTCATCTCCCGCCTGGACTACTGTAACTCCCTCCTGCAGGTCTCCTGCTACCGACATTCCACCTCTGCAGCTCATCCAGAATGCAGCAGCTCGACTGGTCTTTAACCTTCCTAAGTTCTCCCACACTCCTCCACTCCTCCGCTCTCTTCACTGGTACCGGTGGCTCATCCAGTTCTAAACACTGGTGCTCACGTACCATGCTGTGAATGGATCGGGTCCAGCTTACATCCAGGACCTGGTCCAACCAGACATCCCGACCCGCACTCTCCGCTCTGCATGTGATAAACTGCTCGTCCCTCCCTCACTGAGAGCAAAACACCACTCTTTGCTGTCCTGCTCCGAAATGGTGGAACAAGCTCTCTGAAGACACCAGGACCACAGAGAGCCTTCACATCTTCAGACTAAAGACACACCTCTTCAGACTCTACCTCCACTAAAAGACTAACAAATTGTAGCACTTAAATGGTACTTGTAACGTCACTTATCTATAGCAAATTGTAAATTAGCTTATTTGAGGAAATTCCACTTTCTTGTTTCTCGTTCTTCCGAGTTTGTACTATATGGTTGGATGCACTTATTGTAAGTCGCTTTGGATAAAAGCGCCAGCTAAATGACATGTAATGTAACTCGGATCCCTGTACACACTCACACAATGGCCAAGACCATAGCGCTGTGTGAGGACATCAGGGATAAAATTGTAGACCTTCACAAGGCTGGGATGGGCTACAGGACAACAGGCAAGCAGCTTGCTGAGAAGGAAACAACTGTTGGCGCAAATATTAGAAAATGGAACAAGTTCAAGATGGCGGTCTATCTCCCTCAGTCTGGGGCTCCATGCAGGATCTCACCTCGTGGGGCATCAATGATCATGAGGAAGGTGAGGGATCAGCCCAGAACTACACGGCAGGACCTGGTCAATGACCTGAAGAGAGCTGGGATCACAGTCTCAAAGGAAACCATTAGTAACACACCAACGCCGTCATGGATTAAAATCCTGCAGCGCACACAAGGTCCCCCTGCTCGAGCCAGCGCATGTCCAGGTCTAAAGTTTACCAATGACCATCTGGATGATGCAGAGGAGGTATGGGAGAAGGTCATGTGGTCTGATGGATGGAGCTTGTTGGTCTAAACTCCACTAACCATGTTTGGAGGAAGAAGGAGGATGAGTACAACTCCAAGAACACCATCCCGACCGTGAAGCATGGCGGTGGAAACGTTCTTCGGGGATGCTTTTCTGCAAAGGGGACAGACTGACTGCACCGTATTGATGGGAGGATGGATGGGGCCATGTATCTTTGCCAACAACCATCCCTCAGTAAGAGCATCGAAGATGGGTGGGTAGCTGGTTCTCTCAGCATGACCACGACCCGGAACACCCCGGCAGGGCAACTAAGGAGTGGCTCTGTGAGAAGCATCTCAAGGTCCTGGAGTGGCCCAGCCAGTGTGTGCAAACCTAGTCAAGAACTACAGGAAAGGTATGCTCTGTAAGTGGGAAAACTGAAGTGTAGCAAATACTTATTCTTCCCACTGCATAGCGAAAGCTCCAGGGAGAACATGCAAACTCCACATAGCCTGGGGGTCAAACCCAGGCACCTCTTGATGTGAGTAGACACGGATTGGCAGAATTTCACGTTACAATAGCAGTTTTCTCACACTGCTGGAATGTACAATTCCAAAATGAAAGCCTCTCCAAATACCGTACATGAGCCACAAGACTACATCTGGTCAATTACAGGTTAGATTTAAAAGGGAACAATCAATAGTTACATGATAATTTCAATTCAGATTGATAGTACACATCCCCAAGGTGTCTCTCAGGGATAACCAGGACATTCTGATGAACCATTTTAGAAATTAAAGCCTCGAAATGCCACTATGTTTTTTACTGGATACTAGAAAATTTGACTTCCTGTTACCAGTACGTTACATTACATGTCATTTAACTGACGCTTTTATCCAAAAGCTAAAAATCTAAAATCCAATCACGCCGAGGTGTAGGTGGCGCTTTGATTCAACTTTACATCTCTTTAGGCCCAGAGTATCATCAAACATGTGTAAATTGGAAAGAATCCGATGATGTGGAGTTTAGTTAAAACCGTTTAGTTGTTCTTGGCGAAGTATCAACTTTGCTGACGCACCCTTTCGCCACAGATTATCGAATTCTTATAATATTCACAGTGAAACATTATGTATATAGATTTTGAATATGATAAAGCCCCCAAAAAGCAAAAATTGGTCCTTGGTTGTGGCTGCAGAGTACCAGACGGTGATGGAGGAGCAGAGGACGGACTCCATGATGGAGGTGGAGAAGTGCACCATGACTGTATTTAGCAGGTTGAATTTCGTCAGCTGCCTCAAGAAGTACATCCTCTGCTAAGCTACCAATCACCAAGACAAATGTATCTATGTGTAACATATGTGTAATAAGCGGCCTCTAATTTGATTTCTCAATGAGATATAAAATGATAAGCAAGCATTGATTCTGCAGGATACAAAAAATATAGCTAATAAATAAAAGCTAATATACTGTATATACAATGTAAGTAATTCCATGTATCAAACGCATGTCATGACTCGATGTGTTGGACCACAATAGAATAAAAAGTGACTCACATGTAACCTTTAAACCTACTGAGGTCGTTGTTGGGGTTCTCACACTCAACCAGACAGTGGAAGCTTTCAGCGGTAAACTCTACTCCCTGCAAACAGCACACACAGGTAAGCACACAGGGTAGGTCCTCCTTTTAACTTGCTTATTAATGACATACAGCAGATCAGAACAGCAAACATTCCAACATGAGCATCAGAAAGCATCGCAGGGATCCGGTTAGAGACCTGCTCAGACAGCCAAAGTTCACATGACCTACTCCTTCCTCAAGGCAGGAGATACTGTGGATTTCTAATTTGCACTTATATATAATATATATATATATACACACACAGGAAGGGAAGGGGAAGGCAGCAGCAGCCTGCCAGGTTTAACAATTTTAGAATAATGGATGTGAAAATGTCACATGTCCCTGGTGCTCAGAGCCACATGCATTATTACCTCCAATGGGAGGTCTGAAACCACCTGTCTCTGTTTCAGGTTGGTTTCTCCGTCCAGGTTGGCGGTGTCGATGTAACAAACCCCACGTGGGTCAGAGGAATACAGCAACAGCATGTCAGCTGGGATGTTTTCATTGCAGGACAGACGGACAAAGTCTCCAACTCGAACATCCTTCCAGCACTGATAAATGTAGTCCTTCTGCTGGCTGTGGACGGACACAGATAGGACAAGAAAATGTCTCAAAGTTTCACATACCATGCGACTCTATTTTGAGTAGAGTGGGTGCGCCGGAAACCGGTTGGCAGTTTGAACCCCAGCTCCATGTCGAAGTGTCCATGAGCAAGACACCTTACAAAACAGGGAACCAGAAATCTCTTGAAAGCGCAGAAGGCCTGGCGGTTTTGTTAGGGATTCAGGCAGAAGAGCACACCTAGTGGTGGAAATTATAATAGTAGTTTGTGTATGTAGTTATTACATTAGCATGTTCAATTAATAACTGTGAGTCAGACAAGTCATTTGATTGCTGCACACATAACATCCTGCCACACTGTAAACGCATATTCCTTCCTTGATAAATTTCTTTAAAAAAAAAAAAAAAGATTATTCCAATCTGTCTGCTGCTCAGATCTGGAAGCATTGGCACAAGACCCCTGGGTGCACCCTTTCTTCTTGTTTATTTAGTTGCACAATCCAACCCTTGAGTTACTTGTAAAACATGGTTTATAGTGTATGTGGCTATTAGAGGATTGGCAGTGCATTCTGTCACTAAGGTATTAACAATCCATATTGTCCGCCGGTCAGATTGTCAGCGCCACCCTTCCATATATTTTAATGGTCTGGCCCGCGTAAGTGGGCAGTATCTGGCCCGAATCTCAAATCCGGTCCAATGGGATGTTCAGTGCAGCCCGCTGGATAACTGTGCTATTATGACAATTACAGACTGGTCCCCACGACGCCGTGGGTCCCCCCCCCGGTTGGCCGCATCGTCGGCGCCTCCCCCACCCACATCCGTCGGCAGTATAGTTGGTGCCACTCCTCCCTATAATTTTAATGGTCTGGCCTGCTTTTGATCAAAGTGGGCAGTATCTGGTCCAAACCTGAAATGAGTTTGACACCCCTGGCCTACTGGCGCACTGCAATAAAAACTCATAATAAGGGTTGCTCCATGGTTTACCCATCAATATCACAGGGCACATCACATACACACTAGGGCTGCAACAACGAATTTATAAAATAAAAAATAAAAAACGATTATTAAAAGTGTTCATTGTCGATTTGTTGTGTTGCACAATTATTACATCACCCAACAAGTTCTAATTATCCTGTTAAATTTTCTGATTTGTATTTTTCTTTATTTTTTATAAATTATTATGTTCATGGGGAAACCCCGCCGAGTGGCCTTTCTGTGTGGAGTCTGCATGTTCTCCCCGTGTCTGCGTGGGTTCTCTGGCTTCCTCCCACAGTCCAAAGACATGCTCTGGGGATCAGGTTGATTGGGGACTTTAAATTGCCCGTAGATGTTTTTTTTTTTATCAGATTCAAATCGATTATCAAAATAATCGTTAGTTGCAGCCCTGATAAACACTAAAGCATCCGGCTTTCAACAAATTCGCAAGACTCTTCTCTTAAATTTGAATCTAGAAATAATCAATGAGAACGGACGGATTGCTCCAGAGAGCGTGGCTTGCACAGCATTGGCCAGAAGGTAGATGGCCGACTCACCCACAGAACGCTTGCACCATGTTGTTGTTGACCTTCCTATCAAACAAGTACCGTCTGTAGTCTTCCAGGGCATCTTTGATGGCAATAACAGTGAGGACCACCACCAGAGGAATCATGGTAATTTCCTTTTGAAAGGCTTCAACGACTGGGACCCAGTTCAGTAACACCAAGAACAGGAAGTAGAGGTTGGCAGCCCTACAAAGTAAGGTCAGAGCATCAAGTTAGTATGTAGAAACCAAAAAGAATCGAGAAGTGTGTGTATACAGCCCACGTATTTAAATATACACATATATATATATATATTACGATATATAGCCAATGAGAGCAGCAGCGCTCACATGAACCAAAACAGAGAAATTGAGAAAGGTAGCAAACTTTTACAAGGACATTTTCCTTTTAAATCTCTTCTGGACAGTGAGTTGACACAAGACGTGACAAAACACTGGGCTTTGTTGCTGCAATGCTGTTTCCTAACCGGCATGAGGGCATTCCGGTTATGACTCTTCACGTTTCTAATGCTCATGCTTTTTCAAATATTAAGACATATTCATATTTTTCATCAAACTGATTCCCTCTAGAGAATTTCTCAAATCCCCCTGAATTCAACTTTCAGAGCTTTGATAATGACATCGCCGCCCCCCAACCTCAAGCTCTTGCCTATCCCCCCCACCCCACTCACATCATTTCAAAATAAAAGCACCATGCCTTTAATGAGAGCTGTTATTTAATAAACTTGTTATTGTGACACATTGATTCCTTCTCATCTCCCCCACCCAATTGCAGAATTTCAAAATAAAATTCCAGTGGATGGAATTCAAATGTTAATGCTTGTGATGAGGCCTATCATTTGATAAACTCCTTGTGCGCATCCCAGATATTTTGGATGTCATCTCCTCACCCCCTCTCCAACCACATCCCTCAATTTCAAGATAAAACACCATATGTACATTATAACAAATAACACACAGTAATCAGTGTTGCATGTGTCTAACCAAAAAGTAACATTTTTTGTGTTTTGATTTTCTTGGCCCCACATTATATATGAAGGAACCGGAATTGTTATTGAGCAAACTGCAACGTAGTTAAAACCAAACATAAGAATAATCAACTCTTTGTATTTGAACACATACTTTGGTGGTGAAGTGGAGTAAATTGCTAGTGTCGCCACCAGAGGTATTAGCAGCGGCTCGAAAAACTATAAATAATTTCTGATCTATGATGGATTTTTTAAAACCCTTAAAACCGCCCACAGCTCCTCTCTTGGGCACAAGTTGTGTTGGTGCATCTCTGGTCTCTCGTTGTTCTTCCTGCATCTCTCTTTTGTGTGTTTTCATAGTGAGGTTCTACTTGTGATAGCGGGCGGGCTGTACCCTGCATGCAGTTTGGCAGGGTACTTTTATAAATGTACATATGTTAGTGTCACAAACTGTTGTGTCGTGGAGTTTTACCCTGTTAAAGAGTGTGTGTTGTGAGTCATTCACCATGTGATTAATTGTAATTCAAATTTTGAATCGTTGCCCAGCACTGATTTCTATACATTTCTAGGTCTCGTTGTTAAGTAATAAGAGCAGGTTCTCTTCTTTAATCCCACAGCTAGTTGATGACAGACTCAACAAAGCCAGGCAGTGCTTTCAACCCACATCACCAAACCTCACCTGTGGAACTGTTCAAACAGGTTCATGGGGATGAAAGTTAACCAGGTGTACTTGGTGGTGCAGATGGCATTGCCCTTGTAGCTGTTGAAGACGGATTCCAATTCCTGCTGGCGGGGGCCATGGCGAGCAAACACAGTCCTCTGCTTTCCACTGTCCCTCCGTGGAGAGCTGTGGGGGTCCATGGAGGTTTTGCTGGACATGCCATCAGGGGCAGAGTACCAGCCTCTCCCAGAGCTTTCTACCAGCATCTGTCGACAACGATGTCGTACCCAGTGTAGCCGCTCCATCGGCAGACTGAAGGTGAGCTAGGACAGTGCCTGAGCCCCGTCCTCCTCTGTGCTCTAATGTAGACTTCACAATGTCCTCATCCTGCAGAGAGAGGATCACCAAATAATTACCTTCTGTAACTTGTTCCTATTGGCAAGTTGAAATATTCAGTTAGGTGTTATTCTACATATTTCAAGTTCAAATCTGTCTGTTAGGGATTCAATATTTATGAGAGGATTTTGTAAATAGCGGTATGAAACAGCATGTGTAGTTGAGGAAGTGGTTTGAGTCAAAAAGAACTACGGCGATGGTAATTATTCAACTTTAGTTCCTTGAGTCCCTTGACATTTGAGTCCATATATAAAAAATAAAAATACAACTACACCACTCTGTGTTGGATCAATTAAAACCTTTACAATGACATTTTCTGAATCATTTAGATTTATAAATAAAATTCCACAATACAGCATGAAAAGTGAGAACATTATGAGTCGAAAACATTAATTGCACTTAATTGCAGCTTGAGGGAGAATCTAAAAGCATTGTTAAAAGCCATCTGAATCGTTTGTTTTTTCCTTCCTATAACTGGACCACTAGTGTGCCGTATACACACAGGCCAATCCTACACTGGCATCCTCATGCAAACTCCACATAGATCCTCTTCGGTTTTAGCAATCATGACAAACCTCTTTTCAGACTAGATTTTATTGTCATACTGCATGACATACTGTGAACAATACGGCATTAAGACTTTCCCCCAACAGAGAGATTTTACACTTAGAGAAGAGCAGTCGACGGTATTCCACATTGTCAGGCTCCATTGGTCACCAAGCATGTTGCAAATACACTCTTACCCCATCAAGTTGGCATGGTTTGATGCAAATACCAAAAATAGAAAAACGTATCAGATATAAAACAGAGACAGAGACTAATTAGCTGACTTCAGTTTAAAATAAACAGCTTTAAGGGGTAGTGGTCGTTGCGTGTCCAATAAATAAAACAAATAAATCCAGATTTGGGGGGGCGAGGGCCCCCTTGTTCAATGGTAGGGGAAACACTGGATATAACAAGAGGTTCACTAGAGGGGAACAATGAGACGACCCAACAAAACAGGTGGAGGCCTATTCAAGTTTCTCCCTGTTGACCTCTTTCACTTTTTTCCACTAGTGTTGGCTTTAGCGTCGTGAATAGAAAAGGGCTTGGGAACTGGGTGCGGCTAGTTCAATGTTATCAATGTTAGTTTAATCTTACCTGTGATAATAAAGGGGTGGGTCGAGGCTATTCAGCACGATTTACTGGGCAATTCTTTGCACATCAACATGCACTGGAGAAGCTTAGCGAATCAAAGCTATTTAAATCAAATATTCTGGACAATGACTGAAGTATGTGTGTTCAGGACCATTCTGACTACTGTTGTACCAAAAAAAAAGGGAATAATTTTACTGTACAAAGTTAGATAATTATCCTATATTTAAAGTTCAAAAGGAACATTTCTCAAGTGAACTGGAATAAAAATAATTTTCTCAATAATTCCAGTCAAAGACTAACATACATGTGTTAAGGACATATCTGACTACTATTGTAAGAAAAGTGAAATATTTTTACTGTACAGATTTGGAGATTTCTGCAAAGTAAAAGCCCTATTTTTGCAAGTTCAAAAATGTCCCGAGTCTTCCCCCATCCTCTGACCCAGCTCACAACCAGATGGTGATCAGTTGACAGCTCTGCCCCTCTCTTTACCCGAGTGTACAGAACATGCGGCCTCAGATCAGACGATACAATTACAAAATCGATCATTGATCTTTGGCCTAGGGTGCTCTGGTACCACGTACACTTATGAACATCCTTATGTTCGAACATGGTTTTTGTTATGGACAATCCGTGACTGGCACAGAAGTCCAATAACAAACAACCGCTCGGGTTCAGATCAGGGAGGCCATTCCTCCCAATCACGCCTCTCCAGTTATCTGCATCGTCGCCCATGTGCGCATTGAAGTCTCCCAGTAGGACTATGGAGTCCCCTACTGGAGCCCCATGCAGGACTCCATTCAGGGTCTCCAAAAAGGCTGAATACTCTGAGCTGCTGTTTGGTGCATATGCACAGACAACAGTGAGAGTTTTCCTCCCCACCACCCGAAGGCGTAGGGAGGCGACCCTTTTGTCCACTGGGGTAAACTCCAATGTAGCAGCACTCAGCCGGGGACTTATGAGTATCCCCACACCCGCCTGGCGCCTCACACCATGGGCCACTCCGGAGTAGAATAGAGTCCACCCCCTATCCAGGAGTGTGGTTCCAGAGCCGAGGCTGTGCGTAGAGGTAAGCCCCACCAGATCCAACTGATAACGCTCCACCTCCCGCATAAGCTCCGGCTTCTTCCCCCCCAGAGAGGTTACGCTCCCCGTCCCCAGAGCCAGCATCTGCCGCCCAGGTCTGTTCCGTCTAGACCCCCCCTGTTGGGATTCACGTTTGTTAATTGTGTCAAAGAACCTACTAAAAGGTCATTTTAGTTTTTTTACTAAAATCAAAGATGTACATAAATGTATAAATGTTAGACAAATGTTTACTTTCGAGAATCTTTAACTTGTATTTATAAAATATTCAGTATTGTCATAAAAGTGTCGTACGGATAAATGTACGTCTTTGTCTGGAATTATTGATAAATCTGTTTCTGTTTTTGAATTTGCAAAAAAAGGGCTTTTACTTTGGAGAAATCTCCAAATCAGTACAGTAAAAGGTTTGATATTCAGCATGGTAGTAGTCCGAGAGGTCCTTAACACAGGTGCATTGGTCTTTGCCTGGAACTATTGATAAATCTGTTTTTATTGCAGCTCAAATATGGAGAAATTATGTTTCTCAAATCGCATTTTTTCCGGTTACATGTTCAATACCGTAAACGTCAGCATATACGTGCACTAAGATTTAAGCGTCGGCTGAGTTGAGCGCAGAAAGGGTGGACTTCTATCCCGACCGCGCTCTCTGCTCACAACTGACCGAACCGCTGTAACGTTACGCCGGAGCAGCAGCCTCAGCGCAGCACTTACCGAGCTGGTGGTCCCCACCGGCTGCCAGACCTCCAGTGGAGGTGCTACTGGGTCTCCTCGGTCACCTCCCCGACCCAGAGCCCCGCGCGCACTGCGACCGGAAATATAAGCACCGAAACGACCGGATGTTACGGAAAGAGCACCGTTACTGCCGCGCTATTGCGAGGTGTCGTGTGTGCAAGGGCGTCTTCTTCAGGCGTTTGAAAGCGGCTCGTTTTAACACGTGACCGCCGTCAGCTGATCGGGTGGCGGAACCAAACTGAAAGATGGTGTCGTTGCTGAGCGGGCTGTCCGTCGCGGAAGGTCTCACCGTGAGTACCGGTACCGGAGACTCTCGGGCTCTGTGTTGCACAGCTCGCGGGTCCGTTTACCTTGTAAATAGTTTATTTTACCGTTTAAACGAGGAACTGGAAGGTTTGAATAAGCGGGAACGGGCGGACAAAAACAAGAAAGCGATCCAACATCGAGCTTCTCATCCTTTGACCTCTTCGGTTTAACCGTTCAATTCCGGGTTTAAGTGTGCCAAACGATCATGCGGGTTAATTGGTCTTAACGTTATAGAAATAAACCCAAAGTGTCCCTTTAATTGTCATTATGTACGATATGTTTGGTTCTTAAATGAAATAAACAGACCAAGATGTTTACAACGATTTACACGATGGAATAAGCAGCATTAAATACATCTACATGTCAGATTGGTGAACTTTTCTTCTAATGTTACCCCGGTATATGCATCACAGACGGATTTCTAGCATACAAATGTTCTATTGCGTTGACTTTTACTATCAAAGGGTACTTCCGGTCTAGCTAAGCACTAAAGGCCCTTTCTCTTACCTGAGACAGCAGAACGGATGTGGTCTCGCGGGTCATTTAACAGCAGCTGACTTGATGACGTCACCACGTCAGCTGGTCTCGCTAATCCATTTTTATACAGACATAATATTATTATTATTATATAGACAATAACAGTCCTGCACACTGTGTAAGTTATGACCCTAAACTCTGCCCTCAAACAAACATAACGTTACCGGGGAACAAACATCAGTCTCTGACAACATATTAAAAGTTATGAACACGCAGCCTAGTTTTACTATAGTATCTCATGTATAGCCACTACGGAGACGTGAATACCAGCGGAGCATTTCACAGAAGAACAGACTGCTCTCTGCGGGTGCCGGAGGGGTCTGACGGCCCCCTCGGCGACACCTCATCACCACATCCTGGAGTTGTTAAGGCTCAACGTTGACAAAGCGATCACACAACCGTTGATTAAACTACTAACTTCTCGCCTAAAAAAAAATCCTAAAATTACTTTTTGTGACTTAAATATATTAGCATCTGTATACTTCGACTTACAGTTGTGTTTATTTTCTTCTGTCTGAGGTGAAATGCATTCTGTGATATTTGGACAAGTTGGCCCGGTAAAATTGGCGGGGTGGGTCACACATTATGACGTGAGATGCGGACTTCAAAATTGGAACAGTACTCGGGATCAACAATCTAAAACAATATATCAAGATAAATATTGTTAGCTTTGTCGTCCAGGGGCGAGAGCTGAGATGTAGCACCACGTCATAGCTAAAGCCTTGTAGCCACATGGGGGCCTTACTCACCTCACGGAAAATCAGAAATTCTTTGGACAAAGTTCATATTGGAAATGCAACAGCAACTAATTGATGAAATGAGCCCCAAAGACTGCCTCTGCCCTCTGGGAGAGACCCGCCTCTGACCCGTGGCGTTGTCTGCTGTGCAGCTGTGTCACAGGGTGGTGGACGGGCTGTGTGGGCGCGAGCCGCCTCACCGGGGCGATTACAGCGCGTCCTGGAGCTCAGACGAGTGGCGCGAGCTGCTCGACTCCCTGGCGGCTCTCTTCCGCCGGGCGGTGGGCGCCGACAGCTCCGATGAAGAGGTGAGAGGGAGCAGCGGGACGAGATGCTCGCTTGAAGTTGCCAGTGGAATGAAGAAAACCTATTCCCTTATTTGTTTCTATATAATAATAATAATGTATAATAATAGCTCATTTATGCAGCAACGTTTCCTGTTGTGTGGACAAAGAACAAAACGTAACATTCGTACCCAGTGAGCCTGCTGACCCGTAGCCATGGTCGATGGTCTCTGCTGGTCGTGGACAGGTGGTGGCGGGGCTGTCGCATGCAGGCAGCAGCCACGCGCAGTCCGTGCTGACCGTGCTGACAGCGAGACGGCAGGAGATCCGGGACGCCCTGCTGGGCAGAAGCAACTCCATCTCCTCTGCGCTTCTGCAGGACTTCGACTGGCAACTTAAGGTGACTTCATGCTCACTCGCGTGTTTCAAATGTAAATTCCACAATTAGGTTGGCGTTACGTTTTCAAGTGCGAGACAATAAGTGAAAGTAACCGTAAAATCCTCAGTTTAAACTGTGATACAGCGCATCATGCAAACCGGTCTCCTGCATGAGCGAAACACAGCCAACACCATTCTGCACACAGACGCACGTGGGGGGTACTTGCCAGATGTCTGGTTGACTCTGCCAAACATTTCTGTGACCATCAGAAGCTGCTTGGACAGGTTTTGACTGTATATCCTGGGAGTAGCAGCGCAGTGGCCCGGCCCTTTGGTCAGGTCGTAACTTGCCCTCGATGATCCGCAGGGTTCGGCCCCGTTTTGTGCAAAACAACAGGGCTCGTATCTCAGCCCCAGCAGACCGGTCCCGCAATGACACAAATAGCCACGATTTCAAATATCTCCTTTGCACGTGGGTTGGTTTTTAATTAGGATTTAGCCCTTACATTTCCGTTGTTTGGGTTAAAGGAGACATGCTCAAGTTTAAAAAGCTTTTCATTTTTCTCGTAGTCTGTGTGGTATCCAACTCCTGTCTGAAACGTTCTGTTCACTCTCTTAAAGCACCATTTTAATTTGTTATCCCATTTTACCTCTCAACATCTTTCCCATGTTTATATCCGAGAAGTCCTTTTATTTTGATAAGTTTAGTTTTTGGATTACAGAATATTCATTTTGTATAGCCCAAAATCGCAAATTACAAATTTGCCTCAGAGGGCTTTACAGTCTGTACACATGCGACATCCTTTGTACCGAAACCCACCATCGGCACAGTAAAAACATAAGAGGGAAGAAACCTCAGGGAGAACGTCAGAGGAGGGATCCCACTCCCGGGATGGACAGACTACAATGGATGCCATGTGTACAGAATGAACAATGTATAATACATGCAATTCCTATGACAGAAATGATTTAAATGATTGTGAGTAGTAAGCAGAGCAGGGGCAACCACCGTCACATAGAACCACCGTCACATAGAACCACCGTCACATAGAACCACCGTCACATAGAACCACCGTCCACAGAAGCCCGTGGGGAGGGAGAGCACAGAGACTTTGGGAGAGGGTAATGTCCGTTTATGATGACAGTTTATGATGACAGTGATAGTAATATGATAGTAATATGATATTTAAAATAGTAATAATGATGATGATGATGATGATAGCACAGGCAGTAAAAGGGCCCACATATAACCATGATCCGTGGAAACCTGTGTGGTGAGAAAGCACAAATACTCCGTGGAAGAAACAAACTTGGTGATGCGCATCAATGTTTACAGCAATAGAAATGGTCAACGGTGGTAGAAGTGGTGGGTGTCCGCGGGCCAGGCAGGTGTCAGGACCGGGGTCTAGACGGAACTACGATCTACGGAGACCTGCGAGGCGAGAAAGCACAAAAAACTCCCGGAAAGAAGCTGAATTAGTGATGTTATTTAATAAAACGTGGAATATTGTAGGAGAGCGTGAGAGGAGCTCGGTGTGTCCTAAGAAGTCCCCCGGCAGTCTAAGCCTATAGCAGCTTAACTAAGGGCTGGTCCGGGCTAACCTGAGCCAGCCCTAACTATAGGCACAATCAAAGAGGAGTTTTACCTTTTATAGGAGACATATTATCCTGCTTTGAGTTAAATTAGCCAGTAGGTGGCACTGTGACATAAGCATGTGGAATGATTGGGAAACGTTTGGTCAGTTTACAGTTTGATGTATTACAGCGAGTCATGTAAAATGGCCGTTTAATGCCACAACTTTTAATCACAGAAGTCTCCAGATTGTATTGAACACATTCAAGTTGATCTGATCAGTTCCCTATAAAGAGTTTAATGAAAGCACCTGAACGTAGCCCAAAAAACATTGTCTTTTTTAATAAGAAACATTAGAAGAACAATTGGTTCTCTGCTGTGAATACGTTGATGCTCGGGCCCTAAGAAGGAAACCAGTTAATATATGCACATCAATAAGGAACAGTTGAGTCAAGAACATTAGCTTTTCTCCATGTTTTGAATACCAATAATGCTCAAAAGCTGTGTATTGACTGAAGATGGCAATAGATGGAGCATCAGTGGGTCGCCAAAACTTTAAATGAACAATAACGTAAATGATTAACAATAATGTCAAATTTACAGTTTTGACACACTGAACTTTTCCAAAAGTTCCTAAGTTCGGTATTCCATTTAAAATAATCCATTTAACAGTCATTGTGTGGAGTTGAATCCTCGGTGGGAGACGAGCCGGAGCTGGTCCTCTGTATTAATGTCCCATCTCCTGTGTCCTCCAGTTAGCGGTGTCCAGCGATAAGAGCTCGTCTCTCCACACTCCTCTGCTCAGCCTCAGTCTGGATGTGAGAGACAACACGGCCCTCCAGTCGGTCACCATGGAGATGAACAGAGAGGAGTTAAACACACTCGTCAGTTCACTCGAGGCTGCTAATAAGGTACACACACACACACACACTAAATACCTTTGGTTAGTTAAAAGGTCCTGGATATGAAATTTATGGTTCAAGAACATGTCATGTGTTACAATATGGGGGAGGGGGTGTGTGGGGTGGGGGGACATTAATCATGTTTCACTTACACTTGGTTGCTGTATCGCTGGCAGGCTCGTGGGGGAGGGAGGGGGCAGCTTCGCTCATGTGATTGCATGTTGAAAAAAAAAAAAAAAAAAATCAGTGGATCTACTCGCGTCTCAAAGCCCACACTCCAATGTGAAGCGACCCGCAAACAAATGCAATCAATAAGTATAACTTGTCATTTATTTATGTGTGCATTTGTAAATCAAATATATTTGTGAGTTTGCATTTATTGAGACGGGTCTGACCTCGTACGCTTGGCTTTGAGCTGAGAGACACGCACCGTGGGGAAGTCCGAACGGATTGAGAAAGCTCACTTGGGGGCATAACTGAAGCAGCCCAATGCCCCCCATTCTGCCGTAGCCGGTTTAGAGCTGCTCTTTGTGTTGGCAAACAGTGACCAGCAGCTTCATGCCGAGTCGTGTTTACCAGTCCAACAATCTCCCTCCTTTTGGTGTTCACCGTACAGTACTGGGGCTAAAGAGGCTTTCATATCCATTTAGTCAACTAGTAATTACCTGCACTCGATCAACCAACCGCAATGCTAATAGGTGATTTGTCTGTGTCTTGCAGGTGGTAATGCAGTTGAAATGAGAAAAAGACCCAATCCCATTACAGGAAGTTAATGGAGGTCTTCAGAAAGTGTCAAATCAATCCACTGTCATGATTCTGTGTTGGAGACAATGTTTTTCAGAGCAAATAACGAAGTCTGTTGTACTTCAGCCGCGTTTATACGAGCACTCAAACATTCTATTAAAGTTCTCAATAAAGTTTGTTTTTTTAATCTGTGCCACTCATAGTATTCTACATGCAACTAGAATATAAAATGTTGTCAATAACTAGCAAGCCATCAAACTGTTCCATATGCATAAAGCTTTTAGGAAGCACTCAGCAGCAGTCAGTCTTACAGTACCAGAAGGCACAAGCGTGTCTTTCTTTCTGTGGTGCTGCAGCTGGCAGGGAAAACGTAGCAGCTCCCAAATTGACAGCAACGCACATCTGGAAGGCGCGATGCTGCCCCGCCCTGAGGAGGAGATGGCTGTGTGCACTAACTCAAACATTATATACTTCTGCCAGAAGGCGAGAAAGTATCTTCTGTTTCTACACTTGTCAACAGGCTACTCAGAAAACAGACTTAATATTTGGTACAGAAACCTTTCCTGTAGTTCTCGACCAGGTTTGCACACACTGCAGCAGGGATTTTGGCCCACTCCTCCATACAGACAGTCTCTAGATCCTTCAGCCTTTGGGGCTGTCACTGGGCAACACAGACTTTCAGCTCATCCTCCTGTACTCATCCTCCTTCTTCCTCCAAACATGGTTAGTGGAGTTTAGACCAACAAGCTCCATCCATCAGACCACATGACCTTCTCCCATACCTCCTCTGCATCATCCAGATGGTCATTGGTAAACTTTAGACCTGGACATGCGCTGGCTTGAGCAGGGGGACCTTGTGTGCGCTGCAGGATTTTAATCCATGACGGCGTTGGTGTGTTACTAATGGTTTCCTTTGAGACTGTTATCCCAGCTCTCTTCAGGTCATTGACCAGGTCCTGCCGTGTAGTTCTGGGCTGATCCCTCACCTTCCTCATGATCATTGATGCCCCACGAGGTGAGATCCTGCATGGAGCCCCAGACTGAGGGAGATAGACCGCCATCTTGAACTTGTTCCATTTTCTAATATTTGTGCCAACAGTTGTTTCCTTCTCAGCAAGCTGCTTGCCTGTTGTCCTGTAGCCCATCCCAGCCTTGTGCAGGTCTACAATGGTATCCCTGGTGTCCTCACACAGCTCTCTGGTCTTGTGAAGAGGTTGGAGTCTGTTTGATTGAGTGTGTGAACAGGTGTCTTTCATCCAGGTCACATGTTCAAACAGGTGCAGTTAATACAGGTAGTGAGTGGAGAACAGGAGGGCTTCCTAAAGACTAACTGGTCTGTGAGAGCTGGAATTCTTACCGGTTGGTAGGTGATCAACTACTTGTGTTATGAACTAAACTGCAAAATCATTTTGCAGTGTTTTTCTGGATTTTTGTTTTTGATTCTGTCACTCACAGTTAAAGAGTACCTACGAGTACCTAAGCGGGAAACCTTGCAAAATCGGCAGTGTATCAATTACTTGTTCTCCCCGTTATCGTGGACTGTTTGTCATCAGTCGCGGCCTGATGTGTACAGTCTTGCTTTACTGTAAAACAGGCAGCAATTGATCAATACCTCCCCATCACATGTGAACTTGTGAAGCAGTGGATTGCGTACACGGGAAAATATGGCCTCATCTGTTTGGATGCTTCCATATTGCTGGGCAGGGGGAAAGGGCTGTCTGTGTGTTACCCTTTCAGCACATATGAAATTACAGGCTAACATCAGGAAAAACGATGAAAACCATTTACAGAGATTGATAAGGAAAGCAAAACTACAATTGAAATGCAGTTGATGTAAGACGATGTCAGCAATTTTATTTATACTCTATGAAGTATCAAAGTTTACACACAGTATTGTGTTTTCTCACACTCATCCCTATGCTTATTGTCACGACGGTAAGGATGGCAGGGCCGGAAGCAGGACTGGGTTTTTTCATTTTGAGGGGAGTTTTGCCTGTGCCGATGGAGGGTTTCGGGACAGAGGATGTCGCATGTGTGTGTACTATAAAGCCCTCTGAGCCAAATTTGTAATTTGCGATTTTCAGCTATACAAAATAAAATATAATAAAATAAGATGAATTGAATTGAATTGAATTGAACATTTAACGACGCGACAAGGGACACACGTGGTTTAAATAAGCTGGGACGGTGCGGGTGATTGGACACCGGTGGAAACAATCACAGCAGACAATCACTGGGGTGACCGCACAAGGCAGGAAGTGAAGTTACCACAGGAACACCAGAGGCATGAAACTACAAAATAAAACGGGACGTGAACCCAAACCGTGACGCTTATACATACACACAATGACAAAACCCTCCCTGTAGACTCTCCTGTTTGCCTGTAAACAAGCCAAAAGACACGTGCATGGAAAAACCCACCTCTTAATCCAGCTGTGAGCACATACAGAGCTGCAGAGAAAATGTGTACAGTAAAATTACACAACAACATGTGCTCCATCTGCACGGCCTGTGGGCAAACCGTTTCTTCAGGTCTTCCATTAGCTCGTCTGTTCACAAGGAAACGTGTCCATCTGCTCGGATTCCTCTGTTGTAAAGCCACGGTTTCTTTCTCTTCTTCACTTTTGTACGTCCACTCTGCTCGGTCTAAAAACAGCAACGCTGGCAGCATGAAACCAGCCTTGAACCAGATCATCTTTCAGCATTGAATTCAAAGATTGTTATCGTAGTGCTGGAATGTCTCACTGCTACAATCTACCCTACATCTTAACTCAGGGAAGATCTTAAACAGTCCACTCCTCTTCTTGGTTCTCTTAATCTAATAAAAAGTAGAAGATTATTTATTTTGAATTATACTCACAAGAAGGAATATAATACTAAGATTCTTGGTGAAGGCACAATATTTGACCACCAGAAACACTGTTTGTTTATAGCCCTGATAAGACGAGCAATCCAAACTAAACTATCAAGTTGCTGTTCCAGCTCCAACAGTTTGGTCTTAACTGGGGAATTCTTGAGGAACATTAAACATAGTCCTTTAAATGTTATTTCTTCTTTTCTTTTTATATTTTACATCTATAAAACTCAGCTGTTGATCAATTCCACAGTGGATTAACTCTGTGGCCAGAAAGATAGAAACCCGGCTTCAGCCCAAAAAGTGAAGGCTCCATCACCACGTCCATATGTCTCGAGTAAGCAACCAATTGTAATTCCCTGTTTGATTGCAAGTGGGCAGAACAAAGGCAACAAAATGTATCTTTACCACGACCGTTTAGTTTACAGGCAGAAGGAAGGAAGGAAGAAAAAATGAATATTTGGTCGACCAAATTTGTATCAAGTGGCTTGGGCCTGAATAAGGAATAACACAAACGCACAATATGTGTCTCATTCTACCGTGTGTGTGTGTGTGTGTGTGTGCGTGTGTGTGTGCGCCAACGTGCGGCCGGGTAAATGGTTGGTTAATTGTGGCACTTTCCTACTGTTGTAAAGTTTTGAGTTTGTGCCTGATACGGACGTTTTGATTTATTGTTGAATAAATTTCTTTTGTTTACAAATTCCTTCACTTATAATTTATTTATTTGTTACTCCCTGCCTCCCCCACACATTAGTCGAGGAACGTAACAGGTAAGAACAGCTCATTCCACGAGATCATATCAACATTGGATACATTACACATTGATCCAAACCAGCAGGCTCATGGATAGGACGGATCGGGGGAATATCGTCAGTGCCAACGTCCTGCTCCTGATGGTTTTGATATGCCTAGATCCCATCAAGAAAGTCTGTATGTCTGCTAGAGCCCTGCTTCACCCATAGACCCATAAAGACCCATAAAGACCCATATATTGAAACTAACAAAAACATGAATAATCATTTTTCCATTCAGATCTTGCTTCTATTTAATGTATGTATGCAAATCATGGCCTTCACAGTCACACAACCTCCAAGCCAAGTTAACACCTTCGGGAGATTGATCACAAAATCAACAACTGGGGGAATAGACTATAAACAATAGAGCAGAGGTCTTCAACAGGGGGTTTGCAAAATCTTTGGTCGATAAGACAATTTATTCAATTTTTTTCCCACAAATTTAAATGTCTTCAGAATCAGAATTAGAATTGTATTTATTGTCTTTAAATACACATTTACATGAATCCAACTTATTGTAGCGAACAGATAAATTGATGGAGAAGACCTTATCTTTCAGTTCGCAACACACATTGAGCTTCCCTCAGCAGCTCTCAAGCTGGACACCGGTTCACTCACAGCTCCTTTCATGCAAATACAACATCACAGTCACCAGCCAATCAGATCGCCTTTATGCTCACGTCTAAAGAGCGCCAAGCTCAAAAATAAAAGATGGCGGACCAAACTCCGTAGAATAGGGGGTCCCTGCTGCACCTCGCCATCAGTTCAGGGGTCCTTGGCCTGAAAAATATTGAAGACCCCTGCAATAGAGGAATGCTGTTTGTCCAATAGACAATATAACAAGCCCTTAGAATATACAATATGACAATGGGAGCTGAAGCTGCTTTGGGGAATCCTGGAGAAAGACCACACTAATATACACAGCGTGTAGATTTTTCTTTCCATCGGTCACGCATGAGTAGATGTCAGTTCCTTAGATCAAAGCAATATCCCCATCATGAAAAATTGGACATGACCCTTGAACTGCCACAAATTATGTCGAACTTTCTGTCCGGCATGGGAATATGTTTCTGTAAAGAATGCTTGTACCATTGTGAAGTCAACAACCATCGTATAACCTTTATTTAAGCGGGTAATCTCCTTATCTCTGTTGCAAGAGACACCTGAGTACAGTAGAGAAAAAGAAAGGACCACTCCTTTCTCTTCTTTTACAGTTTTCAGCACATAAGATCTGCCTCAGCCCGGGACAGCAGAGAGTTTTCCTTCACTTTGGTTTCCTGTGATTGTAAAGCTAAATCCTATCTTTCAAGTGACACAATAATGGACATGTTAGACAATTCTGCATAACCTTTGCCTACGTCCAGTGATAATGTGTTTTCTGTGACTGATAAACCATGTGACGGTTAGGGAGAGATGACAACTAAAACAAAGGTGTGGTTGCCAACACTCACATGCTGATGTTTGGCCCGTAGGGTTTCTATTTTAAAGCAAAAAGATGAATGTTAAGTGTCCCCTGCTACATGCCCATCTACGTACCTGACCTATACAACCCAACTTTCGTCCTCACTTTGTGCTGTGAAGCAGACGCCACTTTCTGCATTGGCACTGACCATGGGGTGAGAAACTATCTATATCCTTATCTATACATGTTCTAAACTTGTAACTACACATACTAAACATACTTCATTGTGATGCTAATTGGTCACACCTACTCTTGCTGTCCTCGCAACTAGCTTGCCTTGAAAAGTTTTTGAACCTGACAGAAGGACTGGTGCAAACTCGAACTTTTGTCTTACAACTGACCATACGATCCTTGATAATAACATAAGAGGTAATCCGCTGAAAAGAATGTTACTTTGACCTCTTACTTGCCGTTTAATTATTTAACAGATTGAAGTGGATCAACCTCTATGTAATTAAACAATTATGTACAGTACAATTTGAGGTTTTGGAAAATAATGTTGTGTAATGCCAGGTATTTCAAAACCAGCAGCGAGTTTTATCAGGGCTTGAATTTTTTAACATGATTTTAAGCGCATGGCGACATCATTGCTTCTTCTTGACCTGATTTCCTTGAAAGAAAATTACATTGTACATGCCCCTAGACGGTGTGAGAATATAGTAGGTACAAATATGACAACTTTTTTTGAGTTCAAATTAACATCTGTCTGGTACTTACCTTAAATGCAATAATTGTTTAAAAACATACAATATAATTACTATAATAGCCACAGTGGCTCAGTACAGCCATGTACATTTTTTTTTAAAGAAACAAAAATAAATTCACAGAAAGCAATCTGACATGTTTGTTAGCGCAAGCATGTATGTTTGAGAAGGATTTCAACACAATGATACATATCCAACTCTTTAAAAATGACCTCAGTAAGAGCTCCGGGTTCAAACAAAATAAGGACTACTTCATTGCAATGTAAGTCCCATCGGTCAAAGAAATCATGTAACAACAGTTAATACTACTTGTTTTTCTGGTTTTCCTATTTTCTTTTCTTTTTTACCTAAGCAAATACAAAGTTGTGTTCCATTCACATGCAAAAAGTGATATAACAGAAGGTAAGAAAAAGAGATAGAGCAAATTGAAAGATCATTGCCCATAATCTTGGACTCACCGGTCTTTTCGATCTGTGTGACCTTAGAAATGCTAGAACTTTGCAGTCTTAAATTTGAATATTCTTATCTATTTCGTATAGATGAGTACAGGAAAAGTGATAGGATTTTTAATAAATTATAACTCTGTTTTATATATATGTATATGTTCATTTGTATTTACATTGTAAAGACATCCAGTACTACTCATTCCAAAATAGGATTTATACAAATGGACTGAGTACTCCTTCATTTTCTTTGCTGTACAAGATCTAGGTAGCTTTTCTATCAAATCTTTAGCAGTGGTGCTGCCACATAGGTTCACCTCTGGCACCCTATTGGACATAGTAAAGCCAGTAGACCAGGTTGAAGAAGGTGAATGCAATTGGGAAGATAACACGAGACCACTTGTCTATGGCGTTGACATCGGTGAGGTCGGGGATCTTGACTTTGAGCTGTGAGGCCCTCCTCCGCAAGCGACCCTTCTTGTTGCCCACTGGCCGGTCAATGGGCGGTCGACCATACAGGTCTCGACTGGTCATGGGCTTGCGGTACTGTATGCTGGCACTGTCATAAGAGAACATGGTAGCTCGAGGGTCGTTGAGAACGCCCATCATCTCTGCTCCACTCATCTCACTGGTAAGGTTGGTTAGGAGGATGTTCCCATGAGCGTCAACCTGAGGAAGGAGGTTATTAGATTTCATAATATGTATTTTTTCAATTACTGTAAGTTACGGATATTGAGGCTTTTATTTTGAAATGATGGGATCAGGTGATAGAGAGTGTGTTAGGAGACAGAATGCTTGTCTTTCCAACTAAGAAGTTACTCATTGATAGGGCTCATCACAAGCATTTCAGTAGGATCAATCACTGCCATTGGGGCTTTTATTTTTAATTGGGTTGGGTGGGGGGCAGACAGATAGAGAGAGGGGGAAAGATTGATTTTGATTTTCAAAAACTTTTATTTTCTTAAAAAAAATAAAAAAATAAAAACACGGGGACTTTTGGTCGAATCAAAACACTGAATGACTCAGTCCCTCTCCAGCCAATCAGCACATGGTTCCTCTGCAGCACGTCTGCGGTGCCAATGAGCCAGTAGTTGGTCCTTGCTCCTCCTTTCAGCCGCATTCCACTCAGTCACAAATTGCTCTCCCACTGCCTTTGTTGATCCTCTGGGTGAGTGTAGCTTCCACTACCTTGTTTACTCCCACCCTCCAGATTAGTACACCACAACTCAATATTGGGTGAAGTAGTCCTCCAGCTGTACCCACTTCATATTTTTGGTCTTCAAGAGGAGTTTCACCCCCCAGACCTCCACCCATCAGTTCATTTACGTGACGTTGGTAACGGATGTTAACTCAGTCATGCTGCCTCCTTTATACCACGTTTTTCAGGTTTTAAGACTTTTATTGTTAAGCACAGCAGGTTGCTAGGCAACGGGAGCAGCAGAGGTAAAGCTGATAACGCAAGCAGGAAGTCCCCCCGTAGGCCACGCCGTCCCATTTCAGAGACCGCTCGGTTCAGCCTATGCGGTTGTTGGAGGACGCACCCCAGGTCTGCCGTGAAGGCTGCAGGCTACAGGCGAAACTGCATTTTGTTGCCTCTGTACTTGTACCCTGTGCAATGACAATAAAGTTGAATCTAATCTAATCTAATTATAGACCTCTTCTCCTTCCATGTGCAAATTGCTGTCTGTAGACACCATCCCTTCAACGTGCGTCTCAGACTGCTTCCCGGCTCCTCTTGTCCCCTTTCACCACCCTGACCCACCAGCTGGACCCCACCCATCCTTTCTTCCACACCCTTGACCAAACTGCTGGACTCCAACCGCCTTCTCATTCACTCGCCTGCCCCACCCGCTGGGCTTCACCCATCCCCTCATTCACTCCGTCACTCGCAATTGCACTCAGGTCTTCTCTGGACATGCTTGGCTCAGATGTCCTTCACTACCACACCTGAAACATCTGGCATATCAGAGGCAACAAACGCCACATAATCAAACCAGTCTACTCTTTGTCTGAACACCAGGTTGCGATCCTAGTTTATCTTATTTAGGATCAAAAGCGTTCTCTTGTGAGACAGGCAGGACCAACACGAGCCTCATTCACCATGATTCCGGTCTCCGCCACCATATGGCTTTTTCCACGCTATCTATGAACATCACCACCACGTTGTTCATGCGGCCCCGACTGACCCACTGTCACTCGGGTTTGGTCATTGGTATTGTTTAGTTGTGCGGCTGCAAAACACACAATACAGCACCACTAAACCCCAAAACAAGTCCAAACAAACACCTTTACACTCATAAACCGCAATATTCTATACTCTCCACCTCCAACAGCGGATAAATACACCAAAAAACGCTATATCGCTTTGCACACTAAACACAGACAGACAAACAGAGACAGAGAAAGCAAAAAGGGGAACAAGGGAGAAATATGGAAAAAGAAAGAGTGATTGAGTGAGTTAGAGCGAGAGAGAAGTAGAGGGAGTTGGGGGAGGGAGGCTTGGAGGAGGGAGGGAACAAGGGACAAGCGAGGGCTTTGCAAGATGTTGGTCTGAGTTGACTGTAGACGGAATAGTTGCATCATGTGACTCATCTGCTAATACCAATCACCTGTGTGTGAGTGCATGCACGTGTCCGGTTGTCACGGCGATGGCGCAGCTGTGATTGTTAACAATCTGATCAATGGGACAGACTCACACATTAGGCACAGCACCCAAACAGCAAAGTCCAACTCTCGCCCTAGACCATTGTATATCTGGTAAAAAAAAGTCTCGACGGTTAACATTTTTTAAGCTTTAACCTTAATTATTTTTGGACTTTTTTAGTTAGTAGTTTTGTGTGTGTTTTCATGTAAAATCATAGTTTACTCACCACGGGAACATGGCAGCAAAGCAGTCATTGTGACAACCACACAGACACGCATCACTCGCTCTCTGTGCCCCCCCCCTCACACAGGTGATTGGTGTTAGCTAATTAGGAGTCTGACACATGGACAGAGCTATTTAGGAGACCTGGCAAACCCTTCCCTTGTCCCTCCCTCCTAAACAAACATTCTGATTCTGTCTCCGCTCCCCATCTATAACCCACCCATTGGACTGAATCATTTTTTTACTATGTGGAACCTAGAGTAGAGCTGCTGGTCTTTTACGATAAAATGGGCCAGTTGAGTTGATTTGTGCATCTGATCAGGATGCCACCTGGACGCCTACCTTTAGAAATTTTAAGGGGCTAACGGAAGCCATTAGCTAGACTCAAAACGCTTTGGAGAAATACATATCTTTGTGTGTGTGTGTATATGTATATATATATATGTGTATATATATATATATATAAAATTGTGTGTGTGTGTATATACACACACACACACACACACACGTAAAGCTTGGATTTTCCAGGCTTTATGATGTTAACAAAACAGTTCAGCTCCTTTCCCACCTGCACTTTGTTGCTCTCCAGTCTACTCTTATTCTCGTTGTTAGACTTGGCAGCCTTTTCTGCCACCTTCTTCTGCAGATGGGGACCTCGACCGAAGAAGATGTAGTTGACAAAGGCATACTCCAACAAGGCCAGAAAGACAAATACAAAACAACCCATGAGAAAAATGTCAATGGCCTTGACATAGGGGATCTTGGGAAGAGTCTCCCTAAGATGGGTATTGATGGTGGTCATCGTCAGCACCGTGGTTATACCTGCACACAAGCAGAGGGAGTGGATGGTTACAAGAAGGTCTTTCAGCAAAGCTACAGAAAAAGAAGTCTGCTATAAGCCCTTACTATAAAACAACCGTCATAAACATTTTGTGAGTGTTAAAAGGGATTTACGATAATTTCCCATGAGTCTGCGTTTATAGGTAAAGCCAACAAACATTTCTAGCTGGGCTTGATTGAAAATATAGGCTTTTACAACATTCTCATTCACCACGACATTTAAAAGAATTCCATTTTCTGTTTAAGTAGTGGTGTGGGTCTGTGCTAGTCAACCGGTTTTTCAGTCAACCACTTTAATAGAGACCCATATATCATGACAAATACTGGATTTATTGCCAGTAATGTTTGTCGAGAAATTCAAGGTCAATGTATCTTAATGATTTTGGTGATGACCTGACTTTTTATGTAGTGCCACTACCTGGTTCAGATTGAAATAAAGAATGCATTGTACAAGCATTTGCCACAATGTTGATTACATTGTCTTGGATATATTTCTGAGTTTAGCGGCAAGGTCTTCAGCTGTGTCTTCCTGGCATACTATAGCAGGGTGTCCACCAGTGCAAGCCTGGCATAAAATGTGTATTCGCACCCCCCGTTAAATCTATATATAATATCTGAAATAATGAGTATTGGTGCAATCCTTTAATTTTTTTATTTTAATTTAAACTATTGGATCCATGAAATACAGTAAGGGCACTCATTTCTACCTCAGGATGGATAATGTTCCTTTGATAATCAATCAATTTTTCATGAAGTTTAATGAATAGTTTAAGGTCCAAATTCCAGCAAAACTAATCATTCTTCCATCAGTACCCAACAAAGGCAGGGCTTTTTCCCATGGGACCACCTTTAGAGGCTTGTTTAAAAACTAAAAGTAACCATTGAAATGTTCTGTCCTGAATTGTCACTTGGTAGAAGGGGTCCCTACAGCATTGTAGTTTGAAGTTAAGGCCACTGCTCAGATGTCAGTATGTGACTAGTTGGTAGTGAGAATGAACTCAAAAAGAAGCAGACACTTCTGTTTTTCCTCAAAACAACCGCGATTGACCGTTTGACCAAGTTGGTGTTGGTCTTTTAGTTACCTCATCATTCAGACAGCTATATGCAATCAAAAAACCTGTATAACATTTGAAAAAAGACATGAGAAAATTTCAAAAATAATCATCATTGCTTTATTATTCTTGTATGTTCAATGCATGTTCTCGCCGTGTCTGCGTGGGTTCTCTCGGGGTACTCCGGGCTTCCTTCCACAGTCCAAAGACATGCACTGGGGATCAGGTTAATTTGGGACTTTAAATTGCGTGTGGATGTGGAAAAGGTGTGTGAATGTGAGTGTGGATGGCTGTGTGTCTCTGTGTAGCCCTGCGATTGGCTGGCGACCAATCCAGGGTGAACCCCGTCTCTCGCCCGAAGTTGGCTGGGATAGACTCCAGTCCCCCGCGACCCCTGTGTTTTTATTAAAATTCCCATTTGTTTTCAAAACTCTGCGTCTGAGTCCTGCTTCCAGCCACGCCACCCCGGCCATTGTGACAGCAATTTGCAGAAAACACTGCATAGTTACACTTTTATACAATGTCTTACAGAGAGGGTGACATTTTCGTTAATGATAATTGAGGAATGATAATTTAAAAAAAAATTGATGCTACTTTATAACCTTAATCAATGTAAAAGCATATCTGCAAAGCAAAGCGATTTTAATTGTCTAATAATTTAAGGTAAATTTGTCTCGGCTCTCACTAAGACAGCAAGACAATGGACAACCATGCACCCATACAACACCTCCCTAGGGAGGCACCCAGGGGGCGTCCTTACCAGATGCCAAAAACCTAAAACCCCAAACTCCTTTCAAGGCAAAGGAGCAGTGGCTCAACTCCGAGCTCCTCAAGAAAGGGTGAGAAGCTCAGCCAATCTCTAAGGGAGACACCAGCCTCTCTCCTGAAGAAACCCTTTTCGGCCGCTTGTACCCGTGACTTAGTTATTTCGGTCATGACTTCTCCATCTTCCCCTCACTCGTGAACAAGACCCCGAGGTACTTGAACTCCTTCACTTGGGTTAAGGACACATTCCCTACCCGGAGTAGGCAATCCATCGGTTTCTTGCTGAAGACCATGGCCTCAGATTTAGAGGTGCTAATCCTCATCCCGACCGCTTCACACTCCGCTGCGAACTGCTCCAGTGAGAGTTGGAGGTCACAGACAGAAGATGCAATCAGGACCACATCATCTGCGAAAAGCAGCGATGAAATCCACAGCCCCCCAAACTGTAGACCCTCCTCCCCGCGACTACGCCTCAATATCCTGTCCATGAAAACCACAAAGAAGATTGGTGCAGCCCTGGCGAATCCTAAGCCCCACCGGAAACGCCTCCGACTTACTGCCGAGCTGCCCACATTATCTCTCGGGGGATCCAATCATACGCCTTCTCCAGGTCCACAAAACACATGTAGACTGGATGGTGCTTCTGACCTTCAAGCCTATCGGTACACTGCAACTGCCTCCAGAGTCCCCCTGGATGTCATAACCTGAAAGGCCTCCTTCTTGAGTCGGACGGCTTCCCGGACCACCGGTGTCCACGGTGGGGTTTGAGGGTTACCGCCCCTTGATGCACCGAAGACCTTGAGGCCACAACTCACTGCCGCAGCTTCAGTAATGGAAGTTTTGAACATACACCACTCTGGTTCCTCCACAGGAATGTGAGAGAAGCTCCACCGGAGGTGTGAGTTGAAAATATTTTGGACCGGGGCCTCCTCCAGACGTTCCCGGTTCACCCTCACTACACGCTTGGGTTTGCCAGGTCTGTCCTAAGTCTTCCCCCATCCACTGACCCAGCTCACCACCGGATGGTGATCAGTTGACAGCTCTGCCCCTCTCTTTATCCGAGGGTCCAGAACATGCAGCCTCAGATACGAACAATTACAAAATCGATCATTTTTGGCGTAGGGTGTTCTAGGGTGTTCTACTACTACATATACTTATGAACATTGTCAAGTCCTACTCTTGTTCACCTTCCAAAGGACACAAGGACAACTCAAATTTCCGACTCTATCACTTTTATTTGGCTTTTTCAGTTGATTGGTCTGTTCGGGGAAAACCTTTAAAGACAGAATAGAAATTACCTTTTAAATTAGACATTTTAATTAAACATTTCCAATGAATTTTAAATGGGTTTAAAAATCCTCTTTTTTTTCAAACTCAAAATGAAATATTTTAACAAAAAATCAATGAATTTAATGCTGCAATCTACACAGCAGTTAAACATAGCATGACCATATTAAGCAGCATTTTAAACATGAAACATTTCACCGATGGGTTAACTTGGATTGTCTTCTCTCTGCTGTTTGTTTGTTCGAATGAATGAGAACCTCCATGCACAGGTGCTCCAAATCAGTGACAATGATTAATCAGGTGACAAGCAACCGGTTTGCTGCTGCTTGTGCACTCTGTGAAGTGTAGTTCTTTGAGACTAAGTCCTGAGGTTCAGCTCCACAAACATCTTTATGTTCGAACATGGTGTTTGCTATGGACAATCCGTGACTGGCACAGAAGTTCAATAACAAACGACCGCTCGGGTTCAGATCAGGAAGGCCATTCCTCCCAATCACGTCTTTCCAGTTATCTCCATTGTCGCCCACGTGCGCAAGTCTCCCAGTAGTGGAGTCCCCCACTGGAGCACCCTGCAGGACTCCATTCAGGGTCTCCAAAAAGGCAGAATACTCCGAGCTGCTGTTTGGTGCATATGGCACAGACAACAGTCAGTTGTCTGTTGTAAGTTTTCCTCGCCACCACCCAAAGGACCCTTTTGTCCACAGGGGTTAACTCCAATGTAGCAGCACTCAGCCGGGGACTATCCAGGAGTGTGGTTCCAGAGCTGAGGCTCTCCACCTCTCGCACAAGCTCCAGCTCCTTCCCCCCCAGAGAGGTTACCTTCCACGTCCCCAGAGCCAGCATCTGCCACCCAGGTCTGTTACATCTAGACCCCCCTTTGTCACTGCCAACCTTGTAGCAGCGCACCCGACCCCATCGGTTTCACCCACAGGTGGTGAGCTCATGAGAATTAGAGTTCTGGGGTGCCGCCACACTCCTTCATGCTGTGCCTGTCCGGCTCCGTGGCAAGCCCGGCCACCAGACGCTCGCTGTCGGAGCCTCCATCTGGGCCTGGCTCCAAATGGGGGACCCCGGCTTTCTCCGGGCTGGGTAGCTCTGTGACGGCCCCAGGGCCGCTGCCCGAACATTGAACTGTTAGCTGTGGGGATACGTCGTTATTATCTGCCGAGGGAGTTCACGTCCGCCATCATCATCACAGTGTACGTTCCTCCATCAGCTGACGCTGAGGCAGCAGTAGACACCATACACTCCACTGTGTCCAAACTACAGACCCAGCATCCCGGTGCATTTTTGGCCGTTACAGGAGACTTTAACCACATCACTCTGGATAAAGCTCTGCCAACTCTGCACCAGTATGTTGACTGCCCCACATGGAACAATAAAACTCTGGACTTGCTGTATGCTAATGCCATGGATGCATACAGTGCTACCGCCCTTCCCCCGCTTGGCAGGTCGGATCACAACCTGGTCCTGCTGACTCCAAGTTATGTTCCTCTGGTGCAGAGGCAGCCTGTGACCACCAGGACTGTGAGGAGATGGTCACAGGAGGCTAAGGAGGCACTGCAGGACTGCTTTGAGTCCACAGACTGGAATGTGCTGTGTGGACCACATGGGGAGGACATAAACAACTTAACTGACTGTGTCACAGAATACATCAAGTTCTGTGAACACACCACCGTTCCATCCCGGACTGTCCGCTGCTTCCCCAACAACAAACCGTGGATTACCAGGGACCTGAAAGAGCTTCTTAACAAGAAGAAAGCAGCTTTCAAGTCTGGGGACAGGGAGGAACTCAGCGCAACCTGAAGGAAATGGTAAATGGCCTGTACTTGTATAGCGCTTGTCTAGTCTTCTGACCACTCAAAGCGCTTTAACACTACATGACATCATTCACCCATTCACACCCATTCATACACTGATGACAGGAGAACCATAGACAGTGACACCTGCACATCAGTAACTACCATTCACACACTGTAGTCGCAGCTACAGGAACAATGTTGGGTTAAGTGTCGTGCCCAAGGACACAACGACATGCGGGTTAGAAAATGGGGGGACACAACGACATGCGGGTTAGCCGGGCCTGGGATCGAACCGACAACCCTCTGATTGGAGGACGACCGTGCTCCCCACTCACCCACAGTGAAGGTGAAGATCAGGGAGTGTAAGAACTCCTACAGGAGGAATCTGGAGGCCAAACTTCAGCAGAGCAACGTGAGGGAGGTGTGGTCCGGCATGAAAGAGATCTCAGGCTTCAAGGGAAGACAGAGTCAACCAGGGGGCTCCCTGGAGAGGGCAAACAAGCTGAACTGCTTCTCCAACAGGTTCAGCTCACAGCCCTCATCTGTCTCCACCTCACCTCCCAAACACCTCAGCTGACTTCTCCCCGGTCCCCTCTGGTGAGCTGCATGGACACAGAGCCCCCAACTTCAAAGGGCTCCTCCACCCCCCCCCACACCTCTGCTGCCTTCCTCCCTCCCCCCTCTATCTCCCCTGGTGAGCGGCATGGACTGTGAAGCCACTCGTCCACCGTCTCCTGGATCACTGACTACCGACAGGCAGGCCACACTTTGTCCGACTGGGCAGCGTGCTGTCTGATACAGTTGTCAGTGGTACTGGAGCTCCACAGGGAACTGTTCTGTCTCCCTTCCTGTTCACTTTATATACCACTGACTTTCAGTATAACTCGGAGTCCTGCCATCTGCAGAAATTCTTTGATGACTCTGCAGTGGTAGGGTGTATAAGGGATGGACGGGAGGAGGAGTACAGGGCAGTAGTGGAGGACTAACCCTGTGGGCGAGCAGAAATCACCTGCCCCTGAACGTGGCCAAGACCAGAGAGATGGTGGTCGACTTTGGGAGGAAGACGACGGCTCCACTACCGCTGAGGGTTCTGGGAGAGGAGGTGGTCATGGTTGAGGACTACAAGTACCTGGGTGTCTCCATCGACAACAGACTGAACTTTAAGACCAAGATCAACGCCGTCTACAGCAAGGGGATGAGTCGACTCTTTTTCCTGAGGAAGCTTCGATCCTTCCATGTGTGCAGGAAGATGTGGAGATGTTCTATCAGTCTGTTGTGGCCAGTGCTTTGTACTTCGCCGTGGTCTGTTGGGGGAGCAGCATTGGAGCCGGTGACACCAACAGACTTAACAAACTTGTTAAGAAGGCCGGCTCCATCATTGGCTGCAAACAGGATGGCTTGGAAAAGGTGTTGGAGGGGAGGTCACTGAAGAAACTGTTATCCATATTGGATAATCCTGACCACCCCCTCCACCACCTGCTACAGGGACAGCAGAGCACGTTCTCCAACAGACTCCTTCAGCTCCGCTGTCACAAGGACCGATACAGGAGATCATTCCTGCCCAGTGTAATAACACTCTACAATACAATCATCCCTGGCTAAATAATGACAATAACAACTCTGTAATGCTGTGATGTTGCTGCTCTTCCTCTTCTCCTTTTACAAATTATTATTATTGTCTCTTTTGGAGGGTTATTCTTTTGTTTCAGTTTTAGTTTATTTAATTTAGTTTAATAATTTAATATTTCTATCTTATTATATTGTATATAATGTGTATCTTTTTATTCTATTTTCTTCCCTGCACATACTGCTGTGATACCAAAATTTCCCTCTTGAGGGATCAATAAAGTAGCTATCTATCTATCTATCTATCTTAAAAATAGAAGATTAAACTTTAGAGAAAATAGAGAATAAGACATTAAACAATCCAGCGACTGATGCTAGAGTTCTAAATGCAGCCCATAGGCTAGAGAGAGAGAGAGAGAGAGAGAGAGAGAGAGAGAGAGAGAGAGAGTTTAAATCTTTGGTTTTGCTTCAGTTTACTTACTTCTGTTTTGTTTTCGTTAGTTTGATGTGTTTGTGGTCTTCTGGTTGCTCTGTTGCTTGGTTTTGTTTCACCTGATTTTGTTTTAAGGTTAAAATACAGTATTGAACCAATTGGGGTTGTTTTTATTATCTTAAACCTGTTTTTAGTGATTTTCATGTCACTAAATTAGTTATATTATGTTCTTTAATAAAACCTTTGGTTAATTACTACAAACATTTTTCTGCCTCATCCACAATGGCTCAATTTCTTTAATATTTTGTTGAAATAACCCACCCAATATGGCGCTATATTGCTGACGAATAATCAATACCTCATACAATGTCATATTTCTGGGGACAATACTTCAGCGGCCATATTGAAAGTTTTGGAACTGCATTAGAGGGATGTTTACAAAATTGTGAAGGATCATAGTTCTCAGCCTTAAGAACACACAAAATAATTTCAAATATTTCCCTTAAAAGAAGTCAGCAACATGGTTTCTATCTAATTTATAATCTGTATTTTTATTTAATTCATATTTGCACTTGTACTGCAACTAAGGGAAAAGAACAAAAACAACTTTGAGTCATGATCTTCCTGTTCATTCCTGCAAATTTATGTGCAAATACCACATGGTGTTTATATTTTACTTCATGTGAAACTGAAAAGAGATTCCAGAGAATCTAACCCGACACTGTGAATGTGTGAACCAACGTGGAAAACGGCATGAGAAGAAGAGTCAGAGAATCAACAAAGTTATTTTTCTTTATCGCCCTGTCGCCCATGAATGTCTGTAGAAAAAGATGGTGTTCCAGTTAAGTAATGAAGTTAAGTTATGAAGCTTTGGTATGGACCAAAGTAGTGGACTAACACAATGATATTGCCTCATAAACTCATGCCAACAATATGATTAAAGATCATATAAGCAAATATGATTGCTAATGTAAAGAACAAAAAGAGTCACTGACCTAAGGCTACTCTGGCAGCCGAGGCATCATAGTTGATCCAGAAGGAGACCCAGGACAAGATGGTGATCAGGGTGGAGGGCATATAGGTTTGCAAGATGAAATAGCCAATGTTCCTCTTCAGCTTAAAGCTCAGGGACAGACGTGGATAAGAGCCTGTTACACACAGGGTTGCAGATATGTATTTAGAGTTCTAATAACATTGTTAATTTAGTGCTACAAATCAAATAAATATGAAATTTGATGAGCAGTCAATGAGACTGTCTCTGTGATAAATATCACACAGTTGTTAGTATTAACAATATGTTGATTTCAGAGCCCATAAATGGGCTACTGCGCCTGCATAGGCACAAAGTTTGAACAATTTGTTTAAAAGGATTCAAATTAAGTTATAAATGATCTTAACCATAACAATGTTACGTCAAAAATAATTAAAAGAATATAAGATAAGTTGAGAACCACTAACTCTGTTACCTGTGGCAAACACAGCTTTCTTGGATTGGGTTTGGTAGTCTATGATCGAGAACTGGGGCAGTTCAATGTTTTCCACGCCAGTGACTGAGCCTGCGTTGCTTCCTCCCTGCCAGTAGAATTCAATGTCGTCAGTGGTGTATCCATCTAAGAGAGGCAGGGGAATACAACAAGTTGAACATTAAATGCATTACAAAGACAAGCACATTGGGATTTCAAGCACAATGCAGTGAAGACACCAGCTGTGAAGTGTTTTCTTGGGTACCTGGACCGGTAACAATGCTGTCACACATCTAGCCTGTATCCGACAGAGTTTGTCTTGGAGAAAATAAAGTAGGGTGGGCCATGGTAGTAATCGGGCAAACGGATATACAGACAGGGCGGGGGGGGGGGGGGGTTGTAAACTCGTCGGCAGACTCCTGCGCGAATAAAAAAATAAAAATTCCAGACTTTCCTGGAGGCGCCCCTGATCTGAGCTTTTTAATCGAACTGCAATTTAAGGGGTCGAGTGAAGTATGAAATAGATGTGAATGATGAGTGGTGATACATATCGGTTGAGAAGGTTACCCTGTTTAAAGATGTTGTTTTGAAGTATCTTCAAAAGGAAGTTTCCTTACTCTGAATATTTGCAAAATAACATTGACGTATCATTTAGCCATGAAAAACATCTACATGCCTACATTGCAAAGATTTTACAATTATTTTCATACAGTTCTATGAAATTTATGTTGATGAATAAAGGTCTTTACAGTCTGTACACACACAACATCCTCTGTCCCGAAACCCTCACATCGGCACAGAGAAATCATCCCAAAAATGGAAAAACCCTTCAATGGGGAATAAGAAAAGAAACCTTAGGGAGGAACCTTCTCCCGGGATGGACAGAATGCAATAGATGTCATTTGTACAAATAAACAATGTAAAAGATACAACAGAAAGGACGATTGACAAATAAATGATCATTTATGAATTGTAAAAACACCAAACAAGAATAATAAATTACACTAACAGTAAATATAGCAGGCTGTCCAATTTAATTTGAAATATATACATTATCAACAAAAAAATATACCATATTGGCAGTAAGAGGTACCCTAATTTTTCCCCAGCACTAACCCCTTTCACCACAACACAAACAATGTTCAACTCAATTTATTATGTGTAAACCTTTGTGACTGGTAGCTTCCAACCGTAGAAATGAACCAATAGTTTCCCTCCAGGTGACCATGTTTAAGTGCTGCTGCACTGGAATGTGCAGTCTTACAGCAGCGTAATGGTGCAACAAGAAAAGAAAAGATTAAGCCTTCGATTAATGAATACACCATGAAAGGCTAAATATAACTTAACGGTTGAATATAGATTAATGTACATAGAAAATCTTGAACAATTGAATTGGTATTGCACATTAATGAAGTGCCGGTATGGAATCTACTGAGAGCAGAAAGTGACAGAAGCCGGATCACAGAACCTTTCGCTGTCCTTCAGACGCAGGTGAAAAAAACCCGTCTTTAAAAGCAATGTTTCTTCAGAATGCATTTGAGCATTTCCAATTATTTACTTTTGAAATCATTTTGTCACCCATTGTCCTGTTTCACTGCTGTGGTGTTCCCTCTCATTATAATGGTCCAGTGTGAGAGCCTGCTCAAAATGAGATGAACCTTGCCCTGTGGAATTCCTATTACAGCTTTCATAAGAACTACTCAAACAACAACCTGACATTGGACACTGCTTTCTTGGGTCTTTAGCTATTCATATGCCATAAGTGAGCTGAGTCACACACATTGCACCTAGTCATGGTCAGAAACACAAACCGGCCTGCAGTTTGCTACAGAGAAAAAAACACTGGGGGCCAACTTTACTGTTAGGAAAGGCCTAGTTGTAAGAATTGAATAGTTTTCTCTCAGAGACGTTTTTGAGTAGGCCTACTGTTAATAAAGGATGTTAAAATGTCACTTTAGCCTTTAAATATTTAGTTTGAGAAAATAAATGTTTAGATTCCTTAAATGTGGTTTACTTATCTAAATAACGCCTGTCTGGAAATTCCCTGTGATTGTTTTGGGGGATGTGAATGTTTGTGAATCGGTGAATGATCAAATGTAGCGTTAAAGAGCTTTGCATAGTCAGAATACTAGGAAAGTGCAATACAAGTACACTCCATTTGTCATTTATGGATCTCAAAGATGTTTTCTAAGGATAATCTCTGTTTAAGTCAATGCACTACTATGGGCCCTTATTCTCATTCCCTGTGATAAAGCCTTGATAACCAATATGATGGTAATTAAAGGATAATGTGTGTTACAAGATGTCCCATCTACCTAAAGAACATGAGAAAGAATCAGAGCGCAAGAGGACACTTTAAACACTTTACAAGAAGGTTGATGACACAACTGAACAGAAACCTTTTCTACGTCACAGGATCCTTATAGATTAAAGGACACCAGATAATCCAAGGGTCAAGTGTGGAAAATTGGCTCAAAAAGTAAATTAACCTTGAACTCTCTATTCAAGTGCCATGCCACCTTTTTTAAACAGACATATTTTACAAAGCACCGTTGAAGTGGAATCAAGGACTTTTTGACGGATCCCCTCTTGGTAACAAGTGTTGACACCTCTCGGGGGGGGGGGGGGTAGAGAAACACGAGAGAAGGAAATTCTCTTACCAATCAAGCCGTCATTTCCGGCTGTAAGGACGAGCTTACTCTTCACTCACTGGGAATTCTGGCTACCAAACAGGTCCCGAATTTTGACTGTTTCTGTTCAAATTAAGTAATTCATAACAAGTGATAAACCAAGGGGAGGCAAACAATTTACATTCTAGCAAATACTGTAAGTCAAAGAAACAGGTGAAAATCTAAAAAAACAAAGAGATAAATTCCCTTGTGTGCTTGAGTTGCTTAATGTGAAAGAAGCATAATCTCATGGTGACACACTACAACTGAATAAACAAGCATTTTTATTGTGGAAACACCCCCTGTCAGCAAATAGGAGGGGAAACACTGTAAGTTGGGTAGGAACTGGTTGGGAAGTAGCTGGCTGCATCAACCATGCATTCACAAACAAAGACATAAAAACAGACTTGTCACTTACAGCTCTCAATCTCTAAGGTGCAGTTCTGCTCATCCAACGGGTATCTGCGCAGGTCCATCATGCAGGCAGCTGTTGTGGTGATCCTAAGAGAAAGGAAAAAAGGTTTGCTGTCATTTACTGATATCTGAAGAAAGATTCATCATGAACAACAACACCAGCTTTCACGTCTAAAAACAATTCAGTCTACACATTATACATTCAAGTTTCACGAGGGGAAGCTCTCTTGATTGAGGGACGACCCCGTCAGCCAAACTAGACAGATACTAAAGTTAGGACCGCATTCCTCTGTTATATCAACACACGGAATTGAGTTTATTGCAATTGAATTGCATTCAATAGATATCTAGTGTAGAAACATTTTCTTATTTTCACAAGACACACAATACAAAGATACAGAGTAGCACAATAAAAGTAAAGACAATAATAATTGATCTTCCCCAGGTCAGGCATACAGCAACATTTAAATTAGAGACTTTAATTAGAGTTCATTTTCTGATGTTAGGCAAAAGTGTTGAAATCCCACTGCAAAAAGTTCATTCTTGACTATTCAAGAGTCAATTGTGCGAAAGAGCTGGAGTCATTATCCAAGTACTTGGGTTTTTAACTGTATTTACACTGATCAGATGTATTTGCGACACAAGAGTTAAATTAACTCTTTGATAGGTTTGAAATGTAACTGTACACCACCGTCACACTTCTTGGTGTAACTCTACGTACAGTGTAGTTAACACTGAGCACATCTATTTTTGACACTTATTCAGAGTTAAATTGTTAAACCCAATGACTTCTGATTCTAGTGATGATGATGGACAACAGGAGAATGAATGAAATACTATATGTTAGCTAGTTCTTTGGCTGAGAATGTGTTTTAAAGATGTTTGAACTTCTTTTATTCAGGCCAAGAATGATAATGTCTTTTTTCATAATATAATCAAAAATAACCAATGACGGTATTGATAATTAACCAATCCACCAACCGTATTGATAAAAATACTAAATACAATAAATGATGCATCCCATTTAATAATATACTTTGAATGTTTGCATAGGTAGGATTCATCTTTATGTTAACAGATTGATCTTACTGCTTTAAACTAATTTGAAATGATTTGATAAACAACTGGGCTGATGAGGCTTGAAAGTCCTCTTTGGGGTTAGGGTGTCCTTAGCTACCTGAGGCTGTCGTGAGCCGCTTTTAATAAATGATGTAACTGCTCTCATAACACACTGTGGGTCATAGGCAGTAGTACAATGGGGCTTCACTCCTAAGCTTTCTGCAAGTGCGTTCCATAGTTCAGATAAACTGTGGGCCTCGGGTAAATTCCAAGATGAAGGAGAACTGGCTCTGCTGGCGGGCTGACCAGGGTTTGGCCGTCTTACTCATAGCAAATGTGATCCAATGTGATCCACTACAGTTACAAACTGCCAAGCCTCCAGCAGAAACAGGAAGTGGTGAATGGCTAGGAAATGTCCAAGAAGCTCCTGACCGTTTCTTCCGCTCGATAGGACGTAATTGTCGACTGAAAAAAGTGAGTGGTTGCCATGGCCGCTTTCACCGACTGCTAGTGCACAGCATCAGCCGCTGAAGCATCTGTGGTTAAGGCAATTGTAGCTTTGGGTGAAGGATTGTGCTAACATTGTTGCATGTTGTTGCATAAAATGTTGCAGCTGTCTTGCCGTCCAAAAGCGCCTTGTTCGTCCACTCGGTCCAGCCAACAGCTTGTTTGATGGACTTGGATTTCAGGGCTTTGTACAGGAGCCACATCAACCTTGCCGCTTGGGGAATAAAGCGGTGAGAAAAGTTCATCATGCCTTAAAACTCCTGCAGGGCCGTGGAAACTTTCCACAGCGTCCACTTTTGACGAGGGACCGTCTGACGGACTGTCTGATAAGTCAACTCAAACCGGGTTCGAACAGAATCTGGAGGAGAGCCATATGCTCCGACCTGGATGAACTGTCCACCAAGATGTCATCTAGATAGACAAACAAGAAGGCCAGACTGGAAAGTCTGTGCTGCATTTTTGAGAACAAACGGCATCCTCAAAAATCTAATTGGGCGAAAAGTAGCGCTGTTTTGGGGATGTCCAGCATGTAGGGGCACTCAATAACCTCGGAAAAGTTCCACTTTAGGAAAAATCATGCTACCCCACAAGTGTGCAGAAAATTCCTTGATGGTCTGCTGCTGCAATGAGCGTTGTCCCCCCTTGTAGCCATGCTGTACCAGCTCCAGCGCGGCTCCGCAGCATTTATGGCCCGCTTGCCGACCAATTCCCAACAATCGGTAATGACGGTGTTGGGTAACGCTGCCTACGCCGTCACAGGAGGCTGCTGCGGAAAGTTAAAAAATAGAAAATCTGGCGTGTTTTCCGAGCAACATCAGCGTTATGTCCATTAGCTTCGATGGCTTCTGGTCTTCATGTTCCTCTTCTGGACACGTACAGTAGATTCATGGTTACCAATGTCGTTGGTTGTCGTTGTCTTAGTTGGGATTATCAGAGTTGGCACACCTTTGGTTCTTAGGCTGCACATCTTCATCAAAAAAATCCAACTACACTGTCCCCTCCTAACCTTTAACCCCATCATTACGTCCCATTACCGTAATAACCATAATTCCCTTAAAGGGAACCTGTCCCACTTATCCCATGCTGCAATGATGAATGATGGTCCCGATAGTCCACCACACTGTATTCAACGAGCTATTGTTGTGTTGTCTGCCGCGCTCCAATACGTGCCGCGTACATGTTCCTGTATTATAACGTATTATTGGGCCCTAGAGTGCAGTAAATGCTGAGTATTACTGTGCAATTACTCTGTAAGTGCTTTCCATTCTGCTGCTGTTGTATTGTTGGTTTCGCTAGATGGGACAAATTAAACTTCACCGTTTCAAAGACCATAGACTGACTGGATTTTAGTTTGCCAGTTGGGTGTCTGTGTGATAGAGTAACAATTGTCACGTATCATTGCAGGTAGTCCCTCCCTCTCCCTCTCTCTCTCTCTCTCTCTCTCAGTAGTTTTAAAAAAATCAGTTTTGAGACTCAATTTAAAGTTTGATTGTTTTAGACTCGATCAGCAGGACTCTCTGAATGGGTGAAGGTTAATGAATGTGCCATTGGTTTGGATTTCTGCTTTTCATGGCTCAGCACTGCAGAAGTTACTTTGAACGGAAATGATATCTGTTACCACTTAATGGAAACCTTTTCCGGTGATAGAAAGACCAGACCAGTGTAAAATCGGGAAGCAAGAAACATTAGTTATGCTCTCCCTTGATTGTCTTCACTCTGTGACTGTCCGGCCACAGCGTGTTTCATGACGTAAAAAGCCCCTCAAGACATGAATAATTAGTACTTTCTTACCTGGGAACACTGAACGCATTAGGAAGCACAAGATGAATTATAAAGCAGGTGCAGAGAGTGCGGCCAACCAGAAACACTGAATGCATTAGCAAGCAGTAGATGAATTATAAAGCAGCTGCAGAGTATGGACAGCCAGTAAAAATAGTGTGTCAGGTTAGGGAGGACTGATGTTGCAGTTCAGCGCCTCCATGGTGTCAATCATTCAGTCGGTACTAAACCGGCTTTGTCAAACGTTTGAGTCAGTCCCCAAGTTCCATGCTCACATTCTCTAATCTTAGGCGAGCAAAAAGTATTCATCCTCAAATCGTCTTCAATTCTATGTGGAAAAAAGTGTCTACAGCTGACAGCTTTTTTTTCGTAATGATCAAATGCAAATACGGTATGTTTGGCTAATCGCTATTCAATCGAATGTCTGACATGGAGACACAAACATTCACACAACTACCGGCAATTTAGAGTCACCTATTAACCTACAGTAGTCACCAGGGCATGTCTCTGGACTGCAGAAAGAGGGCTGAATACCCGCATAGAACACACACAGACTCTGGGACAACATGCAAACTCCACACAAGAAGGCCACTAGGTGGTTTCAAACCCTGCACCTTATAGGTGTGAGGCAACATTTCTCACCACCACATCACCGTTCCGCCCGGCCAGTTATTCAAGCAAGAAAATTCCAATGCATCTTGAGCCGGAAGTCAACTCAGAGTAGCGTGGCGTTAGCAAGGTCAAAGCCACACCCTCTCCCTTGTTCCACCGTACAGTACCAGTTTGGACACATTTTCTCATTTCAAACAGTGTGTCCAAACTTTGGACTGGTAAATGTAATAGGCTTTCAACAGAACCCTCTTTTAACAGACCATTATCTAATAACTTGGAACTTTGAAATGTTATTCTTGGATTATGCACCATCAGGAAAACATTTCTACACAGGAATCCTATTTGATGCATTCTGATCTGCAGTAGTCAAATTTCAAGGTGTAATTCAGTCTTTTTTTTAATATCATATCTTGGGAGTACCAAGATTGTACCAACTTGTTGACAGTGCTACGGGCTCTTTAAAAATGACGCTGGCATTCCAACAATTTAGAAGATTTTAGTTTAGTTTGGCAAGACAGTCCTAAATCATATAAGAAGGCTCTACGTAATGCAAGAGCAGCTTATTACTTATTATATCATTCTTACAGCCATGAATTCCTATACTGAACTTCGCTAATGGTAAGTCTTATTATTGGAGGGAAAATTGTCTCTTGCCTTCAACTATTACCAATCTATCCTCAAATGTAAGTACCTTGGAAACCGCTGTAAACCTTGACATATATATTTAGATGGCTCCCATCAACTTTGAGCAGTTGACTTATTGGACCTACGTACACTTCGACACCAACACACCAGACTAGGCTGCTTAAAAAGGTTTTACTTTTTGTTTATGTCACAGTGGGACAATATTTTAAACCACGTTTTTTTAATATATTTGAATTGATTTCTCCATTTGGCTAAAATCTGTAGTTGTATATTTTACATTTTGGTTTTATTGGTTTTATTTTATTTGGTTTGCACAGTTTTTGTGGTTTTATATATAAAACTATTATAATATTTTATATATATTTGTGGATGTAATGATAAAGCAGCTAATTGCACCATCACATTTTGGTTATCATTTTTACATGGCTGCATCATGTATGTGTCACTTTACTTAAAATCACGTTAGTTTCACTAAAAGTGACCTGACCTAATGATGTTTAATGCTGCTTTTGCACCAAAAAGAGTAGTTATTGATTAGCTTTTTAATAATAAGTATTCATTTTTATTTTTTTCAAAATAAATGTCACAATACATTATATAGAGTCAAATAGAATCAATCAAAAACTGTCAAAAAAGCATAGCAGATATATGTATATATACTATAGCAGAGCCCTCTCAGACTGTCAGGGCTTCGACAGGCTTCACCAGGCGTAAAGGAGGGCAGCCTGTATGTGGCAGAGAGGCGATACCTCGCACAAACAGGCAAAGTGTTGCCACCTCCTACACCATTAGCAAACCCTGTGTGTCATCATGATCCTGACATCACAAGCCAAAGCCGTTGATGCTCAAATGTAGAAGATTATCAGACCAGACCCGACACCCCTTGGACAAACGTATTGGAAAAAATGTGACATTGTGATTATTTGGACCAAAAACCAAAGTGATGAAAGAAATGGGTTAGTGGCTAACTTGTGGTCAGTACGAATATTGACGTGTGTGAAGTCTAGATGTATGCAGCACCTTATATAAATGTGCAGGTTTCCCTTAAACAAAAAGTCTTTAAGCTGGAGACTGTTAAGTCAGCATTCCTCTCCCTCTGAAACACAGGATGTCTTTGAACTCAGAGGACTGAATTATTGACAGTGCCAGGCCCAGCTCTTCCTCAGTTAACTCCATACAGCTCACTTCCTCGTAACTGTGCTGCGCTGCAGAGGGCACGGGCCAGTGTACACTGCACCAAGAGAGGCTTCGTAAATTATTTACCCGCTGCGTCTCCCTAAAAGACACTCTAGAGACACAGAGCAATACCAATGCAACATATCTGGGCAGTGTCCATGCATGCTAATTAGCTGCATCTAACCAAAATTTGAAGCATCATGTGGTTATTATTTGCCATGGCAACGGCGGAGCATATGTATCTCGCTGGAATTCTGAAACATGTTTCTGTTTTAAGTTCCTGTTTTGTCGCATATGACATTCATCAACATCTGAAAAGGAATAAAGGGATTTGGATTAGGTGAAGCGGACGGAAAGACACCTGACAGACAGACAGCGGGACAATGAAGTGGCCTTTTTTGTTAGTACTCAAACACAGTCAAAGCGACAATGTTTTTAATGTGAAAATGTCGGCCTAAGCATCAGCCCAGATAAACAGGGCCCGAGCAACTGATAACGTCTGGCCAAGACGGAAACTATAGCGTTTCTTGTTCTTCTCGCAAATGTATTTGGCGGCTTTGTCACATTCAAAAACCTACCAAAGTTGTCATTTATTTCACGACAGGTGAAAAAAAAATATTACGCATATCTTGTATTTTGGTATGAAAAAAATGCTTTGTAGCACCTCCTAGAGTGGATTTAAACCATGCCTCAATATGTTTATTCTACAATGAACAATGCCCTTAACACCTCTGCGGTTAACCTTGAAAGAAATTGTTGTAACTCCAAGGCGCATTATCTAATTTGACTTCAAATATGGTGCGGAAAGCCTATAATGCTGTTGATGCTAAAAACTCACGGGACTTTGCAGGATGTAAATACCAATTTGATATGGTTTCCTGGCTTAGCAGTCAGAAATGACTTGAATAGCGCCCCCCTCAGATCTACAAGTGCAGCCCCAGGTCTACGTTGAGCATAAATGTATGACATTTGTTAGGTACTTAACTTAAAATCGGGACCATGCTCTAAAACTCAATGGAATGTTGGCCATTCAGATTCATGTGAGAACTCTCCAAGGATTTAAGCTGATTTCTTGGAGATACGCACTAACAAAATCTTCCTAGGGTTTGCCATGCTTAATAAAATGGCCTGCTGGTATAAATGAGCTCATTCAAACTCAGTCATGATGCCACCTAAAGGCAAAAGGATATCAGCTTTATGGAACGGATATCCTCCAATTATGATAAAAATGACATAAAGTGGTCTTCACTTGATATTGATTAACATTATGCATGTTTACCTTCTAGTATTTGGTCACACAGTAGATACAGGAAGTGGTGGAATATTTCAAATATCAAATCATAATAGTCAGCTCCATGCAGGAAAAAAACATCTAACTGAGGGAGCCGCAGACACTCGCAGTTGCATAAACCGGAGTCCAGCCACTACCTCCGACTTGCAGGAGAATGCGAGGGCCTGCTTGCTACTGACTGCAGCTTTAATTCTTCTTTTTTTTGTTACCATAGTTATTATTGTTATTATTGTAAGTTAATCTTAGCAAAAAACGAGGTGCTTGAGATACTACCAAGGTCGAAAACCTTTGCATGCTTGGCCGTTTTTGCAAAAACTGCAGTGTAATTTGGTTGTTGAGATGCGGTACAGTATGATTGTCAGAATACGTTAAAGGGCGGCGACACGGCGGCTCTGCAAATTTAGATCAATGAACGAATCAACTGATAAAACTTACATATGGTCACATTTTTTCCAAATGTCACGTTTGATGAGACTACGAGCATTGAAACATCTACAAGCAAATATTTAATCACTGTAGTAGCGCACAACTACTAAGTACACAACCAAACTTTTACCATATATTTAAAGCCCAAGTTGTATGATTTCCCGCTGCATGTTTGGCTTAGATCCGAGTTGTCCAAAGTCCTGCCCGTGGACCAATTGCAGCCCGCAGTCCAATTTCATACGACACGCAGCTTTGGCCTTATTAATTCATTATTTAGGTTTTTTGAACGTTCACACTTTCCTGAGTGGCTTATATTTGGCTACGTGTGAAGATGATCTATTTTTTGCATGTAATTGTTATGGTTAAAAAATGTCAGAAGGGCTATTCACCACACGGGAATCTTCACTTCAAATCTGACCCTCTTTGAAACATTTTTGGACACCCGTCTGCAACTAACGATTATTTTAATAATCCATTAATCTGTCAATTCTTCTTTAGAATAATTGATGAATTGGATAAAAAAAACAAAAAAAAAAGCAAAGCATTAATTTCCAACCCTTTATTAAAAAACAGAATTTACAGTGCACATTCACAGTGAAAAAAATCAACAAAAAGTGCACAAGCAGGTTGTAATATATATATATATATATATATATATATATATATATATATATATATATATTTAAATAAAGTGCACAAAAACATGTATATTGTGCTTTTTTGTATTTTTGGGACCTGAGCTGTCAAAACAGTAAATGTTAAATAAATTAAGAAAAATACAAATCAGAAAACTTGTTTGAACGTCCTCTTCACCAGTGGTCCCAAACCACCGGTACCGGCCCACAAAGAAAGAAAAAACTCTTTTTCCCATTTGACTTTTTATTTATTTTATTTTTTTTAAATGGATTTTCTCCCAATTACATGCGCTGGTACGCATCATCCAACCGTTTTGTTATATTCCGCCCAAACATTAGAGGCTGAAGAAAAAGAAGAGTTTTAAGAAATGACCTGACCACTCACACACACTATCTACCGTCTAGACTCTGTTGGTCACAGAACAGCATGGCACCGTCAACCACAGTCTGGCCAGTATCCTCAACGTGCGTGTGTGTGGGTGTGTGCGAGGGCCTGACCAATGCTGATTGCAGCTTTCCTTCTCTCTGTTCTCTTTGGCAAACCAGTGGGAGACTTTCAATGTGAAACGGGTATATGAAATGCAATCCGTCCTTCACAGAGTTAGTGATGCTATTTTAGTGGTGCTTCATTAAACCTGTTGCCAAACAACAAGATGTGGATACATTTGGAATAATACAAGGAGGAACGCACATAGATGAAAATTGGTAAACAACACCGGGTTAAACAGGGCAGGGAAAAAACTAAAGGCAAATAAAGATTACGGGTATACCCAAAAATCAAGCAGTGGAGCAAAGCAAAAACAAGTTTGACGCGCTGAACCCCACTCTGGGTTGTGAGGGCACCTGGATTCTTCTTGCATCTAAAGTTCAAATAATATGAACTAAAAGCAAAAGCATGGCGGTCACTACCTGCACTGTTGCCTGTAAACAGCTGCTTATCTCTCTCATCTCCAAAATAACACATGCAAAGGATGTAGAAAACAGCAGCGGGAAGAGGAGACACAGCTCTCACCTGAGACCATAGAGCACCGTTCCATCAGGGTGCAGTCTAATCATCCGGTTCTTCACGGTGACACCGTGTACAAAGGACTTCTTGTCATTAATGAAGTAGGTGTCAGGGACCCAGAGCTGGTCCGCTACCCGGTTATCCAGAGTGAGGTTGAGAGGAATGCCTGTGTAGGATAGACGCTTGTCTCTCCAGGACTGCTGGAAGTACATTGTGATTGTGTAGTCCTGTGGGGAAACGACAAATAAAAGGGCATGTTAGCACATCAACATTCCCGTATTGTTTGCTTGTTCTATGGCTGATTCACGGAGGTGCTCTTCGGTGCGTGTTTGTGACGCCTCAGTCGATGGGCGGAACAAGTCCGGACTTTCACCCAGAACATGTGGTGTACACGTGTGTACGATTGTGTGCAAAAGTAAACAGGGATATCTTGTAACATCAGGGGTCCGTTTCAAGTATGAGGTTTAACAAACTCTGAGTTGATTTACCCTGAGATGGAAACTCTGAGGTTTGGGTTTCAGAACAGCTGTTTAGAGTTGGTTGACTCAAGAGTTGAGCGCGTGCATCACCACAGTGTGAAGGCAGCATGAATGGAGCCGTGATACTACGACTCACCATGGCAACCAGCACAAGCAATCGGTCGGCGTGCTTCACCCCTATTGAGCTGGATGTATTAATGCTAGCGTACGGCGAGTATGAACCCGTAATTAGAAAGAAAAGCAACACGGCTACTGCAGCAAGAGACGGAGAAACGACATGGGAGAGAATTGCTGTAAGTTCCAGTATAGTGTTGTCAGTTAATATTTCATGTACACACTAATCATAATCCATACGTTTTACTAACTCCCAGTGGGAAAATTACACTGTGTTTATTAAAATGCACACACACAGGCTTGAAATACACACCTATGCTCATCACAAGAATAATATCGCTGGTGAAAACTGGTACAATGGCATTAGACCTATAATGTGTTTTATTCAGGTGCATCCTGTGGAACTCCTCTTTAATGGCTTCACTGGTTTGTGTCCAGGGAACAAAAACGTTTAAAAGACGCTTCAGAGCAACGCACACGTTCTCCGTATCACCAATGTTGTAAAGGAAACTGCCGTTAATGCAAAAAAAAGTAATCGGAAACTAAGGGACCATTTCAACTGCACAAACCCCCCCACATGCCGGTGTGGATGTGAACACAGTTTGACCGTCTAAGTGGGAAACATGCTTCTTATTGCTGATTCAAATGGATGATTGTCATCAATGCTTTGTAGTTCCCCGTCCCTGATAACGTTCCCGAGGAGACTACAAGTGTGATGAAATGAGCGCAGAGAAACGTTAAATGATGACGCTTAATGCTTCGTTCAACAATAAGGGTTCATACACATTTTGACCAATGGATTTCCAAGACTTTTCCATGACTTTAAACTAAATTTCCATAACCAAAAATGTTGTGTATACATGAAAAAGTGAGAAAATGTAGTATTTAAAACTAACAATGAGAATTTCAAAGCAAACACAATGTTTCCCCTACCATTAAATTAGGCCCCAAGGAAGTCTGTTTTTTATGTTTACAATGATCTACTGTTCTAAAACATGCTGGTGGATAAACATCTTTTCTTCTTCTTTTTTCACTTCAAATTCTGGACAATATATGAACTGTTACCAGTTTACAGTATTTGTACAGAGTCTCTGTAAGAGCCGGAAGTGTATGTATTACTTCATTGGAATTTTGGGAATATGAATTATTTAATCTATGGTCATTGTGCAGGAACTCAAGATATGTAACATATATTGAAAGCATTTACGTTGGATTGACGCTCCTTGTGTGTCTCCATGTATTGACGTCGTGATTGCAGTAGGTGCACCACAGGAGAGCTGCATGAGGCACGAGAGCACACCGTTTATCTGCCGTGTGACAGAACGTAGTAATTGTATATTAAGTTGACGCTTTGCTGCGTAAAATAAAGACCAAATGGAAAGAATCAAACGATCTCCTGTCATTCGCGTGAGAAAATGAAGTTGCGTGTCTGCAGCTCAGCCCAATGACGACCAACACCGGGGGAACGCTGCTCCGCCCTTGGTTTACGACTTGGATTTGCCGCCAGTAGGCGAGCAGCGCGCGTCGGAAACTGTCGGTGCTGCGTACGGAGCCGGTAGGACACAACACAGTCGCTGTTTTTCTCGGTAAAGCATCATCTTTTCCACATTTCTCACCTGCCTTTAATGAGCCCTTTTTACATGTAAGAGTTTAAGGACGAGGGGAGTAGGAAAGAAATTGGCGTCCAATCGCTGATAGACGCTCAAAAGGCGAGTGCAGTATCAACATTAGCTTTATGGTGTAAAATGATTTGATGGATTCATAACTCACCATCACGTACATAGTAACAACAAAAAGGATGTGTGCTGGTCTTCAAAGGGTTTTTAAGGTCACCACAGTAGTAGTTAAAAAGCACTGTCCCAAAAGAACATTAACAGCCTCCCTTATGCAAATGATGTAAGCTGCTAAAAGCCGCGCAGGCCTTCTGATGTACTGCTCATCCAAACACTTCAGTTCAAGCATTTAACCTTGGGGACAGCAGGCAGGAGGACGTTGCATCACTCCTCTTCTACCACGCTAACCTGAGGTGCAAAGCGCCGGTTAAGATTCTACTCGCAACTCTCTGGCTTTCCAGCAGACGTTGCATTTTGCAAATGCTTATGCGTGCATTTTCCAACAAGCTGAAGGAAAACTTTCTGAAAAGCGCTTAAATTTAAGGATTTCATTTTCTTTTTATAGTGACTGCCCGGTCTACATGTGCTTGACTTTTTGGCTGGATTAAAGACCACATGATTGCCATATTGCAATATTCCAGGTTCTGCCCCAAAACAGTTAATTTGTCTGTTTTCCATTTATGTAACTCTGACTCATCAGTCTAATCAGTGTCATTGACAATTTATTCACATAAAATCAAAGGTGGTTTAGCTTATTTATTTTGTGATCTTAGTAAATACCCCAGTATTTGTCGTTAGAAATAGTACAGATCTCGTCAATTTACCTGGGTATCTTTATATAATGCAAATGACTTTCTTTCACTAAAGTACTACCAGGCCTTAAATATCTGTTCACAGCAACAGAAGAAAAGATTCAAGCACTGAGTGATAAAACGGACACATTATTAATTTAGAAAATAATATATTGAAGATGACATCACTGCTCCTGAGGCGGCAGGGAGAAACTGCTGCCTCATGGAGTTGGGAGGCGGAGCTCCAACACTGCTGCAGCGAGGTGCTGCACTGAGCTGCACTGAGCTGCAGGCGGACCCGAGAACAAGGCCAGCAAATGCCCTTGGTTTGTCGCTTTTGCCCTCTCCAATACTGCGTGCAGATGTATAAAAGGTGATCTCTCATGTGCTGCCTTTCTCCGGTGCTTTTTCTTTCTCTGCATATATATCTACGTTCCATCTGCTCTGCAGCCGACATCAGAAATAGCTGTAGAACATGGGCTCCTATGGCAAGCAAACCACTGCAGTATGCTACTGTCTGACCTACTTCTTCCCTTCCCTGAAAGACATCACAAGAAAGGGGGGGCGGTTAGCCGCTGGGGGTGCAGCCCTTCTGCATCTTACTGCTCAACTTGATCTGAGAAAAATATAAACTGAAGACAGTAATCTCGTCCACAGATTTCCATTGCTTGAATTTTCCTGATTTGGTCCAAAACGTTTGCATGTGGGCCAGCGAAGGATGAAATGACTACTACGTGAATAACGCACCCACTCTGCAGTTACCCTCAACTCCACAGAGTTTCAGTCCCTGTTAGCTTTTGGTTTTAGGGAAAATAGTTGGTACTCTGCTTTTGCTTTGTACTGAAAAGCTTTGCAGATATGTAAAAGTAGATCCATGAAATAAAGACCCTGGAATCCGTAGTGGAGTGTAGGGCTTTTAGTACGAATTGTCCTTATTTTGTAAAACTGTGAAAACATAACATGAAATACGGCATTACAAACAGCTCATATACACATTCATGGACATACAAAAAAGATTAAGCATATAGCCACCCTGCAAGAACAAATACGTCGAATTATGATGATTCATCCTTCACCAGCTAGCACCGAAGCTAAATCTAATATTGACTATAATGGAGAAATCTGTTACTTCAACGTCGATGATTGACTGACTAAACTAAATCAGAAAATACAAGGAGAATATATTGTAACAAATACATTTACATGCTGCACCCAGAGTTAAATGACAGTGGATGTGAAGTAGCTGCAGCACGTCCTCTCAGTACGGCCAGAAACAATACGGCAAGTGAGGAGGGGTAAATGTAACAACGACAATGCAATAACGTTCTACACCACCAGGGTGTCTCTGATGCGACACATAGAAATGTAGGGGCAAAACACTTCCCGCTTGATATGTTAAAAAACCACGTGTTACCTCACTGAGGAGCGGTGCAACTTCTGAAACAGGTCTTGCAAAAGAACATATTAATGGGCGACAAACCATCAACTACACAGGCTTTACGGGACTCGGCAGCCTGGAAACAAACTCAATAATTCCTTTCAGAACAAAACAGTGACTTAAAGCAAACGAGGTTATGAAAAACATGTATCTGCACAAAGCCTCTCGCTCTGAGTAGCACAGCGGTCGATGTGGTCCTCGGAGTTTAGTTTTGTGAGGATTCCTGTCTAACCCTGGTGTTTTTCTCTCTGTTCCCCCAACATTCTCTCCTCATGTTGATGTCATTCCCTGTTTGTTGTTGTTTTGCCATGTGCTGGGGTTTTGTTTCTGTGTCTGTTTCCCAGTAGTGTCCTCAGAGTCCCGCCCAGTGCCACACCTTCCTCCATTGACGCAGCTGTGTCTCATCTTCCCGCTATCTCAGCTGACATAAATACACCGGCTTTATCCTCCCGGCTGTCCGTTAAACCTCCCCGGTTACGTTGGTTCAGTCCTGTGTGATTCTGCCATTAACCTCTTGCCTTCTGGCGTGGAACCTCAGGTATTCTCCTGGTCCGCCTCCACAGAGATCAGCTGTGCACCTACCAAGTCCTGCGTCGAGCCTCAGGTGTCACACAGCTCAGCTTCCCTGCCTGCCTGCCGCCTGGTCGCACAAGCGGCAAAATCACCCTTCCGGGTGGTTACAGATTGGAGCGCCCCTGTCATCACGTGACTGCTCCTGCTGTTTTTTTTCAGCCATTCCGAATGGACTTTTGTTTCCTGTTGCTTCTTTTTTCCTGCCAGAGAAAATAAACC